AAAAAAGTAATAATTAAAATTAAAAAATTAAAATAGAAATTATAAAAAAGAATAGAAAATAATAAAATAAGATAAAAAATAAGTTAAATTTGTAATGATAAAAAAAAATAAAAAAAAATAAATTAATTCTTAATAAAAAAATAAATTAAATTATAATAAGAAAAAAATCAAAATACATTCAAACTGTGGTTTTGATTACCACACCGTTGTATAGATTGTCACAGTCCGCCTCAAAATTGTTATAATCGAATTCAGACAATTTCAGCAGCTTCCATAAACGCACTTCGCTCTTCAAGGTCAGGACCATGCCATAACTGAGGAGCTTAGCGAACTCTAGGTCATCCATAAAAAGGTCGTCGTAGTTTACTAGGGACTGAATAGATCGGCCCCGGGTGCTGTAAGATCGGAAGTCCTCAAATTCGCCCATCTCAAGATGTTGAAGTTGTTCCATGAGGCGATCTTGCCAATCAGCCGGTAAAGCCGCCCTGAAGAGATGTTCTTTGAAATCATCCCAAGAGCCTTGAATGAAGGAATCAAACCCGTTCGCCCAGAAAGCTTGGAGGTTAGGCTCGGTCAAGAAGGTCCCCGTTAACGCGATCCGGTTGTGATCAGTGGTCACACCTTTAATGAAGAAAAAAATCTTGAGGCTCGCGGCCCAGCGTAGGAAAGGTTCAATTTCTCTATAAGGACCTTTGAACGCTGGTCCATCCGAGGTTTTGAATTTTGTAAGATCAATACCCGTGGAGCGCGTGTCGATCTTGAGTTCGGGTGGAGAGGTGGTTTCTTTCTCCATGCGTAATCGGAGCAAGTCCTCTTCTAACTTGGCCATGCGTTTGGCTGCTTCGTTGGCGGCACGTAGTCCGTCTCGTTGATACATCAAAATCTCGCGCTGCAGCTCCTCATTTGTGGGAGGTGCTGTGGCGGTTGATTCACTGGTGTCGTGCATCTCGTCCTGGTCTGATGGTGTTGGGTTAGACGATTTGGGGTTGTTGGGTTCGTTTGTGGGGAGGGACGGACGATGAGATTGGAAAGGGGTCGTCGGGAAGGTGCCCGGCACAGCAGGAGTTTGAGGTGCGATCTCGATTGATGATCGAGGGGTGTTGGTTGGCAATAGAGATCCAGACGGTGTGGGGGCCAGAGGTGTAGTTGTGGTAGTCGCTACAGATTGTGAAGGGGCTACATAGTAACCTCCTCGGTAGTGACTCTGCCCGGCGTTTCTGGACTGAGGTCGAGATTGGGGTTGAGCTTTCGGGACTCGAAGAACCGAGTCAGGATCGAATAGACGTTCGAATAGCGTATTCCCCGCAGCTCTAGTTGTACGTCTGGAGTTTTCGCCGCCGGTATCTTCGTTCATTCGATGGAATGAAGTGGGGAAGGATATGTAAGGTTTTGGTTGATGGTAAGGGACAGCAAAGAAGGCAGAAGGAAGGATATGTCCAATTGACTAAGGATAATTAAGGTTCGTTTAAAAATAAAAAGGCTCATGCAATCGACAAGGTTGAACGATTGATGCGAATACTTCAAAGGGTTCGAGAAAAAAAAAAGTGTAAGGACTTTGTATGTCCTCACTGAAGGATAAGGTGTACGAAGGTTTGTGAAGATTGATAAGATCTTCTAAGGCACATTGGGACACCACAAGAAGTGGTGGAAGGAATTTTCTAGAACCGAAGTATGATTTTATATATTACGAACTGACTCCAGAGGAGACAATGACACGATTAGTCAAGGATCCTTCAAATAGAAAAGATATAAAAGGGAATTGAGAATTAATGGACGTACCTGACTCCAGAGGAGACAATGACACGATTAGTCAAGGATCCTTAAGGAGTCAGTGCAGAGTAGCGTCGTGGAACAGAAGTACATGAAAGCTTAAGTCTTATGTCTAAAAGTATCTAGGTATGTTAAGTAGCCTTCTTGTAATGTATCTTGTCGAGGGACATTACAAATCCTTGGACAGATCTTATCAAAGGTATTGATTCAAGGTATCCTTTGGCGCAAAAAGTCACCTTGAATCAACACATCAGAAAGATTCTGTCCAAGGTTTTTGGCATCTATATTGGCAGTGCATGATCTTCCGTCTCCTTCAATTGTCTCCAGTCTCCCTCAATTGTTGTAAGTCATTTTCAGTGAACCTAGATATCAGCTCACTCATGAAGATCCTTGTTAGTTCTAAAGTTTGGCCGTCTGCAAAATTCAAAGGATTGGCTCTGTACTCAAGGGCTTGAGTTTTATTCCAAGGGATGCTTGGAATTTATAGAATAAGATGAAGTAGATTTATGAATGGTGATGTCTATAGGCACAAGCACTGCACCAAATGTCATCTTTTCCCAGGGGTATAGAAAAGTAGTGCCAGCCACCCTGACCAACCAGATCGCTCCGCTGTTTACTTCATACAATCAAACCTCACTGCCATTCCCTCATCCGCGCACCCATCAATCCAGCACATTTGCACTCAATCATTCATTCTGCTAGATCTGGACATGTACCGTGAGTTTTGAAAAGGTCTTCTTGGTTTTGAAATCAATCTCACTCTTTCTCTTGGTTTTGTTTTGACTGCTCAGCTTCAATCCAAATCTCCATTCAAACCTTGCGTTGTCAATCGATCTCTTTGCTTTGACATCTAGGCTCAAGTCTGCAATAATTTCCTTGGATTTTGTCCTCTATGTTGAATCCATCCTTTAGGCTTCTGATTCCTTGAGCTCTGTGTGTTTCTTGATTCGGGGTCTCCTTGTATTTGTACTTATTTACCCCATCTTTGAATCACTACATTGTCATCAGCTCCACCTGTCAGTGTTTTTTGCTTCAAATTTGTCAGTTATCCTTTCCATTACAATAGAATCTTTAAAATATAGCCTTTGTCATTGGTGTTTTAATCACTTTCCAAATGCACCAATACCTTATTATTATTATTATTTTATTATTTTATTATTTTATTTTACATAAGATGATTTTTATGTATTTTTATTTTTATTATTTTTATTTTTATTATTTTTATTTTTATTATTTTTATTTTTATTATTTTTATTTTTATTTTTTTATGCTATGGGTTTAGGAGGTATGGGTTATGTAGAGTACATAGGTGTTAAGTTCAAACTTTGAGAATTATGGGTTTTATATGGATTTATTAAGGTATACTGGATTTTATGGGTTTTTCATTATGGGGTTGAACAAGGCTAAATTTCAAAAATTGGGGACTTGAGGAAAAAGTAGTGTGGTGGTAAACTGAGATAAGCTTTAGGGTTCAAAGTTAAAAAAGGGCACCATAGTAGATGATACAACAACATAGTTTGCACTACAACATTGAAAATTACAATTACATTTGACACAGGAAAATTTCTGACATTACAAAACTCAAAAATGACTTTTGAAAACTGAGAAATGCATAGTTTTGGCAGGAAACTTTGAATTCGAGGGTACCACAGCACCAGGACCCCGGAATGCCCCTATAAGGGGTACCCATATGAAGAAGTCCGTTTTGAACTCCCGTGGAGTTAAATTCTATGGGATTATACATAGCTCACTGGATTCTGCCCATTGCAACTCTTCATTATCACTGATTTTTGCCATCCCTGTCAGCCTGTGACAGGTGCTTGTCTGTGCTTGTATGTACATTTTGACATGAAAGCTGAAACTTGAAGTAGCTGGAAATGCAAAACTGTGTAAAATGCCGAGATAGGCAGAAATTTGGGAGGCAGAAATTGACTCCATTGAGTGAGAGATTGTTGATAGACGATTATAGAGAGACTAAGACAGAGAACTACCAAGACTTACCAGTACTGTTTGACATGAATTCAAGTTTTTGAATGTTCTTTTTTTTGATTGTATTTAGTTTTTGAACATATTAGTTTTTAAATGTTCTTCTTGATAAACACATTCTATTGACTTGATCAAACAATGTCAGCACCTGTGAATGACCCCTCTACTGTATTGACTTCACCAATCTTGCGCACTGCCAAAGATAGACAATTGGCCCAGAGAGATGCCGTTAAAGATGCAAAAAGGCGCAAGGCTTGCCCAAAACGGACAACGGACAAAGCTGCCCAGAGTGTGTCTTCACAAAGAAGGGACCAGATCAATGCCTACAATGCCACTGTGGACACTTGGTCAAGATGATGGCAGGCAGGATACATTATGCCAAAGCTCATTGGGACTCAAGTGGGTGATTTGTTGTTGGATCTCAATAACATCTTTTGTTTTATCAATATTTCAACAGCGTGCCAACAGATGCCAACATCTTTCACTACCCTTCAATAGAAAGTTGTACGGAGACAACAGAAAGACTTTGCCAAGATCCAGATCGACCCCAAAGTCTCAATGGTTCAAACAATCAGCCACAAGTATCTCAGGTCCCATGTGCAGGTCTGACTTACAAGACTTGGCTACGCCCAGATCAACAACCCATATCAACCTGTGTCCAGCACTCCTGCACATCTTACCATGCATATCCGCTGAGGTTCACTGTATGTCTCAGACTTTTTGGCACCTCGACAGAGAGCTCTCTATCAGATAGCCAGAAGCAGGAGCTACACAAAGAGCTTTTTTCCTTGTCAACATGGATCATCAGACGTGTTGGAAACCAGGGCTCTATTCACTTGACCAAATGTACTCAACAAGTTTGAACTCTTGATTCTGGGGCGGTTGAGGTCTGCAAGGCATGCTTGGAGATCAAGAAGAACTCATCATTGATAACAGCTATCAATAAAGGCTACACCACAGATGACACTCTTATATTCATTGCAAAGATGTTCATGGAGAAAGGTCCATTCCATGATCTTCTGTTCCGTTATACTGAGCTACAGAAATTATTCCAGTCACTTGAACAATCAATACAAGCCGGAGACCTCAAATTCTGGACAACCTTTAGTGTCCATGCGCAGGCTGGACCATTCAAAGATCTACCAGTTTTTCGAGGATTAGCCAAGGGTTTTGGGATCTGAGCTGAGCAAGAATCTAAGGGCAGAAGCACATGTGGAATGCCCTTTAATGAGTACCTTGACAATATGTTGACAACAGCCGGTGCCTACTCCAAAGGTGCTCTTGAGCTCTTTCAGGCAAACCTCTGTGGACGCTCACCTCGTGGTTTTGGCTTACAATGCCAGCGTATTGGTGCACAGATTATTGACAAATTTCACATTGATAATGTCCTTCCAGTTGTCGCCTGGCTGAAGCAAAGTGGATACAGTGGGCCTGTCTCAGCTGGGACTGAACAGGCAGTGTGTGTAAAGGCTCTTCGTTACAATGAAGGCTGTTTGGTAGGTGTGGAAGGTGGTGATGTCAAAGTTGTTGATCTTGAACACCTGAAAACTTTGATCAAAGATGCAGTTGAAGGAGATTGTCTGTGCAAGAAGGTCAGTTTTCCATCCTTTTTTTGATTTAACTCTATCTTTGAAGTCAGAATTGACCGGTACCATCTCATGTCTTAGATTCGCGCATACACAATACAAGTTCCACTGCCAAACATCCCTACCTTTGTAGTTGCTTTGATTTCTAGCCGCGAGGACGAGTCTGCTGAAGACATCAAGGCTCAACACCTCAAGTTCATACATTTACTTGAATCAGCTGAAATTCCGCTTATTTCTTTGGGATCTGATGGTGCTGCATCTGAAGTACTTGCACAAGAGCTACTGGTTAACGCAGCCACCAATTATTTGGACTTCTCAGCTCCTGAACTCAAAGTCAATGTACGTTTTCCACTTCTAGGAGCCTCCAAACAACCAGTTGTAGCAGTACAGGATCCTAAGCATGCTCGGAAGACAGCTTCAAACCAACTGCTTTCTGGGCCGTGTTTGTTAGCTTTTGGACAATTCAACATCAACCTTGACCAGCTGCTTATCTTACTCAAAACCAAAAATTGCCCACTTGGCTACAAAGATATATTGAATACAGACAAACAAGATGATGGACATGCTTACCAAACATTCAGCAAGCAAACTTTCAAGGCGGCTTGTTCAGATCCAGAATGTGTTGGCCTAGTCTTGTACCTATACATCTTTGGCAAGCTTGTTGATTCTTGGTTGAATCAGCGCATGCCACATCAAGACAGGATCATTTCAAGCTACACAGTGGTCTTCTTTGTTTGCAAGTGGAAAGTGTATCTACCTAAACGTCAGAAGGAGCCTGGAAGCTTAATGAACTTATCCTCAAACTGTATCTCACATCACAGCATTTGTATATTTGAACAGCTTGGTGAGAGTCTGTTAGGACTCATCATTGCTCATCGCAAACGATACCCTAACCACCCACTGATGCCTTGGAATCATGGAACCGAGTGTTGTGAGCAAATCTTTGGGTGGATGCGGGTGCTTTTACCAACTTTCACTGTATTAGATGCAAGGCAGGTGAAGCCAAAGATATTTGCTGTTATAAAGTGCATCATGAGTGGGTATATCACATTGCCCACAAATGAGAACTTGCATTCAGGCAAGTATCTCAACATAATTCCGATTATATTTGCTATGAAGCTAATCAGTGATTTAATAGGTTACCAATACAATTTCTCACGCAACAATATACATGACTATACCTTGATTCTCAGCCAGTATCCCAGCAACAATGAGATACATCAACTTCTTAAGGTTGCAGAATCTTGGGCACAAGAACTAGCAATGTTTGCTGGAATTACCACAAACAATATGGAAGCACCAGTAGATGACAACGTATGCGAACAGGCCTTCGGAGAAGATCAAAATGATGTATTGGTATCAATACACAAGCGATCTTGCTTGACTTATCCTCTTGAGTCAGAAACAATCAATGTTGAACAAGCATTAGAAACAGCAGCTGGATTGACAAGCCAGCATCAAGAAGCCGATGTACTGATGTCCCGGATAACAGAAAGTCATGAAGATCAAGTGCTCAAAGATTTAGTGAACAATGTGATGCTACAGATTGGTAAGAGTCAGCTATTGGAAGTAAACATCGCCTCTTCAACCGCGCCAAAATCTTTGGTGAACACCAATGGGACTTTGAACACAGATAGCATGACTTCTGACAGAAAGCTACATGATAGTCAAGTTCAAACCCATCATGGGCCAGAGAGACCACGTGTTGCATCAAAAGACTTACCTGTGCCTCAGTACAATCCAGACACCAGCCACGAAGTCATGTCACCAAGTCAGTATAGCAAAGCTGTCTCCTTCTATTGGCAATCACAGAAGGACCCAGAATATGGTGAAGCCCGGAAGAACTGTTGGATAACTCATGGAAAACGCAAGTTCCATGATCCTACAGACACGCAAGACAATACAACAGTCACAGAGCCAGAAGTTTCAGGAACGCAAGCCAGAAATTCACAAGGCGTAGATTCCATTGGAATAGAATACCAATATCAACAAGGTGGAACAGGTGAAATTACAGCCAAAACTCCGCTCACCAAAGATAAATGGGTTGTGGTGGTAAAGCAAGATGTGAGTACCAAGATTCAAGCTATTATGTGTGTTTTATACACACTGAAAGATTTTTTTTCATTGCACAACAGTACTTCTATCTCGGTCGTGTTCTTGCTATCTTTTAGCATAACACAGGAAAGCATGCATGGGTTCAAGAAGCTCAGTCTCCCACAAAGCTCTCCTATGTCTCATTAGAAATATATTGTTACAGCCCTGGACAAACAATGATCCAAGCAGCACATCAGAAAGATCTACCAAACAAATACACCTTTAGTCATCTTCCGGCAAAATACATTGATTACCTTTTCTCGCCCGAAGGTGATGATTCAGGCTTTGTCATGCTTGGAACTGGGCAATATCAAGTACCAGAAGTCTTTGTTGAATTGATAGCCACTCTCCCCGCGTGGCAAAGACCCTTTTTGCCTAAAACTGTCAAAAAATCAGGTCAAAGACGAGTGAGGAAGGCTGTGGAGAAGTAACAAGTGAATGTTACGCACGTTTGATACAACAATTTGCCATACTTTGAATTCCCTGTTCTAGGTAACGCTCACAAATGGTTGTGCAGCTATTCCCAAATCACGTATTGACTTCTTCTTTCATTGATGATTTATCACATATGTGAACGTTGTGCAATGTGAAAAGTATGTTTTGAAAAAAAACCAATTGAGACATCATCAGATAACAAAAATATAGATCATGTGCCGTCTTCTTCTCTTATTGATTGATTATCACATCGATGCAAGTCGTACAACATGGAAAGTATGGCCGGAAAGAAAGCTTGAAACTCTGATGACAATGATATAAAGACTCATAATCGGAATTCTTTGTGATTCAGTCAATTGTTTTAGTGAGTATGCAATTACTGCCTTCCTCTAGCTTCTGAGCTATGCATCGAGATGATCTCATGGTTTGAAGCAGACAGGAAGAGCAGTTTGCACACAAATTCAAACAATTGTTGAAACCACAAATATCTCATGACAACAATATAAAGACTGATTATCAGACTTCTTTGAAGCTCTGTCAATTGTTTTGATATGTATGAAATTGCTGCCTTTCCTCTAGCTTCTGAGTTATGCGTCAAGATGATCTCAAGGTCCAAAGCAGACAGGAAGAGCAGCTTGCACACAGATAAAAACAATCTTCGAGAGAACAAATAGGGTTGAATGCTTTTAAATTTGGAGTGAAAGAAGATGATTGGATCATCCAAAGGAGAGATGTAATAATTTAGTTGTATAGAATATAGGGAACAATGGACAGAGGTACAACAAGTTAAATATTATGTGTCAACTTATATTACAAAAATATGAAGACGAATGGCCAATTGGGAAAGCCCTGAAAGCCCTGGCAAGTCTGATGTGTTTGAGTCCACCGATTCCAATTGGTTTTGGTTGAAACCACCAGACCCTTTTAAATCAAAAAGATTCCAATCGCAACCCCTGAGGTTGTTGGCTGAGACAGGCATCATCATTGCAATGCCAATGACAGCTGTGTCTTGTACAACTTGGCTTCATAGGGATTGTGAAACAATGCAGCTTGTCCCTTGTCCTTCTTGAGACGAGCTTGAAAAAACATGCAACCATCACATTTGTCAGGGAGGAACAGCAGTTGGTCAAAAAAGCATAACAGAAAAGGAATCTCAAACTAACAACTATGCTTTGTGGTGCACAAATTGCTAGTATATATTTGTAAAAGAACGAATCCAAGATCAACTTCTAAACTAATTTTGATGAGTATCAAATCATGTCTAGCAAAAGCATTGATGAGGTGATTTTGCAGCAGTTGAACAATCCTTCAGAATCACCAATTGGTGCAAAAGCAGAGCCAGCCAAAGCCTGCATCAGTCTACCATGTGTCGGACTGCAGTGTTCTCCGCGCAAATCCATTCTTTTGCTCACGCTCTGTCAAGGTACTTTCAAAAGAAGGACAGAGTTGCAACAGGTCTTGAGGAAGTCTGAGGAAAATTATGACCCTCTTAGAGGTATGGGCAAAGCCAGGAATGGACTTAGCAGTTTGGCAGGAGTGGGGATCCGCGGGACTCCAAAAAGGACTTTTTTAAATGGGTACCATTAATAGGGGCATTCCAGGGTCCTACAGCACTATTTCAGGGTAGATGTTAGTTGGGGTAGACTCTAATTTTGCATATTCCTCAATAACTTTAATTTTAATCATCATCTTGATCAACATTAGTGGTAATACGGGGTGGTAAAATGACCAAACCCCCATTTCAAAGTTTTCCTTCAATTGTCAATCTCCATTTACACTATCAGCCATTAGAGTTAGAGTTTAGCTTGGCTGAGCAAAGTTGTAGAGAGCCAAATTCTCTTTCTTTCTTTGTCTTCAGAATTTCTATACAGTCCCTTTTTCTTATTTTAAATCAGCTTTGAGGGTAAATTGGCGGAAATTTGGGTGTTTGTGGTAAACAGCTAAGTTTGAGTGCTGATTGTAAGCTTGAAAGTTTGTACATTGTCAATCTATGTGTGCTGAATCTGTATATCAACTTTATTTTGGGGTTTCATTGAGATTTATTTTGTGAAAAAGTTGTATGAAGGTGAATTTTGAGTTTGAGGGGTGTTTTTGTTCTACTTTCTTTTTTTGTGTGCTTTTCAATTTTGATATATACAAGTGTCTCTTTTCCTACCTTTGGTAGCCTTTTAGTTAGCAAAAATGACTACTAGAATTTAGAATAAGCTTTGTATCCTTCATTATCATCATCCAGGTAAACAACTAGTGAAAGTTGGGATTTTATAATATAAGACCCTTATTCATCTTTCAATTGAATTCTTGTTGAGTTGTAAGCTCATTTGCTTATTGTTAAGGTGCCTGAGTGCGCCTAGAAAGTGCCATTTTTGATTTTATTGTCCTTTTGCAGCCTGGTTTTTATTAATCCGAAGACTTGAAGGTCTTAAATTTATTCATCAGTAATCAAAGTCCCAGTTTTAAGAAGGGCAATTCTTTCTTTGTTTGAAGTCTTTCAATTCACCAGCTCAAGACTTATTTTCTCTTTTGATTGTGTGTGTTGTTGATTTGTGTCTTCATCATCCCCTTCTTGGCTCTTTGTTCAGCTGTGTACTGAAAGAGTTCTACACCAAAATGAATGATGAAAGAGATGTGACATCATTGAATGAATGAGGAATCAAAGATTGAGATGATAGAACTACTAAAGGATTATTGAATGGAGGCATCGAAGAAGAACGAGGAGTGATGGAAAGATAAGAAAAGGGGTAGTGATGAGGATTGGATGAGGTCAAGATGAACAATGAGAGGAAAGAGGAATGGGGTGTAGCATAAAAGATTGGGGTGAGTTGGAGATTTTAAAATCAAAAGTAATCTTACATAAGCATACATTACAAGATTGACTATAAGCATTTAACATGTAATTGCAATTTACACAAGTAAATCAGTTGATTAGTAACACTGCATCTATAAAAAATTTTGTTTATAATCAAACATTTCATTACTCATCATTATTAGGAGGACAGTTAATAAGATAAATTGAATCATCACAAGATCAGCTTATTGATTATCTTCACAGCAGCATCTCACATCAGATTGATCATACTAAAAGACTTGGCAGAGAAGTATTACATGAGAAAGCTGGGCATATGAGTAAATGAATCACTTGAAGAAGATTTACAGATCACATTACATCATACTACATGTTTGTACTAGCTGAAATGGCTCAAAATGGCAAAATTGGGAAGCGTAGAAGCAACACCCAAATTGCACCGCAACATATTTCAGTTTCGGTGCGATTTCGGTGCGATTTAGATGTTTAAACGAAACAAAATGTGATTGTGGTCCTCCCGCACCGAAATAAGATGAGCAAAATCGTGATTTCGGTTCAACCGAACCGAAACCAGATTTGATGAACCGCAACTCGCAACAAACCGAAATATGCTGCGGTTGGTTGCGAGTTTGTTAAAGGTGAAGGCAAGGTGTTTCCCAGTCCACTACATGTGAAAAGAGAAGTGAGAGGAGGTTTTCACCTATCAGTAGTTCTCTTCCTTTTCGAACTGTTGTGCATTCTTTTCCTCATCTGAACTTTTTATTGACATCGTCCAAAAGTTGTTTCCTCACGTCCAGTTCCTTTTGTCCGTCTTGAACAGGTTCAAGTGTTCTCTTAAACCCACTCTCACAACTTTTCTTGAGCTTGCTCCAACTTTGAGCGTCTATAAAGTTTCACATTTCGCTGATGAGGTGTGTAATCAACATTTTTGGGTGACAGCATCATTTTTATAGCGTCATCATACCCTGTAAAGGGAAGAACGATCAGACAAGCTATCGTGCATGATCAGAAAAGCTATCGTTCGCTGCTGATAGTTATTGTCACGTCTCTTCCCTTACATTGTCCATCATTACCAGAAGATTACAGTCAAAGTGGCTCAAGAAGACTTGACTCTCACATGTTTTCTAGTTGTAGTTCTTTCAACAAATGTGATTTCTTCATTTTCTTTCTTCGTTCAGCTCAAAAAACTTGAATCACCTGATCTATTGAATATAGTATACTTCTTTGATTATCTCAAAGCTAAAACTTCAACTCCTAATATATGTGTCTCCTCCTCTCCAATCTTTGTATCCTATTTGTACCTGCAAAAACCGAAATAAATTGCGGTTTCGGTTTGATTTCGTTTCGAATTGCGGTTTATCTAACGCACCGAAACCCTTTGGGGACTTCAAGCGTTTCGGTTCAAACTGCGATTTCGCTTGATTGCGTTTCGGTACCTTCGCAACGAAATAAAATAACCCGATATTTCGGTGCGTTTCGTTTCGATTTGGGTGTTGGTAGAAGATCATTGAATCATTGCATCATAGCTTTTTACCAACTTTTTAGCCAACTTTTTGGTTTTTCAGAGCTGTTGACCATTATTAATTGTGGAATCAGATATATAAGGCTTGGACTTTGTCCCCCTTTTGTATTGTTCCCTTTCTTCTTCATCTACGATAAAGTGTAGTAGTTTTTTATCATTATAAAATTCACTTAAACTTCTACTAGCATTTCAGCGGCGGGCGCCGCTCACGGACTTTGAAGCCAAGTTTGATATATAACCAATGTACTAAACTGAACCAGAGAGAACAGAATTAACAAATGAAGCCAACCTCGCAAACCCAATACAAATGACCAGACAAAAAAGTCACACAAACATCAAGGCCACAAGAAAATCAAGAATCAAAGACACTACAGCACACTAAAACAAAAACAGGTAAACATATTTATATCTGACTAATGTGAAGTCAGACTCACAAACAACCAACAACCAATCAGACTGGTTCAAGTATTAAATGCAGACATCAACCAAAACAAATACAAGGAACCAAACCGAAAACAAAGTCAAAACAAACATTAATATCATTTGAACCAACTGGCAGAACCCTATAGAATCAAAACATTCAAAGCATAAGTCAAAGAAAACCTGAATGGACTAAATAAATGGAACAAGATACATACCAACAAATCAGTGTGAGTCAATTCGTTAGTGAAAACACAACATATACCATAAAGAGAGCATAATTCCACCAATTCAGGATCCTCCACACTTGACCCATTCCAAGTCATAAACACAATGCTTTTGAAATTAGGAGGAAAATTAACAGGGACGTATTCCAAATGTTTCAACAAAAAATGCCAATTTTTTTTTGAGTGCCAATAACTTGTGACCAAGACCTTGAGTCCACAAAAGAATTTCCAGCTTAGCCAAGCCACGGATGTTGATTGGGCATCGAAAGACATGCACCGTATAACACGTAGTCAAGGAAAATGAGTATGCGCAACACTATGTGGTAAGCGGTAAGGAATTGATACCATGAAGAAAGATTCTAAATGTTCACGGAACGACAGAATGATTGGACCAGCTAGATCCCGATCTTGGGTTGGTATACATTCCAGTAACTTCACGCTTTGTTTTACACAATGACATAAAACCCCAAAAGCGTTCAAGTTTGAGGAATGACATCGCAACCACAGGTGTGTTAAGTTTGGTAAAGACCCAGGTTTTATATCTAGAGGTTTCAAAGAGCCACACGAAATTGACAACGATTCTAAATGAGGTGTTGATTCGAGTACTGATTTAATAGAATTTGATTCGTTTAAAACAATGACCTCCTTGCTACCATGAATTATTAACACCTTGAGACATTTGATATTGTTGATTGCACTCGCCAAGCCAGGTGAAAAGCCGACCGAGTTAGCAAATTTGAGTTTGAGATGTTCCAAGTTGTGACCACAAGTGCTAATGATACCTGCCACCACATCCATTGGAATTGCCGATGTGTCCAACATGTTTGCCACAGCATCTGTTCCCTCATGATCATCACTCAATAAACCCTCAAACACTTGCTCCCTGAGGCGATCAGAAACAAACAAGAGACGATTGAAGCAAATATGGCGCAACGGATGAGAAAAAGAAAATGACACAGGAGACTTCCACAATTTCAAAAAACCGGAGGACATAATTGGCGATAACAAATAGACAGATTTATAAGCAAAAGGAATAACAGCTGAAGCCCAAGATTTGCTAACTAATCGTAGATTTAACAAATCTTTATAAGAATTGAGCAATAAAAAAGCCATGTCCGCACAATTCATAGGATCTGAAGCAGCACGAGGAGCCATTTTGACGTAGTGACTGATGATTAAATCTAAAGTTTCTACTGGTAGCAAACCAAAAGATAAGGAATTAGTATTACTAGCAGCCACTAAAGACATGACGCACAAATGCTAGGTGAAGTAAACTTGGGAATTGGAGGACACAACTACAGCAATAGTTCACTATTGCAGACCCTATATAACAAACAAGGAAAAGAAGTTAGACTTCCATCAGGTAAGTGATTCATGACCAATTTGCACCAATGAACCTAAATCACATGCTACAAGAATATGATAAACGGAGACCCGTGAAATGATACTCCGGACAGGCGCAATAAAACAAAGATCCCTATCAGCACACACTCCATGACACAGTAACATTATAGCGCCATCCAGAAATATAAAGCTACCCTAGTGTCAGTAAAGATTTCACTCAGTCCATACAAACATAATCATGCTCAAATGTGTGAAACTGGCCAACAATACACAAACAACAACACTATCAGGTCCTGCACGTTATCCTTTCAAAGCAGTCCCAAAATCTCCATACCGCTACAACAATCCTGAAAATGAACCAAGCAATCATGACGCCAAATGGAAACATACAAAATTCACACAACGTATTTAACCGTTTCACAACTTGAGACAAACCCAATATGTGCACCACGTATTCCTGCACATGGGAAACAAATAGTAAATTGAACATGGTAAAACCCAAACAATCAAGCGTAGTGATTGCATTTTATACACCCTCATTTAAACTCACAAGATGATAAGTGACGCACAATCACGAAAATAACTCAAACCGCCCACTATCCACACACATTCATAGTAAAGTCAATATTAGGTATTATCTCGTATCAGAGATAATTGTCAAGATCATAAGCAGATCAGTGGAATCTATCTATGAAACATACAGGACAAAATGAGTCAAACCACGCGCAACAAAATGTTACCATAGAATTAAGATAAGTATCAAGCAAATATTAGTGAATTAACAGGTTGGAAAAAACTCAAAACATAATAGGCTATGACACTGCCAGACCACAACAAACAAACTACATAAAGAATTTAATATCAAGAAATTTGAAAGTATAACACAACAAAACGGAAGCATGATCAAGTTGACAGAACATAAGTCAATTGAATTTTGATATATGTGGCGTGATATTGGCAAACACAAACAGGCCATTGTTCAGAAGTAAAGCCATAAATAACATGCCATGAAACACGATCTCGCCAATTATAAGATAGGATTAATGCGCCCGAACCATACGAGTTATTCCAGAGATTCCTGTCCAAAACATAACACCAGGGTATTATCATAAGTAAACAAGACAAGAAAACAAAACATGAGCTCCACATACCAACATATCTCTGTGAGTCAATTCGGGCCTGAAGAGGCACTTAATATCATAAGCTAAGAAAGCATGGACCAATTCATCATCGCGCATAGATCGGCCTTTCCAGGAGGTGAAGATGATCCATTTGAAGTTTTTTGGTAAAATCACCCCAGCCCGAACAGGGCAAGTCAACATCTTGAGCCAGTCCTTTCTTGAATGTGAATAACTTGTAATGAACACTTCCAACGAGGCAAAAACTGGCCATTGTAACCAAGATAGGTTCGAGAGGATAATACCTGACCCAATGCTTCAAAGGACAGTAAGTTTAGGGAAGTACATTGTGCACAAATCACTGGGTAGATTGTCTGGGATACACTCCAAGAAAAGAATTTCAATTGAGTTCCGTAATGAAACAATCATTGGTGCGATGTCTTCTCGGTTCTCAGGTGAGAGGCATTCAAATATTTTCACATCCATGGCTACATCCTTACAAAAGCGGGTTAAAGCTGCTCGATTTTCAGGATAAGTAGCAAGCCAAAGATGTGACAAGTTCCGCAAAGAACCAGGCCGCAGGTCTAAAGAATCTAGAGCAATGCAATGAATAGATAAAGATTCCAATTTGGTCGTTGAAGTGAGCAAAGCCTCAATAGACTTTGAGTCGTTGCGGGTGCGTTGTATCTTGCTGCCAAGTAGAATGAGGACCTCCAATAGCATCCAACATATTCTTAGAGAAACCCATCCAGCTTTTAAAACTAAGTTTGAGATCAGTGATATTACGGCCACATAAAGTGATAAGTTGAGCTGCTTCCTGCATTGACAACCAAGTTGAACCAACATCCATGCCTAATACATCTAGGCAAGCGTTTGAGACCGGATCAATGACACCATCGGTTTGATACATAATACGATCCAATGAAAGTTGACGTAAGCCAGTGCAACCGCCAATCATGAAACCGTTAACAAATCTCTGCAATACTTTCTTGGTCATTGAAGCATTAATTGGGCAAAGTGACCGATAGCCAAACGGTCCAATTGCTATCGCCCATGATTTAGATAACAAACGCAGCTTGAGGATATATTTAATGATACTATGATGTAAGAAGCCACTATCGGCGCTGTTGAGGGTTTCGAAAAGGTTGACATGGTAAGAACTAACGAGATAAGACATGATTGTCTGCACTACTTCAATTGGAAGAGTAAAAGAATGGCACATGATGAGAACTGGTAATTGATCGCCACAAGGCATTCCAATAGCAAGACACAAAATATAACAAAAAACAATGTGCAAAGGAGCCAACCAACCACCACAAAGCACATCTTAAATACTATGACTCCATCTCAAAAAACTGATCAGATAGAATTGGGGAAACATGCCACGCAAGCAAGAAAGTGACCCAAACAAATCAAGAAAAACAATGCGGCGCAGCCCCAGAGAAAAACTACAACTAATGTCAATTTTGTATCTTCATACGTCGACCAATGCGACCAAGTTCATATTGTTGATTCAAATCGCATTTCACAAAGATCAAATGAGCTAATCCATCATCCGCCTGTACCCCAACACAAAAATGAACAAAAAATATTACACATCTTGATAGTAGGAATTCTTTGCAATACCGCAGCAGACCCATAGCAAGACTAATTCACGCACCCACCATTAATAATTAAATTCAAACCGCAGAACACAAAAGCCTATGTCAAAATTAGTATAACACAACTACATCGTACCACACGGACATAACAAAACAACCAATGCTATACAAAGGCATAATACTTAACACCCCAGGCACAAATAGCATGTCATAGGGGGAAACAGATTTCTAATTCAACATCAGAGCCACAAGATGGCTTAGAAAACTGATACTCACCAAAATAAACGCGGAACCATTCACAAGACCACATAACCTAAGCACTCAAGAACAATGCAGTTACAATGACGCCACCGCATGAGCTCAGTAACGTAATAAGCAAACTTGAGTAAAAAAAAATAGTGTCAAAATCAAAACTATTCAATTATTTCAATCATAAACCTATCACTAGCCAATTGGGTGGCGGGCGCCACCATGTCAAGCTCTGAAAACAATGTTGCTTTTAGCTGTTTCCAATGCTATCCAAGCTGACTGATGTGAGCAATAATGCATGCTCCTTTAAAGCCAGGCGTACCAACATCAGGGGTTTTATATTTTCAAAAGCTGTAGCACACTATTGGGCGTGATCATGTTAATTTTGTCATTTGAAACATACTATTGAGCTTCATGCCATTCAAAGCCTTTGATCAATATAGAATGGGGAGCTCATTATTTATTTTGGGCATTTCTAAGACAATGCCTCTGACATCAGACAATTCACCCAAAGCATCCAAGCCGATAATCTTCCGGTCAAATGTAGAGAACGTTTTGCACGGTCTGAAACTTTGAGATTTAATCACATAGATAGGGAATGATCATTGTGTTAGAGATCAATATTTCCTATGGTTTTAGGTCTCTGAAGAACCATAAGACCAGTTTCTGGATGTGGAACATCTTGTATCATTTTCTTTTTCTTCTTGACCATTGTCAGAACTCTCAAGAGACCTGAACATCAGAATCCAAAGTGCAAATGGTAAGACCAGATTTTGGATGCTGACAACAAATTTCAAGACGGCAGCGTTTATGTGAAACCATACATATAGAAATGGTGATAGAGAGCTTTTGTTCTCTGAAGTGAATTCAATCACATCTTTGTATATTGAAAAAGTGATCCAAAGCTTGAATTGAATGTGGGTCAGGATATCAAGTTTCCAATGAATCAGTTCAATCAATTGTTGGGCATAATTTTTCCATAACCAATCAGCATCTGCATCAGGTTTTATAAAAAGTATGATCAGCTCCAGACTTTTTCAAAATTCACAACTTGGAAAGTGAGTGGAATTTGGTAAAATCCAATCATTCATAGATTGGAATCAAATCAAAATTTGTCATTTTAAATCGAGTTTCTTAGCTCTGGACTGAGATCTCAGTCTTGATATGATATCGCCTAGAAGCCTTGAATTGGTCTGGTTGGTAGCCAGTCTGATTTGGATAGATATGATCATGTAGAGAGTTGGAGTGTTGTGTTTGTTAATTTGTAATAAGGAGAATGAGGGAGAGTTCATCAAAGAAGTTGTTGAAGATGTCCTACCTTTGACAATTTTAATTAGGTTGATATAGGGATGACAATAATGTCACACCAATCAAAGCAGTTTTTATTTGAGAATCAAACCAAGTTATGAACAACCTATCTTGGTATTTTTTGATATGGTAAAAAGAAGGTAAAATAACAAAACCAAATCAGTTGCTTGAATTCTAAAGACAGGAAAAAAAGGGAAAAAATTCAACTGAATGCATTCATTTTCAATCCTTCTAATTGTAACCCAATCATTCCCAAACTTTTGATTACTCAATGGTTTTAACTCAATTTTGATACAAAAACTTCTCCAACTCAGTTGGACTTTCCCATAGATTTCATCTTTAGATTTTCTTTTGAAATCAAAAACCTTCTAGGAATAGATGCCAAAGTTAAAAATTTGGATGATGATGATGATACTGTTGTTGTTGTTAGATTCAATTGTTTTTATTTGATTTCAATTTCTGCTCTGTTTTTTGGTTGATGGTCTTGGTTCACCTTCATTTGGATGAGTCTGATTCAAAACTCTATTTGTTGGAGTCTGATTCAAAACTCTTTTTGGATGAGTCTGATTCAAAACTCCATCTAATTATTCTAATGCAATATCATGATCTCCTTCATCAATCACTTATCAATCATCAGTTTCAAATCCATCAAAAGATGAAATGTGTTCATGCTTCATCAAGTTCATACATTTTTCTAATTTGATTTCAATTTAAATCACATCCTGATTCTGATTTTGATAGGCTTACTATTGGTTTACATTTACTTTGATCTTCTGATGAATTTTCTTCAAGTGCTTTGAATGATAATTCTCCTCCACTTTGTGTGTTGCAAAGTGATGTAAATCCTACTTTATCAGCTGAAAGGTTCATGATTGATCTAGTGCTCCTTGTGGTTGATCGGCTGGTCTTTCAATCATGATGTGTTCTTCATTCAAATGATTAAAAAATTTGTAAACTTCATCTTCATCCATGTCATCTTCTTCTTCAATTTCAACATCAGATCCTCCTTTCCATCCAAAATTGTCTTCTCCTTCATTTCCTTCTCTACTAACCTTTTCAATTTTTTCTTTTTCTTTTACAATCCTTCAGTTCCTTCTTCATACCTGTTACTAAAATATGTATGTGAGAAACTCTGATAACCAAATCAAATTAACCAAGTCAACTTTCTTTCTTTCCTTTCATGATATATATATATATATATATATTCTCCACATACCTGATCTACATTCACATCTTTGATTCCTGATTCAGCAAGCTCTTCAAACCCAATCGCATCATCCTCAATCTTACCTAATTTGGGAACCAAAGACCTATGATCTGCATTGGTTTTCCCAATCTTATCATGTAAAGAAAGTTGATTGTGAGGTGTCTGAAGATTCTGATAGCGAGAAAAATCAAGAGGCGCTGAAACCGAAAGGGCCTCTTTGCAACAATGGAAGTGATTGCTGAAAAGGAGGCTGAAGAAGCGGATTAACTTTCTGAGCTCCAAACAAAGGCTGAGGAAGAAGCAGATTCGATATCGAAGAAAAGACGTGAACGACAGAGAACCATCGAAGCTGACATGGAATCTGAGAACGCAGGAGGACTTTTTGGCAATGCTGTTATATCGTATTCGTCAGACCGATCAATATCCTTGAACTTGAAGCATTTGGCTCTCAATCAACATGAAAGGATCTGTAAACATAATAAAACAGATGGTCAGATCAATAAATCAAAAATGAAATAGTGGTTAAGAGCTTACCAGTGATGATAGAAGAATCCAAATCCATAAAAGCTGATCGGTCATCGGAAATATGGATCGAATCAATTAAGTTATCAATTGTTTGTTTAATGAAGATGCTTTAATCTATACATAAAAGCAGATGTTAATAATTAAGTAAGTTTGTAAGAGAGAGAGATAAAAAGAGGATTGACTTGGTTTGAAACCGCCAAATAGTTTTGAATGGTTGGAACATTCTTGTAGATTTTGGATTGTGAAATTTATTGAATCATTTATTGGTAATGAGTCATGACCCTCAAATTTCTTCCTCAAAGGCTAAAATCAAAGTCTTTGAGAAAAACAATAGAACTAAAGATCAGTACTTTTTGGTTGGTTAAAGTTTCCACAAATGAGTATTTTCGAGATCATTTTCAAAGAGATTCATACCTGACCAACCATTTGCACCACGAACATCGAATCCATCAAAATATGTAGAATACTTTTTCTACTGTGAATCTCACCCATTGAGATTCGTGCAGAGACTCATCATTATTCCCATCCTAAAGAGTTGCATCTGAATGGAATTTTTCAGATATTCTTTCGCTTCTTTTGTATTTGAAATCGATCCAAGTTTCCCTGATAATGACATTCTTCACCACTTTGCTGAATAAATTGATGATTGAAGTGAGATTGATGCCAGTTAGTATTTTATTGAGTGTGTTGCTGAATGATTTGGATCGTGGTCTATGTACTTATGGTAAATATTTGGGATTGGCAGTGATAGTAATTGTAGATCTCCATTTGAATATGGTGCAAAGTGTTTTTGTAAACCAATTGTTACACCCTGTAACAAGCCCTTCTGCATGGTCTTTAGCAACTGTTTTGAACGGAAAGGAAATTTCATTTATTAGTTGGTGAATAAATAAGTTTGTTTGATTTCGAAATCTAACTGACAGGTGCTCATTAAAGTCCCCACACCTTGTGATCGTGAATTTTGCATGAAAGAAGGAGGATGCAAAGATTAATCAATAAAGGGTGTTGGAGCTTTGAGGTTTGAGCAATCCAATACTCAACAATGAATTAACTCACTTGCGTGAATACCTGAATTATTCAACTAAAGAAGTATGAGATCAGTCCCTTTGAAAACGATGAGGACAAGGTATAGGATGAATGAAACATACCGGCTTGTTTTGAATTCTCTTGACTGTTTTCCTCATCATCATGAAAAGTTGATTGCGCTGGACTTGATTGTTTTATATATTCACTTAGTAAGGGTAAAGAAACATCATATTGTACAATGAAAGCAGTCGAGAAGAAAATAGTCGATGATTGGAATAACACGATTTTCTGGATGATCGATAACGAGCCGATTGAAATTGGTTGCCTCTGAACAATCCAACAGAAATGAAGAAGGTATACCAGCTGAATAGACAACACAAAGCAAGGCGTAGGAGACATAAGATGAGATCAGCTTGGGTTGAAGTAATTTGATTGCACCCAATTCACACTTACACATCCATGTCCTAGAACACTCCACCGGGTACAACATGAGGGTAAGGTAAATAACAACTAATATGTTCATCTTCCTGAATAGGATAAGATATGAACTTAATCGAGATCACCAAGTGGGTTTGAACTTGAAATTGAAGATTTGATCTGAGTTAAAGGTTGACTGGAGTGAATGTATAATAACTGATGATTTGGAATATTAGGATCATTGATAAGATCAAGGACAGGTAAGTTGGAAAGTAAAAGGGATAACCATTTGAGAGTGATGTGATTCGATAGCTGATTAAGTTGAGATTGAGCCGCCAAGTTTTGATCTGAAGGTAATGATGGTGTACTGATTCGGCTATTGATTTGACTATCAGATGGAGTGGATACAGAAGAAGTTTGAAGTTTGAAGTAAAAAAATGGCATCTTTCTATTAGAAGTCTTGATGATATTGCTTGAACGAGCAGCAGCTGACTCAAGTAATGTCGGGTTTCTGAAATTAAAGAAACAGATCATTCTAAATGATGATGGCATGAGGCAAAATTGTCAGGATTTTGATGAAATTGGGGCTGGCAGTCTTGTGCTTGATCTTCTTTGTCTTTGTCTGCTTCTGATCTTGAACATGATGATTGTTTTCAAGAAGATAAAATTGATTGAAAGCTGACCTAAGAAAACTAAACAATTCGAAAATCCTGTATAATTCTAGAATAATTTTGAGTTGATGAGCTTGCAAAAGACTCATTTGACAAATGATATGATTTAACGACCAGTTTTGATTTGGCTATTGATTTGGTGAAACACAGGGACCTTCTGACATCTTATTTGTTTGATTTCTTCATTGAACCTTGGGTGAGAAAAGGTACTGATCGGTGGCATGTGTTGAGGAATCAATTAAGATTCATCAGGTTTAGATTGAGAATCTTTTTTTTTGATGATCATTATTGAAATTGAGAATCGAATGCACTCGAGCTATATAGGATAACCTATGGCTGAAGTAGCAGATGCTGAATTACATATGGAAATAAATGTCACCCAATAGGGTGAGACACGTGAAAGTTGCCTGCACCAGTTCTCCAATTGTCCGATGAAATAGACAATTACCATGCCAACATGGCATGGCAGATCCGTGTTGCTACGATTCCTACAGCAAATCAATTCCATGATTGGTAAGTCGCTGTGCGTTTTGAAGACGTATGGATAGTGAGTGTAAATATCAATTGCTTTGGCCACGTTGAACTGACGGTATAATATACTGCGCGTCTGTTGGCAAATGGGGTATAATAGATAGAGGTTCTTGACAACGTTCAGTATGACACACAGGCGGCCGCATACTGGTGGTGTGACACATGTTAATTCGATCGCAATGTGTGGAACGGATTGGTCGGGGATATAGAGGCGGCAAGGAATTGTTTGTGAAAGACGTTTGTGATTGAAGGATGATTGGAGGGATGATTTATTGGTATGACTGGTGCCAAGATGTGTGTTAATAATGATGGAGGATGTCGCAAAGTTGGAGAGATCGATGCAAGGGAAAGTTTCCGGTTGATTTCGGACTTGAGTCCAAAACTAATTGTAGGGGGAGCGACAGATACTTGTGTATTTTGTTGAGGTTTTGTAAGAGAAGTGGCTTTGGGATTAAATGTTATGATAGGTTGAATAGTCATAACCAGACACCTTCAAACAGGAACAATATAACAAAAAACAAACATTTTGGCAAAAAGAAATTTTAAATACGCAAACTAACCAATCGGACGTGCGCACGGTCTGCCATTATTCTTGATGTACAGGCATGCACAGGTAGGACAGGTATTGTGGCAAACAGATACAAAAACACATCAATCACCAGTTTTGTTATTAAATCTGACACCTAAGTACAAATCCCAGACAAAACTGAGACCCAGCCATCTTAAATGATCAAGTCCGCATAGAGTCATATTGGATCTGAGTCATGCAACACCAATTGTACACTGATATCGGCTCGTTGGGATATGCAATTTCCACCATGATGAACAACAAAAGTAAAAATATCGCTGTTGAATATGCGGAGAGATCAATCAGCATAATGCGACAGGGGCAATGTCTATATCACATTATCAATATTAAAGTTGATAACCTTTGAACTGCAATCTCAATCAATATGATCAACCTTCAAATATCAATTGGAGGTGCCAACCTGGATGCTATCCGCTATACCCTGTAAGGCACATGACCAAACTATCAAAATTGATACGGTTTCGAGTCAAGGATGAAGAACTGACCATCAATTCACAATACTCTAACTGACGCCTGAAGTGACAGTGTATTCCATACTTCTTGAACATTTCAGCAAGCTTTTGATCGTTTACTGGAATTCCGTTACATGTCACAAAGATGATGTGCTTGAACTTCTTAGGTATCTTGAGGTAAGTCTCATTGAATTCATTCAACTTTGATTTCCAGTACGCATGTGAGTGATAATACCCCGTAATCAAGACTTCCATGTTTCGGAATACCCTACATACCAACCATTCAAGATCATCATACATAATGCTTGTACAGTCAATCGTTCGAATAACTCAAAGTTGAGGAAACACCGTATTTGCAATTTCGCGAGGCAGGAGATCAGGTATTGTTTCGGAGAATAGGATTTGAAGTGAGTTTTGAATCGCTAGCACTAAGGAGGCCGGGGCTTGAAAGTCATTGTGTGGTGTATATTCTAAGCATTTAATATTCTTAGCATAATACTTGCAGAGGTGAGAGATAGCATCCAAGTTGTGCAAATCGCATTTGACCAATAAGTGAACAAGTCGCCCGAGTGAATCGGCATTGAGCTTCATAAAGCGCAAAGACTTGATTTCAAGAGTTAATGATTGTAAATTCTTGGTCACATTGAACAAATTTGCCAAAGATTCTTCGTCATTCGCATGGATTGTACACAAGTTACCCACAATGATCATGCACCGAAGTTGTTTAACAGATCCTATCGCACTAATTAGGTCCGACGAGAATCCTACTGATCCATCAAAAATAAATTTCAAATCGGTGAGACTATTCCTACACAACCTGATTACCTGTTCCACATCCTTCATACGGTTTGAAGAATAATCATGACATGTAGGAGGTAATTAACGCCTTGAAGACAGATAGCTCGCCATTGATTCGAATGGATTCATAGTGTTCTGTAGGTTTGGATAGAGTAAGTGGTCGAAGGAAATACGCCGCAATTGAGACATCGTAGTGATCAGGTAGGAGTCGTTCCACGTTTTGACAAAACCACAAATCATTAATGGCGAGCTCAAGTGCATACAGCGGAACACAAAGGGCACAACAGCAATTGCCCATGCTCTACCAATCAATCGTAAATTGAGCAGTTCCAACACCAAGGAAACATTTGGATAAGGGAGATCAGCCGAATTCACTGCGCTAAGATTCGACTTAGGAGATGCTTCCACAAAATGATGAATGATGATATTGACAACTTCAATTGGTATATGAGTGATTAGCCACATGTTTAAAAAACGACGAACAATGGCAAACCGCCTACAGGTTGTTCGATTACGCTCTATATGAAGGACTGATTCATCCTAGCTTCAGTCACCTGCTAATACACAAACCAGATGTCCATTGGGGATATTTTCGGATTTAAGTAGACTCTAACTGGTAGCATGTCGATACGCTCAGGTAAATCAAGATTCCCATGTTGGGGAAGGAGAATTACTCAGCAAATTGATTGTTTACAGTAGACAAAAAGAACATGTTGAAAAGCTTAACTGGGGACAACTATAATTCCTGAATACACTCGAGGATCCAGATAGGACCAGATCAGAACGTCTGTAGGGGAAAATAAAAGATTCAGATAGTGTGTGCGTTCATATGCGATACAAATATTAGATTGTGTTACAAATTGGTAACTCTAAGCAAGGCAGACCGCATAAGCAGATGAGATTCAGCATACAATAACCTGATGAAAGTCTGGTGCAATGATTACATACAAGATATCTAAGTCACACACCAAAAACGTGTTCTCTGTTTCACAACGCTTTACCTAGCTGTAGCAAGGCCAAGCAAAAGAGAATCATTACAAAATATATTGTGTTACACATTCATATTAATTGACTGAAAATCAATTTATATTTCTAGGACAAAGATAAGTGTAGGGCAAAAGATCATTCTTTTCAAGCACAGCAATCATGACGTTAGGCAAATTTTGACAACTTTCAATATGTTCCAGGGGTGTCGATCTAATTAACATAATACAGTGAACCGTATAAGTCAGGACACAACATAGAGAAAGTAAAAATATAATGGGACTAATGACCTTGTTGATGAACACAGTGACAAAGACATATGTAGTCTTGAAGCTCAAGACAAAAAAATGCTGCAGAACAAAAATTACCTAGGCGCGCGGTATACCATTGCAGACAAATAGTAAAGGTAAAAATGAAGCAAATGAGCAGTTCAATAAGAAGCAAATCAAGCATAGAATTGTAGCAAATTTCAAAAATTCCCCGGACGCTTGTGCAGTTGACAGATGTGATGTTATGACACCATAAAGCCAAAACCATAATCGGCACCCAACCAAAGGCGGAATCAGTGAAATGTTTGGCAAACTGAGGATATACCTTAGAAACAAGTAATCAAATCAGGTCAGGCTGTGTTGCAATCACAGGAGGTAGCGTCAGGAGATTAAGAAATTGATATGAACATTACACTTTGTGTCAAAACTGCAACACTGGGTGGAATACAATATTATTTGTTACCAAGCCTCCTGACTCAGAAGGTATACACACCTGAACATTTGAAGCAGTTGTGCATTGTGAAAGTGCGACGTATAATTGACCATGAGCGAAGACAGGTTTTGGAAGTAAGACAGCCACTCTGTTTAAACTCTGTCCCTGGCTCTTATTAATTGTCATGCCAAAAGCAGGCATGATGGGGAATTGATACCGAGAAAATGGTGTAGGACAAACTTTGTTGCTTTTGTGTGTTAGCACAATTTTTGGCAGACTGATCGAGGTACCTTTCATATCTCCAGTAAGGATCCGACATTGCAATGCACTGTGCTTGACGTCCGTCACCAACAAACGTGTGCCGTTGCAGACCCCAACAGCTAAATGCAAATTCCGCAAAACCATGTAAGAACCACCAACTCTGATATCTATCTTGTGAGCCGGAAAACCTGGAAAATTGAAACTGTTCAACACATCCACCGTGACAGGATCGAAAAAATCTTCATGAAATTGATACACCACCGTTGGCTGGGATCGATTCCATCACATGTTGGTTCAATGCATTGACTGTGGCGTTTAATGGTGTTATAATGCACCGATCAGAGTACAGGTTAATCAACCCCGGCCAATTGCGAGTACATATGAGTTCAATGATTCCACCATACTCCGTATTCAATAATTCATCATCAAATGCAGAACCAGGTGGCATAAGAGATACATTACAATGTTGCAGCATGATAGGTTTGGTATGGTCCTGTTGCAAACCACCTGAGCCCAACTCCAATAACCACTTTGCAAATCACACATTTGTTGGGTTAGGATGAGTTGATGTTCCCCCAAGCCGGATATTGACTGAGAGAGCAAACTTTTTGGTGAGGTCCCATATATATGATGCCTTCAATGTTGCCTTTGCTTGTTCCATCAATGTTGCACGACGTACAATTGGTAACATCTGCCGGAAGTCGCCTGCAAATAGGACAACCTTGCCACCAAAAGGCAAATCGACCCCACTGACAGCCCTGAGAGTACGATCGACAGATTCAATTGCATGACAATGTTGCATCGCGACCTCATCCCAGACAATAAAGCGTGCAGCTATAAGAGCTTTTCCATTAGAGTCAGGGGAGGAGAATGAGCAATAGGAGTCCTCATAGATGGGGATTGGTATCTTGAAAGCGGAATGAGCTGTTCGTCCATTCAACAGTAGAAGAGAAGAAATACCGGCCGCTGATACTGCTTCAAACGGGATGTTATGAGCGTTGCAGTAGTTTAAGATACAATTCAAAGTAAATGTTTTGCCAGTCCCACCTGGGCCGTCCAGAAATCCCAGGTGGGAAACATTCTGATTGATGGCATCATGTATGCTGGTGAAGATCCTCTTTTGTTCTCTTGTCAACAAATCAAACATGGAAGTATACTTCCTCATACTTTCTTGGGGGCCAACTGAGTTTGAGTTACAACCCATATCTTCGTTTGGAATTCGAAGTTGATATATTAAAGTAGGGTCCACGCTATGCAAGCCAACTTGGTCCAGATTAGTCTCCATTGTGATGAGTGTCTTCTCCAAATCGTAGAGTGCATAATTATGAATTTGATCTCGTGTAGGTTGGACCAGAGGGTTCAATTTCTTGATCAGATGTTTGCAGTCATCGGATAAATCGTCAAGATGTTCCTCCCACAAAGCCATTGGATTTGCTGGGGAGCTGTGACATAGAATAATGGCAAGCATGTGACGCAGTTGCCTCCCAGTCTTCCATGTTGCAGCCTCGGTCAAAGATTCATGATAGTTGTGATCATCCAACAGCAGACCTAGCTTGTCCGCGGCCTCCCTAAATGTATTGTAAAGCACTCCATCAATAGTACGCAGATACGCGAAAGAAGTGGGACCTGGAATGTGTGATAATAAAAGGCGTAAGTAATACACATCGCCCCTTTTGACGTTTGCAAAATATACACGGCCAATAGATATCAGACTGTTCTGGCGCGGAGTTAACTTCTTTTCCTTTTCGTTCCAACAGAAATTGTCACACGGCTCCGTTTAACCATAGAATGCCATGTGCACTAACTTCATAACAAGATGTCTACATGTTGATACCAAACATATCAGCTTCCATATAAAGAGTTTATTATAAAACAAAGATGCGGCAGTTGTAGTGTAATTGCCCTGATAAACACAGTAACTAAATTGCATAATGTCTTGAAATATTCGTGACAACAATGATAATCAATTGTGAATATTGGACCACAAACAAAGCGGGGACACAACAAGTCAAACATTGTGAAAGTACTACGTCTGACATGCGTGGAGCAATTTCAGACACAATGCCGCAAAGGCAGAGGCATCACATCAAATGTATCACTTGGTCAGATGTAATTTCAGGACATAGAGCGCTAGAGTGTTTACAAAATTATCTTTAGGTATTGAGAGTATTTTATTTTTCACAGATTGCATTAGGATGTTGTGAGGATTAGAGTTTATCTTAATATGTGCAGCAAAATGGAGAGAACTTATACATCATGATGGTTGAGTTGTGGTTAAACTGGGAAAGTCACAGCACATGACACGCAGATTGTGGGCAGGCTTTGTTGCAAATTGAGAAACAACCACTAATCAAAATCAGGATTAGAAGGGGCTGACATAGTATTGTATTACTAAGATTGTTGGGAAATATCAATGGGAGACAATTGTCAGGGAGCAGCAAGTCGAATCCAGAGTATTGAATGAAAGTAGTGATGTAGAAGCTCACAATCAAACTTAGGTGTAGTTTTCATCTTCAGTAGACTTAGCATTCTTGCGCTTGGGTTGATAGCGTGCTCGTTTTTTGGGAACTTGCTCTTCTATGTCAGCGCATTCTGCCGGTAATTGTTCTACCTTAGTTTTAGAACGGCTTGCTGAACATCCCGAGCTTGAAGAGAAACGTAATGAAGCGTTATTAGCATAAGCAAATGTGGCGCTGCTGATGCCATCTTCAGGAGTTATCGCGAGCTGATTTTGAGAACTCAAGGATCTGGGTTTGAATCTAGAATTACGAGTATTAAATGTAATGCCTAGTAGTGATGAGAGGTGGATAGATGTCACACGTACTTTTTTGGTTTCTTGAGAGTATTAACATTGTCGTCGTTTCGTGGATCATTTGGGGCAGGTACATCCTGGAAACCAGTTGTCATGTGGACTTTGTTTGCCTACAAAATTAGATACTCCGTTATCACATATTAGTCCACGCTGAAGGATAAAAACTCACTATTACAATATAACATGAGGTTGCTTCGTTAAAATCTTTGATAAAGCCATGGAATTGGCATTTGCGCCCAATCCTTACAATTGACACAATTTTAGCAAGGTTGGGAGTGGGGCGAATCCGATATTCCACTGTGCTTGTACGGGCAGTCTTCATCTGAAAATAGTGACAATTAATACTTACTTGTTCAAACCAAGTTTTACACAACTTTGTACTTACTATAGGATGATGATCCGAGTGCTGAACCGTGAATACCGTAGTGGCGACTGGTTCCTGGTCTGGAGTCTTTTTCATGTACTGGCAGCACTCCTCAATAATTGAACTAATTGCAATCACAATGCCGAGGCCTGTTACTCCCACACAATCCACTAATTCACCTCCAAAACTGTCACTGTCGCCTAACATGGTTACATCACTGCCTTCGAAGATGAATTGATTGGCCTTTGTATCAGGGGAGTTAGAAGGGAAGAGTGCTCCACGCAAGAAGTACACATGATTTTCTAGTAGTTTGAACTTGGCCCCGCTAAAACCTTTTGCAACAATCTCATATAGCAACGGCTCTTGACGGTCAGCACCACCACAGCCAATAGAAATTGTGTAAGTTCTATATTCTGATCGCCAACCATTGTCCGGCAATATCTGCATAAAAGCCAAACATTGTTAATATCATATCTCGGAGCCAAAAATGACATAACTAACCTTCTCTTCAACTTCAAAATTTCCGGACAAATAGATACCACGATAGGTAGCTGGATTCGAATCAGACATGATGAGGGTATACAAACAATTTATAGGCTTAGGATCTAGAGTTATAGGACCTGATGGGGCAATGTGGTCTAGAGTCAGCAAAGATTTGAATCATACAGCAATGGAACGGTAGTCACAAGTAACAATTATATCAATATGTGCCAAGAGGTGATCGATGGGAATGTAATTATCTTACTCTCAAAACCCATTGAAGTACTGTCTTCTTATACATTTCGGTTCAGCCAAGGAAATCAATCAATAGATGCATGAAACCAATTGACACGCAGATTACTGTGGTGTGATAGTAGCTCCATCAAAGATTTGCAGCCTTTGCAAGATTGCCCATTGTTTCAAAAACACGGAGGTCGTCAAAGTGTCGGCGACATTAACAGGTCATTCATATGATATTAACTGGCAGAATTTAGCGCATGAAATTGATAGCAAAATTTGACGTTGAGTGTCAGCTTGAATGGCGCCTATGTAAGAAATTGAGTATCTTCATAGGAATCATGTCAAGCGGAGTAAATATGAATGTGCGTTGATATAAAGATGGTAACTTGCACTTCGGTTGATGGTATATACCAAAATGAAAGCAGGTTGGCATGAAATGGTAATTCCCTTGTGTCAGTACATATTGAAAGCAGGCAGCTCAATATATGTGCGTACACTTTGATATACACCGCTCCACCATGTTGCAATTGACAAGATGTGTGAGATTACGCTTGGTGTGTTGTACATGATTTTGAGGAGCTCAATATGCTGTCTGCCCTTTGTTGTAGATAAACTGCATCAACTCTGGTATTTGAGAGGAGTTGAAATGGAGGCTAGGTTATGGGTGCTTAAACTGTGATCCTTTGAAACATATAATCATTGGGAAATGGAGTGATTCAGCAAATTGTTTGCTGACGTTGAAAGGTCAATAGACAGTTGTGCTTTGGGTTGTCGCGGATGTTTTATGTGTCTTTGATGTGCAGGAATGATTGACGCTGGCATGTGGATCCAGATGATTTCTGCCCCAGGTCCAAAACTCATTTGGCTGGAGAAAGGAGAGTTTGGTCGATTTTATCAGGTTTTGTTTTTGAACCCTTCCTTCGTTTAATTGTTATGATTATTAATTAATAAGACAATTTATTTTATTGGTCTTATATGCTAAAAGCTTCATTTGGAATAACACTTTTGTGTTGAGTCAATTTCTCTGGTGCCTTATTATCAAGATACTTTTCTCTTTTATTATAGTCCTGGTTATTTTTCTCTGTTATCAGGAGACTTTAACAACAAAGTCCAGTTTGTTAAAGATTCTCAGGAAGAGCTGTCTCAGACACATTCTGTAAAGTCATTATATTTACAGATTATGCTCTTTCAAAGCACTGTATAGCCCCTTCTGTGCTATTAGTACCACACCGTGAAGTTTGTTTCACGGACAGATCCCGCTTGTTATTCTTGCTGCACATCAAGTTGGTGACATGCATCTTCATCCTTCCAAAAACATGGGACAGGTTCCCCGGATAATAGGAGTATAATCACTCAAGCAAGAGTTTGGTGAACACTCTGGTGAAGCACTGGGTCCTTGTATGGATCTTTCAACCGTCTTATCACAGTGTCATTTTACTCGTCACTGGCAGGCCAGTGAGTTCCATTCACCTCAATCCAATCTCAATTCAATGTCAGTTCAATATCAGTTTGACCTCCACTGATGTTTCAGTGGGGGGTATTCATGGGCTGCATAATCACACATACCTTCCAGACATTCTGACACCTTCATGTGTGGACATGCAACCAAACTTTGTTCCAGTTCATTCTGGAAGGTTGTTTGTCTGCTACTCTAGGCCAAACATTGAGATTGGATCAATACTGAACTGACATGGATTTGAGATTGGATTGAGATTGGATTGAGCTGTACATACTCACTGGCCTGCCAGTGAGTAGTAAAATGACACTGTGTATCAGATGATACCCTTCTGATAAGACTTTGGGTTGAGTCTTTGTCTTGCAGGACATTATCATTACGGATTTTTGTTCACTCAACTAACTTGTGAGGAAAGTTATTGACCTGTTGACTGAGGTGATTGAGTTGAGTGACAAACACATGTTTTGTGACTCCAATCAACCACCTGAGTCAACAGGTGAATAACATTGCTCACAAGTGAGTTGAATGGTCAAAAGTCCTGACACATTTTTTATTCGACAAGCCAAATTTTTCCTTAAAATTGAAGTAGAGAGAGAGGCAAAAAACCGAGCGGAGGGAAAACTGGATCCCAAAACCACACTCTAACTTAATAAAAAAAAAACGCAAAAGAAATGGGTTCTGATGATGCCTTATCACCTCATCAATCATCAAACTCTGATCAAGCACTTGTTTCTTTCATGGACCCTTCAGCATCTTATCTATTACCGGAACTGCAGTCTAATGCAGAAGTGTCGAAAAACCAAAACAAGGTCTTATCAGAATCATTGAAGATCATCTGACAAGACCTTGATTTTTTTTGATGTGCCGCAATGGACTGCATTTCCCGTAATAAATAACACACGGGAAGGTCCATTGATGGATCAAGTCCTTGATCAGTGTTTGATGAACAAAGAGGTGACAAAAGATAAGTAGAACCTATTGATAGTGCCATATTTGGAGTCGGAGATGCACACAGAAAAGTGAATGAAAGAGGACACTCAGGAACAGTGGAGTATGAGGTCAAATCAGACATGGTATATAAGACAAAAGGTTGCAGCGGCCAACTTGTGGTATGTACACATATGCTCATGGTGGTCACATGACTCACAAACCCTAACCCCTAGCCATACATTTTTCAAAAATTAGTCATACTTTTCTAAGAGACCTGACATTTAATTTCTTCTGTAATATACCAAGATTGCCAGATGAGGAAAGAACCAGTGGTGTGTTCTTGTATAATGACATCATAAATAAAATACGCAGCCTGAATTAATATGAAGTCAATTGGGATGAAGTGTAGCAATTGCAGTCAGAGCATCATCAAGCTTTGCAGAGCTGGGTGAAATCCCCAGGGCCAGTTTTTTGAGGGGGTCATAGTGCTTCAAGAAAGCACTTTCATAACAGTTTTCTGGAAGGTTAGCAACGACAGTTCCAAAGGGGTTGACTGTATGGCCTTCTTGACGCCTAGTATCTAATCTGTGGGTAGGATGAATCCTCAGCTTGATAGTGGATTGATCTTGATAGGATAGGTGGTCAACTTCATGTAGCCAGTTGCCATACTTGACGCTTTGCCATGCTGGACAAATTGACTTCTGGATTGGTAAATGTGGCTCCTCTTCTGTATCAGAACAGCATTCAGCATTGGGTAGGAGGTCAAGAAATCGTGGAAGATGTTGCTGAAGAGTGGCTTTACAGTATTTCCAGAGCTGGGTAGACATATTATCAGAATCGGACTGGAGGATGCCTAAATGGATAAACATGACCTACATCTCTTCTCTTTTTGCTCCAGGTCCTTTGTTCAACCTTGCATGGATCTCGAAATCTGCTCTTGATTTCTTCAATCCGCCCAATCACCCAGTGAGTCATGATCCCAACTTGAAAAAGGTCCGTAGGGTTGTCTTGATCCAGTCCAAAATTCTCAAAAGCAGAAGCAGCCTTGGAAAACTTCCAATGCTTCACAGTAAAAAAAATCATTGTGTGATTCCATGTACTTTTTTCACCATGGTCGGCTTCCCATTTGAAGGTGAAATTATCATCTTTTTGATGATTGGCCAGGTCTTTGAGGAGCAGAGTCTTGAATGGTGACCAATCAGATGTAAGTGAATCGGCTGAAGCATTATAGGTGGTGAAGACTGTGGTATCATGTAAGATCATTTCCATAGTCAGAGTTGAAAGATTCATAAGTTGATCATTGCCGGGTGAATCAGGATAAACTTGGTGTGTTTTGGTGTAGCCAAGCATGAATCTTGTGAATTCAGAATATGATTTACAAATTGACTGATTATGACCGGGGATGTGAGCGCTCAGAGTCTTATTCTTTGCTTTGCGGCTCTTCAGTGGTGCTCCATTCACCCAACCACTTGAGTGTTTTTGAGTGGGAGATGCCGAGATTGTAAAGGGGAGTTATTAGTTTTCAGCTTTTGAACCAGAAGAACTGAAGAGGTGCTACCCATTTGAATGCGTGTTGATACACAAGATTACAATTTCTCCTTGTTTGATTTTATGGAGAATTATCTGAGGTGATGTTGATCAAACAAGATAAAGTGATGGTTAAGAAGGAGGAGGCTAGGAATGGGGAGTGCAGCCTGAGACACATTTATACCTCTAGCCCTACTTTCCTGCTACTTCCAAAGACTTCTGCACCTGTTGAAGACATTTCAAAGCCATGACACTCTCAAAAACATCAAGTGTCAGGCTTCTGACCCCACTTTGTGTCCTTGATGAATCCAGTAGTTCTAGTTCAGATGTGATTCAAATATTGTGCAGATGTACTAGGGCACAAGTTAAAACCACTTGGTGCAATAAGCATGGACGGGCAAGGTCGTGACATACAAGAGAAATCTGTTTCATTGTTTGACTTTTTTTGACACAAGCACAAGAAAGAAATGACATTTTTACAGCTATTTTTGTTCAAATTACGATACCTTTGATTCACAACAAAAATATATATAAAAGATTCAATAAAAAATTTGAACAGATTTAAGCCCAATACCCAATAAACATATGAAACAAGTAAACACTCAATATAAAACAGGATGTGATTTTTTGTATATATTTTTGTCCAACACTAAAGAAAGAGTTGATTTTTTTTTCCAGCATTTCACACCTCCTGAGATTTTTCCAATATACAAGTAAAAAACAAAGAGAAATATAATTTGATAATGATTGAGATGATTCTATAAAATACCCTTCAGAAATCCTTGAAAGAAAAAAGATTTTTTTTTGATAATGATTGATATAATTCAATCAATAACCTTTGAAAATTCCTATGATGAAACCTCCATTGCGTACTTGTTTCCAACCTTTCTCATCAAATGCTCATTGAAGGTTTGGAGTTCAATCTGCTTCTCAGACAACTCCATGCCCTCAACTGCCAGCTCCCCAAGTTGATTCAGAAATTCTTCTCTGATTGAGCACTTAGGAAATTGCTTCGGTGGTAGTTGGTCTTCCGGATTGACAGCAGTAGGTGAGTATTCAGCCCTGGCTGCCTGAAACTTGGCTGCGTTGGTCTTCTGGGCCTTGGTTGAGTCTGGGTTCTTTTTGGCCATTTTGTTGGCAAGGTGAATCAATTGATCCAGCTCTGGCTGTCTCCAAGCTAGCTAGATCCAACATTGATGTGCGGGCTTTTATGGTGTTGCAGGGACGGTTCAATCGTTGAATGCCTTGTTCCTTGGTGATGCTTAGCAACTCTTTGATCCGTGTGACATTCATAGTGTCACAATGCATAAGGTCCTTAATTTGAAGCAATATAGGGAGAATAAGGGGATTACTTTCATGATTATTCCCCAACATGTGGAGTCCATTGAGATGTTGGCGGCCTATTCAAAAAAAATGAACCAAGTGTTAGTCATGAAAGTTTTGATAAACCAAACAAAGCACCTTACAGTCCTTGACGGCACTCTCAATTTCTGCCAGGGAGAGGACCCTTTCTGTTTGCTGTTCAGTTGAGCAAGACATGATGGTTAATGAAAAGTGAAAGTTGGGGGTTATTGTGAGTTGTTGTGAGTTGTTGTGGGGGATCTGAGCCAAAAAGGAATTTTGGTTCAAAACTTGGGGTTTTCTTTTTTGTGAAGTACTTTTGACCTAGCTTTGGCTAGATTTAGCCCAGAACCTGTGAGACCAAAAAGACAAGTGGTTCTCAACACACCTTTTGTTTTTAAAACCAAACACAACTTGATTTGGGTCATCAACTGAGAGCCTGTGAGACCAAAAGGAGAAGTCTTTCTCTAAAATGACTCTTGTTTTCACCTTTCATGTCCACTGTCCACACAAAAGTCATTGATCTCAAAACAGTTCTATGATGTTCCTTTGACCCAAGTCTGAAATGTGGGTTTAAAAAAATTGATTAAATGAAAAGACAAAAAAAATGATTAAACCAATGGATTCTAAGAAAGCAAAAAAGATAAAAAAAGACTGATTGAACAAATAAACTCTAATGAATTCTCACTTACAATTGCCAGGTGAAAGATTCTGAAACACTTCCCCACTTTTCAAGTCTATTCTAACCACACAACAACTAATAAAAAAAATGAATTGAAGGCTTGGCAAAACAAGCACTCCAAGTGGGATAGAGAAACAACCTACTTTTGTTCTGCACTTGATTCAATGTACGATATCCAATCCAAGGGTTAGATATACAACTTCTAGCACCTCATAAATCAGCCCTACCCTTTCTTTAGCAGGTTTGTACCCCAGCAGGTAGTTTGGGAATCATGTCTTGACCTTGATGAGCAGCTACCTCAAGCAATTCTTTTAGCTCTGGCTCACATAAGCCGGGTGTTTTTTCAGGCGCAGGCTTTCCATCAAGCACAAGGACACCTCTTGGGTTTAAAACTTCCTTTAAAAAATCTAAAACTATAGCCTCTGCCAGGACCTGTGGCTGGAACATTTCCATGGCCTCTTGTAGCCCGCTGGCCTTGTAGCTGCAGGGCTCTCCATCAACTAGGGCTGATACCTTGAGGGCTTGAATGACAAGGCAGTCCAGATGGTTCCAAGAACGTTGGGCCCAATGATACTCCATACAGTCTTTGTTTTGAACCAAAGCAATAGCAAGCTCTAGGAGTTGAATCAAATAATTAATTCCAGCTTGCCAAGTGATAGGTTTGAAGAAGCTGATGGGGCCAAAGGCCAGATAAGATATGAGTGACTGGTAACATATTTTCCCTTGTGCCGAGATTCTTCAATTTTCCCCTTTTGTTTAGTATACTGGAAATCTTGTGGGCTGTTTCATTTAGCTTCATTCTTGCAGCTTCCAGGCTTCCAGGCTGTGAATTGTAATACATCAACCTGATTTTTGTTTGTCGCTTGCTAGTCTCCGTACAAGCCCAGGGGCCTTTTTTCTTATCCATGCCATCAATTAACCACTTTGCCCGTGTTGGGGTTGCTGACATCCACTCTATAACCTTGTTTTCTATTATCAAACTCCTTTTGATCCATAGCAAATCAGGTAACATCTCCAACAATTTACATTTGAGCCTTCTTAGCATCGCAGTTGATCCATCCAAATTGTTGCTTTCATCAGCTTTCCATTGAGTCGCCAAAGTTCTCTCCAAAGTTTCAATGTCAGCAGCAATCAGAAAACTTGCTTGGCTACCTCGGTGGCAATCCACGGTAGGTTTATCAAGCATCAGGTGGAATGCTTCTGATACACACCCTGCAATCACCTCTGCTTCTGAAACTAGGCTTGGGTTGCTCGGAGTTGAATCCTTAGAGGACAAATATTTGCTTTTGGTTTCCCTGGGGAATATGGATTGGTTTCGTAACCCCGTTCATTGAAACTTTTAGCTGTTGTCTTTGCCTCCGCTAACAGAGTTTCTTGAACCTCTGCGTAGTTTCTGATCGACGTGTCAACAGTCTCACGCATAACTTCTTGTCTCACCAAGCTACAATATCTTAAAGCAACCATATCCACCCAAAGTCCTTTTGTAACTTCTTGACAACATTGATATGGCTTTCAACTCTTTCCGCCACAGGTTTCCAGCCGCAAGACACTAAATGGGCACAAAATAACTTCATGAAGTCTCACCAGACTTTGAAATCAATTGTAAGCTCTTCTACAAGTGCCTCCGCACCGTATGATTTGGTTTTGCCAGACTCTTTTTTATCTGACTTCATTGTTCTAGAGGACCAGGCCTTCTGGTCATTTATTAACCATTCTTTATCAAAAACCGTAAGGTGAATATATGAGGCCAGATTTTTCAAGATGATTGTTAGGCCAGGTGAGAATGGAGCTAGGGATTGTTGCATTTGAGCGTTTCCGCCTTTCAGAACTTGGCTGTTATGGATTAAGTTGCTGTTTTTCATTTCCAGTGTACCTTTCTTTGAAGCCATGACAGCTTTTGCTCTGTCCAACCTCTAGCATGACTGCTGGAGCCAGTTGGGTGAGGGTAGCCGGACGTTGGCTCTGATTGACAGGATTGGGGACCACCTTGTGTTGACTTTGTTGGACAAGGTGTCTTCTTCATCAATGACATATTGTCCGGGTCTCTCCTTGGTTACCGGCGCATCACCTTTGTTCAACAATTTCAACAAAAAATCCGCTTCTGCACCGCCTCCTCTTATGTGTCTTGGATTAAGGCGCCAAGAGCATTCCTCCTGAAGTCTGTTACCAAACAAGGGATGAAACAACCCCGATTATGTTAGTTCAGTCTTCCTCATTTTGGAGTTTTCCGTATGGTTGATTTGGATTTCATCAATCTCTGAAACCTATTGTTAGCCGGGTCTGGCTGGATCACTATTCCAAGCTGGATCAGGCTGTTGGTAATGTTCTCTGGGGCACCTATTGTAAGCCGGGCCTGGCTGGGCACCTACTGTTATCTGGGCCTGGCTGACTGCTTATTCTAATCCGGGGATAGTTTTAGAACATTTGGGGGGGGAATTTGAACAAATGGGGGTACAGGAAGAGGATTTGGGGTTCAGGGATGAAAGCAAAGAGTATTGGGAAAAATTTAAAAGGAAAGATTTGGATGTATTAGAAATGATATATGAGTTCTGCTTACCTAGTTGATGTGTCATTCTTACGCTTTGCTCTGCCAATTCTGTTCCATTCAAATTGTCTTCACTAATAAACCCTTCCATTCCTCTTCTTCTACCACTTCCCTCCAATTTCCTTCCTCTTCTTCCTCTCTCTCCTGACTCCTATAGATCCCTTTCACCAGTTTCCATCCTTGTCTTTCTCAGGCCTAATGGCCCTTGCCTTTGACCATTCAACGGGGTTCTGTTTGAAGCATTGCTTCTCCTTTTGTCTCTCCTGTTTCCATGTCTTGGAGTAAGGAGACAGCTACCTGGTCAGATTTCTGTCGCAGCCGCATCTGCTCTAGTCAATCTTATATTCAAATTGTCCTTGGTCAATTCAATTTGGTTTTGAAAGGACATCTTGTATTCTGAAGTCTTGCTGTTATCATGCACCTTTTAAGTTTGTTTGAGTTTTGGATAATGTTGAGTATGAATATCTTTTATTTGTTTGGTCTTTCTGAGAGTATGCTAATTTTAAAAATAAATAATGCAATCAGAAAGTATTACCTTGAGAGATCACGCTTTGATTGTGGAAGAATGAGAAACAAGATTTTTGAATGAACAGAATTTGAACAAGGGAAAAAGTTCTGTTTTGATTTCATCTTGGTCAGTGATATGTGACCTACATGTCACTTCTCATTTCACCGTTAGTGGACACTTCCACCAAAGTGTGCCTTAATTGGTGTATTACAGGTTAGTAAGGGTGCCACAGGTGATTAGCTTCCATATCATGTGCTATATATATTGCACAGGTAAGAAAATTTTTTCAAAGTGTGCAGGCAAAACCTAGTATTGAATTGGGATACCTGTTTTGAATGCAATATACATTACATGTTATGTCTGAAAAAAAGCTTATGCCATTGAAATAAATAGTTGGAATCAGAGTGACCAAAGTTGAGCCCTGACGCTTGGCAGGGTCAGTGGGTGATAATCCGCTCACAGGTAGGTTATGTGTCAGTTGGTTTTCATGCTCATGCAAATATTATTTATTGACAAGGCTTTGTTCCAAGAAAAGTAATGCCAAGTAACCCAGGTCAGCTGCCAACACCTGCAGTGCCTCTAAGAAGAGCAAGGCCAGGTTATGTCTCTTGGCCCTTTAAACCGTGAGAATGTGGGCAAAGGTCAAGGCCACAACCCTAGCTCATGGCTGTGTTAACCTAACCCACATACAAACCTATCACTTCTCACAGCATGTAAGCTACACAATGTTAGTATTGTCATGACCTGCGCTTGTGAACTTCCCACTGTTTTCCCTACCCTGACAACTTGATCCTACCAGCCAAAGTCACAGTCAACAATCAAATATCCTCCCCATCCAAACCATCATCAATGGGCTCACTTTGGGACTGCATGCCATTGCATTGGACTGCAATCAGGTCCCTTGCAGTTGTCCAGAACTGGGATGCAGTCAAAAGACCATTCAATACAGAGGAAGTGTCCATCAAGGCAAAATATTCAGCTGCCAATCTTATCCAAGACATTTTCAACAGGCACCTTTTGTGCCACCTGAAGGCAGTGATGCAGCAACCGACCCAGCTCCTGCTGTTGATCAACCCACACCCAGTACTTCATCATAGATTCCCGCACCTCAGTTCTCATATGTGAGTGCAATGATTCTAATCTATCTTTTCTGGTCAACTGACCCTAGACTTGATACCAGGTTCCCAATTTGTCTACAAATCAAGCCTTTACAAGTACAGTGGTACTACCTCCTATTGGTGCAGTGTTTGCCGCCACTCCCCCCAAAATAAGGGCTAGAGAAGAATTGGACAATGATAGGGAAAGTGACGACTCAGACTTGGACAACGCCGTTCCTCCAGAACCAAAAGTCTTAAGAACACAGCTCACTTATACAAGTATCACCCCTTCACTCCCAAAAGAGTTTTTAAAGCATCCCATGTGTTTACGAGAAATGTTTGAGGTTGCAACAGACCATCTCTTCAACCGGCTCAGCGTAGACGCCTGCCAACAAAGCCTTCAAACAGCTTGTGATAGTGTAGAAGAGCAGCTCAAACGGTTGGATCCCAACCTCAAGACCACACCTTGGAACCAGATTCCTCGCACCATTCCAACACTTTGAAAGACATTTGGCCTCAATACCACCATCCAGAGCAAAAACTTTGTCCATTCTGCTGTGCTCTGCATCCTGTACCACCAATAGATCAAATCAATATGAATCAACTGTACAATCATCCTCAATTCACCTCAAAGACATCTAAAGAAAAACAAAACCTTGTGATCAACCACTATATGACACACCCTCTGGAAAACAAGTTCAAAAACCATCTAGACTATTTTTTTAGCAGTCACTGCAGTCATGGCTTGGCAAGAGGCTCAAGTTTCCCGCTTTTGAAACTGCCTTTAATGCATCTCTTAACTGAACCCCGCCCCCCAATCAACAAATGGATGACATATGGGATGGCAGCTTATGGAAAACCTTCCGAAAGTCAGGCTTTGTCTTCACTGGAAAGTCCAGGAACCTTGTTTTTGGACTGTGGTGTGACTAGTTCAATCCAAACGGCAAAGAAGCTAGAATCAAGACTTCTGTTGGTGTTATGCTTCTAACTTGTTTCAACTTGCCTCTTCAATTTGTTACAAGAGAGAGAACATCTGCCTTTATGGAATCATGCCAGGTCCCTCATAACCATCCACCACGGAAATGAATCACTTCCTCAGGCCTCCGGTTGAAGAGATGGAAGAGTTTGGGAAGGCACCAACTTCAGTTCAACCTCAAAACATCCTGTAGTCGGCCAAACCGTTCATGCAGCCATCTGGCTCATCCATGGGGACGTCCCAGCAATTGAAAAGGTCATTGCCTTCACCACACACTCTTCCAGACATTTTTGTTCAATCTGTCAAATTACAAACAGAATATATCACTCTGAGTTTTCAGCACCTAAATGTCCTCACCAAACCTCACAGAGGTAAAACTTCAAGTGCAAGCATGGAAACAGGCCACCACTGCCTATTATCAAAATGAACTCGCTGGTAGCAATGAAGTACGATATACTGTCCTCCATGAGCTGCCTTATTGAAAGTCCGTTAAATTCTACACCGTTGATACTATGTGCAACATCTTCCTAGGCCTCTTCAAAGACTTTTGCACAAATCATTTAAAATTGCCAGCCACAGGCAAGGCTCTGAAAGCTGAAAAGGAGAAAATGGAATTCAGTAAAAGAATGTACAATGTCAACAGCCAGTCCTGCAACTCCTGATCCACCCGGCCCATTAGCTTCAGCCCCGCTACCCAAACCAGCATCACAGCATTCCTATGGAACACAATCAGCAGAATCCAATCTGCATGACCAAGGGTCCTCTTCAGCTGGATCAGATGGTACAATCAAGGGTAACAAGAAACCAAAACAGACCCCATCACCATCACCACCTCCACCCCTACCAATCCCTGTGATTGTTCCATAAATCACATCTTATGGACTTGATCTGCGCCAGCACCTCTGGCTTGCAGTGTAGACGGAAGCGCAGGGCAGCGCGGAGCGCATCCCCCGGTGCAGCCGCTTCATAGGCCGAGAAACCCGGACCTGGGGTGTTACGTCTCCAGCTGACATTTTGGTCGGCCCAAAATGGGGTGCTGCAATTTCCGCAGATAATCTAGACTTCCAATTCCCCCACGGTAACCTACAGTTTGCCCTCTACCACCTTTTACCACATGACTCACTCCTTCCAGCTCGAGCAATTGATCTATCAAGCCACCACTCAGGCTTTCAATGTTTTCTTGCCAATCAACCACAATCAATGAGGTTCCATCTGGCGCCTCAATGAACAACACCAACCTAATCTATTTCCAGGGATTTCAAGCCATGGAGTTTCCATGTTGCCAGGTCTCAATATCACACCACCTCCTCGACCATCAGTGGCCTAACCAATTCGTACACTTGCCACTGTGGACAAAACAAAAGGCTTATGATATCTATGCAAGTTGATCATTTGATTCAAAAGATCCCATGAAATCTCAGTGATAATCCTTGATCTGATCTCATACTTGCTTTTGTCTTCCTTTAATATCAAATTGATTTCATTAAACAATAGTCTCTACTATCAAATCCACATCCAATCATGTCTAACTTAAACAAGCAAACAACTTTCACCTCATTTGTGTCTTTGGGCTACAAGACCATTGATGGAACCGCCCCTCCACCTCCACCTTGCCGCTTGTCTGAAGTAGTTACACCAGCTAGACCAGCACCTTGAATGATTGTTCCATCAACTGATTCTTGCCGCGGCCTTTTTGACTTAGGTCTGAGTGGGGATGTGAGAGATGCACATGCTCATTGACGTCATGAGCACTCGGCCTCACTACCAGGAACTCTCAATCGTGGTGAACCAGCTTGTCAATTAGTTTCCTTGTTTCAAACTCTCAATCAATCAAAACATATGATTGATTATCTGTCTATCTCTTTTGTATTTGCTTTTCTCTCTGTCTTTTTCTTCCATCTTTTTCTTTGCCTCTGTCTCTTTGTTGTATCTTTCCTTCCATTGATTATCATGAAACAGGGCACAGGTATCTCAAACCAAACTTGAAACCAAGGACGCTCTGTCTTGGCATTGGTTCCAGATGTTGAGAGCGTCAACTCTGTGGTTACTTCAGGACGTCTGCTCCAATCAAGGGCTCAGGCAAGCTCACAAGTAAGTCACTTAAAGAGATAAAATTCATCATCTGATACCTTTGCTGATCCTATTTCTTCTCTCTTCACGTATCCTTCATCATCCAGGCCACAGCTACATTGAAGCAAACTCAAAACCGAGGTCGCTCCGCCTTTGTCTCAGATTACGAGATTGGCAACTCAAATACGTCAAGCCCTGCGCGTTGATCAAGGGCTCAGACGACTCAAACCCTGGTTAGAAGGTCATCTTTTCATTTCATCTTGATTTTCACGTTTTTATATAATTGATTTGTATCTTTGAAAACCCATAGGATCCAACACCAAACCCCCAATGTGGCCCAAGATTTGGATGAAGATAACAAACAAATTCAGAAATGAAAACACAATCAGCCCGCTGAGATCGCATCTCACGGTCCATACAGTTATTTTGGTTTGCCTAAACATGGAGTGAACCACCTTGGGCACCCAGATGTAAGTAGATATTAGTTTATTTCAAATGGGATCCATGATGGCTGACATTTAAATTGTTTGTGTAGCCTCCTGATGGTCCACCCCTCTTGTACACTTGTCTTGTGTGTGGCAAGGTCGTCCAAATCAGCAGAAGTTCACAATCAAATCTGAAGGTACACCAAGATGGGAGCAACCCAGATGGTAAGTCAGGTGCAGGCTGTTTTTGATAACAGCACACGATAGCAGCTGGTGCCAAGCTACCTCCCAGGGTCTCACAACTCTGCGCTCAGCATCTCCAGAAAAATCACCAAGGGTCACTTGCAGCCTTTGTCACCCCAGCGCCTACATGTACCAATCGAACTCTCAACCAATGCCTTGCATTTTAGCAAGTTTCTCAAGCTCTCCCATTCAAGCAAATCAAGGATCCCATGCTCATATTGACCATGAATTGGCTAAGACCTGACGGCTGTGTCTTTGGCCGAAGTGGGTAGCTGATGAGGCCAAAAGTTTGTACTTATCACTGCGTGGCACAGTGATTGATCAGGAGATCAAGGTGAGTTTTTTTCAATGATGACTCATTTTAATATGATGCAGGCTTATCATATATTGCATTTCGCTTTGAAGAACCTGACTAGCAAGTTCTGTCTCATACAAAATGTATGGACAGTCAAAGGTAATCTTCACGCTTTCATTGGCACATTGGTATCTTTTGTTACAAATGACTGGAAGTACATAGTGCTACACTTGACCTTGAAGCTGGTTGGTTCGCATCATAAAGGAACTTTGCTTGCCAAGCCCATGGTGGCCATATTGAAGAAGAATGATATCTATCATAAGATAAGTGTTCTATGACTTTATTTATCCTTTCATCATTTTTTTGTTTTGTTTGATTTTGAATTCCGACAGAAGTTTTATTTAATGTTACATGCTTGCGAATGTTTCTGACTCGGGTAGCAATAACTTTACTCTGGAGCGGGAAATGCACCGACAGCTGTCCAAAGAAGCTCTCCAATCCGGTCTTGACTTTGCTTGGAATCCAACAAAGATGACCATTAGATGTTTTTGCCATAAAATGGGCTTGATGATCCAATCCAGCCTCAATGTGCTTGGAATGAAGCCCCAACGAGTTTGACACATTGGCTTAGGCAGGTTTCCCCAACTTGAGGTAATGGCAGTTATTAACAAAGATGGCAAGCAACTCCAAGACAAAGCAGTATCCGACCAAGTTGCACTTGATGAAGTTGATGTGGACAGTGAAGACGGCGACCATTGGGATTCCAAGAGCAATCACAGCAGTGATGGATCTGATCTCCAATCTAACACTGATCCAGACAAAGAGGACGCTGAACAAGAGGACAAGCCCGCCTATTATGGACAACACAAGCAAGCATACCTTCTAGGTGATACTTACATGAAAAAGCTGACAAAAGATGTGAGTTTGAAGACTTCCTCTCTTTGATTTCCTATCTTTGATTCTAAATTTGCTAATGTTTCCTTTTTGTTAAGATGGATTTGGTCAATAAGAAACTCACATGGTCTTCCGCTCACCGAGTCAACTTCAATTGAAGTCAAATTGGAGCAAATACTCAGCATCCATCAGAAGGATTACACCCACTCAAGGCCCTGCTGTCTGGTCGTGGCATTTGATGTGGTATTTGCCCGGAGCGTTGGGAGCGAATGTGGGCAGCGCAAGAGGTATGCACTTTTCTATAATGTTCTTCAAATCTGTGTGTGGTAAAATACAAGGCTAACTATTGTAAATTGTTTCTTCTCTTCGGCTTATAGATAAAGTAATGAAAGAAGATTTGACGGAGGTGCTCTCAAAGAAGTGTTGTCCAAGGAAGGATGGTACAGGACACAATGTGATACTATAGTTCTGGCAACTATATTCCACCCCGGACTTTGACTTCAATTCCTCACTCACACATTTCCGAATTTGTCTTGCCACCAGGACCAAGCTCAAAAATTATTGGAAACTGCTTTCACATCACAACACAACTCACAAGATCTTTGAGTGCAACTCAACTTACCTCCTTCAAGTTCAACCAATACTGCTTACTGCTGATGATGATGATGAAGGGTCTGTACCAGACTTGTTGAACCTGATAACAAGGTTGTTGCTTCAACCAAACTCAATGAACTGAAGCAATACCTCCAAGGTATCAACCCAGCGGTTTCTCTGGATATGAACAATCCACAATGCGCGTGGGATTGGTGGACAGTGAGTAATTCAATCTTTTTTCAAATCAACATTCAATATGATAATCAATTGCTTATCATCAATTTTCAATCAACAGATCCATACCGGCAAATACCCACTTTTGGCAATACTGGCTCAAGATTACCTTGCCACTCCAGCAGCCTCTGGTGCCCCCAAACAATTGTTCTTGATTGCAGGACAAATCTGCACGGCTGACACTGCCAGCATTAAAGAGGTTCCCTGGCGGGAAAATGGGGTCCCCAGGGAATCTTTTTGAGTGTATTCCTGCAGTAGGGAATAATTTGGGAATCCTGTAGGAATTTACACATGATTTTCAATGAACAACAGGTGCACTTAAAGGGTAGCTGAGCTCACTACTTCCTGAATCTTGCTGTTAGAATCAAAAACTGAACTTGTACACGCACTTCATTATCTTCAAAGGACACATTTTCATAGAAAGAGAAATTTCAGCTCACATTTGGCGCAATTTTGCATCACATTTTGTTAGTCACACCGCGGGAATTATTAGGTCTGAAACCCAATTGAGCAGAGTTGTGGTGTCCGAGTCCGCAACTTTGCTCAATGGCGGGTTTTGTTCACAATATGTTCACATTACAAACACAGGTTACCCTCAACCTCTGCTGGCCCCTGCCCATTGTTCAAATTTTCATATGTATTATTATGTACATATACTGTCACTGTTCACATATATATACATATTCACATATGTATATGTAATCTCTGCATACCGAAACGACCCTATTAAAAATCCTTTCAACATTTCCGCTGCCTTTCACTCGTTCATGTAGATAATCTTTATTCTCAAATCTCTGGTAGTATTTGAAATGCTGAGCCGGTCGTGCAGGCCCTGGGGAAGGGTTGCGCAAGAGGCGGTTAGTCGGGCGCGTGTTAAGCTACGACGTAGGAGGACCTGGTCTACAGGTGCTTAGTATGGCTCGAGGGTAACCTGTGGACATATTGTGAACGTATTGTGAACAAAATCCGCCATTGAGCAAAGTTGCGGACTTGGACACTGCAACTCTGCTCAATCAGGTTTTGGACCTAATAATTCCCGTGGTGTCATGCACAGTCACTGCGGCAAGCAATAGGATGTTACACAACCCGTAATTGTGATGCAACATTGCACCATGTCTCATTAGAGGTATCAGGCAGCCACACCTTTTTATGTTATTTTTACAAATTTGGGTAAGTCTTCTGTAAAAAAAACTGCATATGTAAAGACAATGTAATTTTAAAATGAGAGACGTAACAAGGTCTCCTGTTTTAAAAAAATTACGCACTAAAACTATAAAGCTTTTTTTACAAAAAACATACCCAATTTTCTCAAAAAAATACTCAAAAAAACCAAACACAAAACCCCCTAAGTTCAGATATATAATGGTTGCCTGATACAACATGAAAACACCTGATACATTGTATTGTATTAGATTGGTTTTGGTTTTGGTGTTGCAGGCTGGGTCAACTTTAGTCTTTGATTAGCAATCTGCTCTGACTTGGTAAGCTCATATACAAGCACAATTGGAGATAGCAACCCTTTGTTACACATGTGGAGATTTCATACATTTGTCTCATTTGATCAAGTTGCTCTCCTTCTAGTCAGTGACCATTCATTCTCATGTTGGTGTCTTTGTATAAAGCTGGACTTGTCAAATTATGACAAACATAAACCTTACCTGTAATTAAACAGTGAAAAGCAGAACCTCATACTAAGTCAGTTCCCTCACGATACCAAGTTTTTTTTTAAAAAGACTCAACATCCTTGATAGACAAGAACATATATATGGGTTTTGTATTCCAAGTACAAGACTGATTAAAAATAGACACAGAACAGCTGATTAATGACTGACACAGATGATGCAACTAGTATGTAAAGTACATACCAAAATCTATCATCGATCAATGGAGACCATTGCTATGCTTTCCATACCTAAAAGGAAGTGAATCTCTTTGGGCTCGTAGACAATCCATGCACACTGAGCAATTAATTCGCTGATATGGGTAAGGCGCGGGGTGCTTGTTAATGTAAGGCGTAGATGTACCTGCATGTCAGGCATGTTGACTTTTGCAAAAGGATTCGGCTTGTCATCTGGTACCGGCACAAAGTATTCAACCATAAGCCATGTATCGGAAACAGATGGTCGGTTTCTGGTTGGGAATCGTTCATGTCTGAATATTGAGACAATTCGCCCAAACAGTGTTGCCCCATTGGAGCGCGAAACTACATGTATTACACTGTTGTCTGGGTTCTGATCAACAGTGGTGTAGAGAAGTCCATCGTGCCAAATTCCAGTTTCAAAGATTGCGTGTGTTGAAACCGGCGCGAATTCGGCAGCGAGTTCTTTTGAAAGATTGGCCCACTCGTCGGATGGTAACCAGATACAGCCTTCCGCACGGAAAGAATTCAAACGCTTGAGTAGTTGATGTGAGATTGCCTCTTCAAGTGGCTGAGACTTGGATTGATTGGTGGATTGGGGCTCAAAATCGACTGGGTCAAAGATATTCTTGAGCTGCTGGAGTAATGGTCTCAAGCTTTCCGGTATCTTGCGTTCGTCATTGAGTAAGGCAGATAGATTTCCGGCTCGACAGAAACTTTCAAGGAAGGTTATCTCGAGCTCACCTATCACAAATCTTGGGTGAGCGAATTCAAAAACAGAGAGTTCAATACAGAGACACAACTTACCCAGGTGATTGTTGTGACAAGCTTTCAAAATCCGTCCCATTAGTCTTTCAAACGGAAAAGCCCACCAAGCTCGAACAGGTCCAAACTTGGCAAGTATATCTGGTAGATGAAGAACCATGTGGTGATTCGGAGCGAACGAACAGTGTTTGAAAAGGTCCAATGAACTTTGTAGGTATATCTGGAGGTTCTCTCGAAGTTTTGATATTTGCTCGGAGGTCATAGTTCTTTTAAGCGCTAAGTTGGTCAGGCATACAAGACAACCGAAGTTATGCAGAAGAGCACTGTTGCTTTGATCGTCCCCTGTCCATTTGGGAATCAATATAAGAGGCAATTGGACCGTAAACAAGATTCTCAATTCGTCAGCCTTCAGTGTTCCAGAACCTTTTTGGCCAAGGGTTGGCAAAATACGCTGCAGCGAAGAAGGACTATGGATCCTTTTTATACGCGAGTTGACTATGCGGAGTATCTTCGAATCAAAAGTCACAGTGTGTCTTAGTGGATGTTTGTAGCTACCATCCCAGCCGTAAAACATTTGTGCTAGGGGATCAAAGGAGTCGTCACCGGAAGAGGTGTCTGACGGTAGTTGTGCTTCGGCTAGAGGTACCCCGCCTTGGACTTTTGGGGGCTCGTGTTGATATCGTTCGTGATTTCGGATTTTGGCGGTTGATGTGGCTACCAGGTTTCGAATCTGGTTGGTTGTCATAGGAGATGGAGGAGGTTCATTCTCTACCTCCTCGGACATTGCCCAAAACCTTGTCAAATGCCAAGAAAGAAGTCCTAGGAGGATGTTGTGCATGGAGTCAATTACGTGATAGTCCATTACCTTCCAATAGTCTAACTCGACCATGACAGAATATCGAACACCAGATGATTCAAAGATAGCTTTGCGCTCGGCGGCAGTCTCGGCATCACGGGCAGCAATCGCATGAGCTCTGTGCTCGGCTGAAGTTCTAGGTGTCCAAGAGCTCGAATCGATGTTGGTGATGTCATGTATAGTCATGTAACAGAGGGAACAGAATGCTGTTGCACTGTGATGGGCCATTCCCAGGGCACCTCGCAACGCTGGTAAGTCCGCTATAAAAGGTAATACAGCTGCACAAATTTGTCGACCTTTGGGATAAAGTGGGGTACAAGAGAGCCACATCCCCTCACGCCAGAGGGTGTTGAGCTGGGTCATAAGAGGTCCCATTACCCAGTTGCTCTGCTCGAGCGAAGGTGACTTTGGACCAGGAGCGATGCCAAAAAGGAAGATGTTTTCCGGAAGGAATCGAAGATCGACAGGTAAAGTCAAGCATACCAGAACAATAAAGGTGATACTTGCTGATCGTCCACCTGGCTTCTTTCCCAATGGTTGAATTCCGTCCATGAACATTGCAAAAGTCAGATTTCCCGTCTCAGCCGTGTATTGTGCACCGTTTGGGCCACAAAACTCTTTCCATATGAGTGATTGTTGTATGTCATTGATCGGCGAGGTTTCGCTGAAAGGTTTTCTCGATTCTGAAAGAGATTTGTCAAGGTGCTCTTCAATGGATGGGCGGCATATAAACCGTGCGATCCATTCCTCTAAGTCTTGAAAGGCGAATTTTCGGACATGTTTTCCGTTCGGCAAAAGAAGAGGCTGCGAACAAACTCGGAAAGTAGAAGAGCCTTCATCGAACTCGTTGAGCGGGTGGTCAGGTGTCGCTGACGGGTCATATTGATCACCAACTAAGCCTGGGACACAATCCGAGTAGTGAACACAACTTTCAGGTGTATTATCTAAAGGGTATATGGCAAAACACGCTGAGCAACAGTTGAAATAAACCAAGTGTGGGTCAATTCCTAACCACCGGTTCACTGTTCTGATATTGCTTGGAATTTGGCAAAGAGCCAGAGCTGTTGTATTGAGCATAGGTAGCCCAGATGGTTCCTCAGTCATTCCATGCGATAAAGTCAACGCAATACCATCCCGTTGAGCCCTTAGCAGCCAAGATGCTGTTACGAGTGAAGAGTGGTCGAAGACTGCCATGAGACTAGCGACCAAGCAGGTATGAGTTACAACTGGTATTTCACCGATCAGATTATGCTCGAGGAACTTGGCTTTTTGATCAAACAAATGAATCAATCAGTAAACGTTTCAGAAGACGAGAGAGCGATGACTTTAATACGAAAGCAAATATATATGACAGACAATGCAAGTTAAGAAATACTCACTTGTATCGAATATATTTTTGGCAGGACCTGTAGGTTCCCCCTCCAAGCTTTGGGAAGTTCGGCGACTGGAAGAACTAGTTGCGTGGATATCCATGCGATCATCTGCCATGAGGTTTGTGATAGGTTCTTGAAAAACTTGGTCTTGATGTTCATCATCACGGTTGTTGACTTCCATCAACTGATCCTCTTCGTGAACTTCATCGTTGGTCACCATAGGTCGAGCCTGTGATTGAAGATCCGCTAGAATAGTGGCTCGCTGATCCGCTGCCCGGTGGATTTGACAAGTATTGCGCGGAATGAGAAGACCTGGCTGATTGACGCCGTTGACTGGGTGAGTTTCTTTGATACATTTCGAGCACAGACAGAGAAAGACAGGCTGTTTCCCGTGGCTCATGGTGTGAGAAAGGCTGAAGATTAGAGGAGATGGAAGGGGAGATTTGATTCTTAGCAGGACCACATAAGTAAGATTCCGATCTTCTCTTAAAGTTACATACATGATTATGTACTGACATCATTTCTTCTGACTTCTTCCAATCTCTCTTTTGTTTCTAACCAGCTTCGCTCGGATACCAAGTCTCCTGGAAGCGGATATCGTCGCTGCTGTTTTAAGTTCTTTCCATTTGATGTGTGCGGAGTCGTGTTGTCCGGGTAGGAGAGCTGGTGAACACATTCTTGGAGGGATCAGAGATGAGACTTTGAAGAGTGTATGATGCGATTAGCTTGGTGGAAAATAACTTGCATGCTAAAGACCAAATCCATCTGATTCTGGGGAAGTAGCCTCAATGAATTCAGTATTAGGTTTCACAAGAACACGTTATGATTCAAAAGGTTACCAAACCAGCTTTCAAAGAATGAATTCGCCTACCGCGGGCCTACCTTGTGAATAGATGGTAAATTGAAATGTGATTCTGTACTCATGGCTGTAAGGCATAATAATGGAATCAACCAATAGGATTGATCCTGGGTATTACTGAATCTGGTGTATTTGGGAGTCCTCTGTCTCACTTGGTTGAAAAATTGAATTGTGGATACAAAATTCAAATTGGATTACGACACAGAATAATATTGGGGAAGAAGCTTACATTGAAAGAGAGGATGATACATAAATTTTGTAATTAGATAGAGTGGCCATAAAAATTATATATTGAGTGCGATACACCTAGCAAGGTTTTTCTTAACAGCAGCCAAGATAGGTTGCTCAACTACCTTCAACAGTTCGCGCCGACCAACAACTGCGTCCAACCACACGGGACAATAGCAATCGACGTTGAGGCCCTTGGGAGGTCCTCTTTTGCTGACAGGGTAGTTTGCATTATGTTGGCGTACTCTTGGTTGAGTTCCGGGGGAACCCTTGGCAGGATTTTGTCTTTCTCGGGCGGCATCTATGTCGTCGAAGATTTTCTCAAGTTGGGGATTTCGCCAAGGTAAGCGCCAAATTTTGCACATCTTTCTATCTTCATGCTGATCAGCCTCGGAGTTGGTTTCATCATCACTACAGCAAGCCTGGACGACTTGAGTGAGGGTCCACAGATTGGGCCGGGCCATTACAAACTGACTTCGTCCTTCTCGAACCTGACAAAGTGTTAGAGATGAAATGAGTTACTGCTTTTCAAAGTTTATATCAAAAAACATTTATCAAACTATCTCACATTAGAAATTCGATTGTTTTGAACTCTGGTCTTATGTCGTTGTTCCAGTCAGTGTTGAGACCATTCACGTTTCTCGCGGAATCTAAAAAAACATGGATTTTATCAAAATGATGAACTTCAGAAGGTATTTAGAAAGTTGAAAGGCCCACTTTCGACGCCAGGTATCATTCAGATGGCTCAAGATCAGCGGATAAATTTGGCCAGGGTCCACGTTCTTAGAGACACCGGAATATTCGCCAGAACGTACAAGCTTGATGAATATGACAGTGGCAACCCGACAGAGGTGGGCATTATTGGCCAAACCCATGGGTTCTGACCATTCCGGTCGATATTTCGCAACACCAGCTTGATACAACGTATCACGAATGATTTTGATCGTACCAGGGCTCTCATCCTGGTCCGCGAGTCCGCTTGTGAAGGTGGTGTTGTCACTGTCTTGTAGATTGGACGGCCCATTGGCAAGTAACCCCTGCATGGTGAGATGGGTATTCCAGTTACGTTTCTCGGCGGGTGAAGCACCATGCGGGATGTCCACGTGATCTGGTTTCCAGCCTAGGAGAACGCGGACGAGCTTCCCGATGTATCTCTGGGAATCACATAGGAAGGATGGTTTTTAGTATGCTGAAATGAAACCAAGGAATGAGGTGTTGATTTGGATTTCAGACTTACTCTTTGTGGAGTAGTTCTCGCACATGGTGAACCAGCTATTTGACTACCTCGATTGTCCTCGCTCCTTGGCTTATCCTTTGATAGAGCACGCTTCACGAGGTCAAACAACATGTCCATCTTTGCATTCATCCGCCGAATGTCCGCAGAATTCGTGGAGGTGTTGGCGCTCACAACAGAGACGTGTTTCCGTAAGATATTGAGCTCTTGTCTGGTGTGAGATGCGAACTCCGCTGATGGTGGTAGATCATCAGCCAGATCTGATAAGCCCGTTTGGAGTGGTGATTCTGGCCCAGCCGCGGGTGATTCATCTCCAAGGAGGTTATTGTCGTTCCATCTATTCATTATATTGTCTTCTAGCTCCTTGGCAAGTAAATCTTCTTTGTTTTCATCCGAAATCATATCTTGATTGATCGCCCGACCTTTACCCTTCCGTCTGGTATTTGATGTATCACCACTCAAGTCTCTAGTTGAATCTAGGCGGTTAGTTTGATTTAGAGTCGTTGGTCGATTGGATTTCTTTGATTTTGAAGAAACTTGTTCGCGTTCATGGCTACTTTGCTGATGCATATCTTTGTCGTTGTCGTCCGAAGCTTCCATGTTGGGGTCTGGTGTCCAGTCATCATCCCGCGGATTGTCAGGGTGATGCTCTTCATCTGAATCCATAACGATTTTCTTTTTTCTTTGACTGGTGGACTGGAGTGCAACGTGCCTGGAAGGTGGAGCTGATTTTTTGGGGGAAGAAACTCGTAGCTGTAGCTGATTGCCTAGTCGCGGGGTAATCTTGACACGTGATGATTTCAAGCTTTGCGGTGCAGCCACATTGGCTCTGTCAGTCTGAACACTGCCTGACCCTTGGGCACGCCCACGCCCACGCCCTCGTCCTCGACCTTGACTGGCGGTAGCAGTTAGATTGTCATCCTCAGATGTATTCTCCGGGTCTGAGGGGGCTGTTTGCAAGGCGTTTGATTTACGGCGAGGGTTACGAGAATGCACGGCTGGATGTTTGTTGTCGGAATCGGAGTCATCTCGAATTGGTTGTGCTTCTGAAAGTATGCGAAGGAGCTTTTGTTTCTGAGAACGACCTGCGGTTTTAAAGGTGGAAGCCCGACGAGTTTTGGATACACGACGAGAAATTTTATCCCGCGGCTGTAGGCGATGGTCCAAAATTGGACCAAGAAGGTTGTCTTCCTCGTCAGACGAGGAACCGGAAGCAGCGTGAAGGAAAGTAAGATTTTTGGGACTACCAGGCTGGGAATTGACACCGGCTCGAGGTGAACTACTACATGAATCAAGAGTTTTGCGAGTATGGGGACTTTGCGATCGGGAAGATTGGGGTGAACGTGTTCCGGTTTTGGGACTACCAGGCTGGGAATTGACACCGGCTCGAGGTAAAATACCAAGTGAAAGACTGTTGCGAGTATGGGGACTTTGTGGTTGGGAAGATTGAGGTGAACGTGTTCCAGAAGTACGAGAACCTATATTGACGCCTGTAACTTCAGCCATGGGAGCCGTGGAATCGTCTGCGTCGCCAAAGGGGTCAGTTTTGCACCACTTCTTCAAGATGTTGGCCGCTTCTTCTTCTTGGGTGGGGTGAGCATCATCATCCCGCATATCTTGGGTTCCAACGGCGCGATTGACAGGGCCATCTCTCGCAGGTTCACCTGAATCCCAAAAAAAAGGTTGACATTAATTGGAAATAATCGAATTATCAGTCAATTGCAGCATAAAGAGAATTGCAGAAGACGTACGCTGCAAGGGCGGAATTTGAAGAGTAAAATTGGCCGGAGGCCTTTTGTTCGGTAGCTTTCGAAGTACTCTCAATCGGCCGTTTCTTGCTTCGATATCTTCAATTTCGTCAGCAAGGATTTGATTGTTTTGTTTTTGCGCCTTGGAAGGATTAGTGTTCTTTCTATAAAGCGTAGACAACTGTTCGTCATCCACTGAACATCCGCCCACGTCCACTCCCACTTTGGATAATGCCGCGACCATGTGGTCCCTGGTAGGTTCGGCCACATCTGTTACATCAGACCAAACACGTAATGCGTGAGTCAAGCACGACCAAACTCCAAAGAATAAATGTGAGTTTTTCAAAAGTCTTGGATCGTACCAGAGGTGCCTCCCAAATCGGTACTGTCGCGTCTGCGCTTGGGACCGGCAATAGCTTTGATACCTTGAGGTGGAGATGGTAAGTCAGTATGTACACAACTTTAGTAATCAGCTGGCGTTATCCGTACCATGTGAGCTCGCATGTGAGCCACCACGCGAATCCCTGCTGCTGGTTCTGGAAGATGTTCGACGCATGATGCTGGAAAGAAAAAAAAGAGAGATTGCCATTCAGATTGCTGTTTTTGGATCGCTCTGGATACAGGGGCCAGTGATAGCTGTAAGAGGGCCGCATTCATACCTTTGACGTGTCTGAACAAATTCGGGATAATAGTACTTGAAAACGAGAGTCTGAATACGTCTGAATATGTTCTTGAGTTGTAACAGTGAAGGTTTTGGACGGTACAGTTAAGGAAAATTAAAAAGATTTGTGAACGAGAAGACGAAGAAAAATTAAGTAGTTGGACTGGGAGCTTGATCAACAAGGCTCAACAATCGGGAAAACAAGAGGACAGCGAAAATGCAGGTGGATGGACTGGAGGCTTGATCAACAAGAGTCCGAAATCCAAAAAGAGCTTTGTGAAAGAGGAGATGGCAAACGATTAGTCGGATGAACTGGACGTTTGATCAACAAAAATCCACAAACGGTGAAAATAGATAAGAAATATGAAAACAAAGAAAATAAACAATTAGGAATAGAGTGTTGGCCGGAACACAAGAGATCGATTAGGTGGATAAAGTCAAGTGGAAGTGTGATAAATAAAAAAGAATTAGCAAAGACAAAAACAAAAGTAGGAGCGTGAGGAATCTGCGATAAATTGAGATTGGATCCTTGTATTATGCAAACTCTTACCACGAATGAGGCCTTTGGGTACCCTTTAAACGTTTACTCAAAGGTCATATCTGTTGAAAGGCGCTGTCCTGTGTATCGAGACGTACTTGATAGTTCGTTTGCTCAGGCCTGAGGCTTGTTGGATGGCCATAGCGGCTCCTATGCTCAAAGGCAAAAGTAACTATAGGCTCAACAACTGAGTGTGGTGATGGTGAACTTACGCTCCGCCGGGGAAAGATGGCCAATCAGAGAGCAACCGGTCAATGACTCGGGGAATATATGTGAATTACAATTGACTTTCAGATGTAATGGTCGTCCAAAGCATGATCAAGGAAAGGTGGTAATGTGTCAGGAGTGACATGATCAAACAAGATTCATATAATAAAAAGCAGTAATCTACACAAATCTTGGGTCATTTGGACATATAACAGCAGTTCAATAACACAGCTGCGCCTTGTAAGATAGCCAATGTAAAACTCAATCCAGAAATAAAACTTAGATGGTGCAAGAGTGCCCAAGGAGCGCGCGATCTGCTGATCATGATAGAGCTCAAAAGCCTGTCTACGTATATCATCACCACCTACAAACATTATTTCTTATGAGGAATGACCGGTAATTCTTGCATGTTCTTTTCTTGAGGATGATTTGTAACCAAAAGCGGTGTGTGGAGTACTAAGTGCAAACTTCCCTGTGAGAATAAGGGAGACAACTGACTATTCTACCACCAAAGAATCATTCTGCTCCTCCTGATTCGCTGTTGTCATCTGCGTCTGGGGGGGGCACCCGGCCGGCTGCAACTGCAACCTCGTAGTCACACGCCCGCTTGCTGGTTTTGAAACAATGGAAACCGGAAGGAAGGATGTTTAGTACATTTCATATAAAAATTCCAACACCCAAACTATGCAAAGAGCAAACGAGAAGATGGAAATAGTATGTAAAGCGAGACAAAATCAATCGTGAAAATGTTCAGATTGATTAAGGGAAGAGGGTATATATGAGTGGGTCCCGTAATCAGCCCGCATAGCAGCAAATGGTACGATCGAGCGGAATCGCAGAGAAACCGTAGAACTTATATGACATGACCACCATCGTGTAGCTGGTCAAGTTCTCCCACTTCACCTCACATGGCATCCAACCTCAGCTGCACCTCTCACTAAATCTCCCACATCGTCCTGCTTCGTGAGTGAGTCTCTCCAGGTTCTCTCTCTATCTACCTTTCCCTCTTCTCTCTCTCTCTCTACCTTTCCCTCCTCTCTCTCTCTATCTACCTTTCCCCCTTAACGCTGAAATCTGTTTCGGTTGACAGACAGCCACTATGCTTCCGCCGTTTAGTGCCAATCCATACGCACGCCACAACCAGGCCATGTTGCCCGAGTTGCGAGAGTTGGTAAATGATCAACCACATGTTCCAATTATAGGTCCAGGCGACGAGGGTCCTATCCAGCGTGTCAGGCAGTGGGAGCGCGTTAAGAGGTACCTTCATAACGGGTTCTTCCATAATACTGGGCACGCTCTCGACGAATTTGTAGAGCAATTTGGGTATTTGAACGCTGCCGAGCTTGGTACGATTATAGATGCGATCTACACATTAGAAGACGAAGTCCACGATGTGATCTCCCACATGTCCGAGTGTCTTAACCTGATTGCGTACTGTGAAATGGTCCTACGTTCGCGTGATCCCGAAGTGACTTGTCATCACGACCTTATCAAGAGACAACTCGAAATTTCGAAGATGCAATATGAACGCTATCAACTTGCTTGGCAACATTTCCACCAGGAGGAATCGAAGCTTTGGGCCATTTGGTCAGAGGAGACGTGAGTATTAGTATAACGTTGTTGACGGCCAAAAATCTAAGGTTGACTTATGATCTACATTCACTTCTAACTAGCCACCGCGCCCGTGCCTTCCCGGATGCCCAACCTGGAGCGGCGTCCAACAGCACCCCACCAGTCTCTGATCAACTTTGAGGGATATATATATATACTGTGAGTTGTCAACTTGATCTGATTTTTCTCAAGATATCAATCAGCTGATTTCTTTGCCTTTTCTACGAAAAGTGACAAAAATCTCAAGGTATTTGTTCGATAGACGCTTCTCAGTGGGTAGTAGTTTGGGATTTTTGGCAGTTGTCAGAGGGAAAAAATTCAATATATCTCATGTAGCTCCTCATTCGTAGCGAGATGATGATTATAGCTTCCCGGGTTCAAAAACTTGTGCAAATTCTGTGGAATCGTGAATTTGAGCATGTTTCCAAGCGCGTGGAATTGCTCTGGGTTGTTTCAAGTAGACATAGTGTTTTCAAAGTATGTACGTTGAGAGACTTGCAAGGATATAACTGGTAACTCGTAGAGGTGGAGTGACTGTTCATGAGTAAGGCCATCAATTACATAAAAGCGTGGCTCGTTCTCATTCTCAAACATCTTATTAAAGGTTCAAGTTCTTTTGGCTATGACCTTCAGATTTTTGACATTTCCTCTTGTCAACACAAAGATTTGATCACTAGATCACCCCTCAACTTTTGCCACTGCTATCAAATACATATATAAATTTACCTGAGATCCTCCACACCGACGTGATAAAAACCCGTTGAACGGGTCATGTGAGGATAGTGAGGACCACACTATCCTCCCTTTGTGAGTACATAGCCAATCCCACTCTATAATCATATGAAAGGTGACTTTATGGACGCCCATGGCCAGACCCCTTTGGATCTTGGATAACTTGTCCTCAGACATCCAACTCGATCTTTCCGCCTGATCACCCGAAGCTTTCTTGCACCTCAGCACTCTCATATGTGCCTGAACATTTATTTGGCCAGCTCCACTCGCTATGCACTTAAACTTACCGGACCAATATCAAACGGACACGTCATGTCTATTACACCCTCAGACTCACTTTGTACAACTTCAAATCAAAAACACAGCCGATTGTCAAATTTTGGAGCAGGTAGATCTGGATGCGTGCCATCGCAGCGATTTCTCAACCTTCAAGTGTACACGACTTCTAGGACTTTCAGACTTTTTAAGTGGTGGCGGTCAGTCAGTTTACTCCTAAACTTGCATTATAGATAGTCACTAAGTATTGGTTGATTCTTTTCTAGCCGACCAGGGACGTTCCCATTCACATGGAAGTAGCCGAAGCAAGTTTGGGCTCTTTGCTGGACTCGTCGACATCGGTAATCAAGCTCCAGTTGTCAATTTCACGATTCATAGATTGCTACAGACCAAACTGTTCAAGCTCGACTATTCTGAAAACGCTCTTGACAAGATCTATTCCAACACAAATTCTCTCGCCCTAATAGCCTTCGGGACATGCGCCTTTCAAGAGCTACCCCTCCAGGAGTGCTCTGTGGTCTTTTTTGATATTAGCCACTTCATTTCAGATCAACTCATCAAAAGATTATCCCATATCGTCCAAGCCTTGTCGCATTTGGGTCCGAATGTATTGATAGCACGGTCAGTTTGCTTTCTTACTACAATTATATGACTACAACCAACCCTTACTGATACAATCTCCTCATCCTTGTTCTAGCTATCAGTTGCATACAAAGCAAACGGAAGAAGGCTCGAGCCCTCTCTGCGTACATCACAGTATCTTCCATTTTTTCGACCGACCGATTTCGGAAGAAGTTTATTTTCACAACGCGGGTACGACTTCCACTGATCAAAGTATATGTTTGCGCGAATCCTTCAAGCCAAGTTCGACCAAACCATCTGAAACGGGTGATGAACAAAGTTCCTCATGTATGTGGTGTTTATCGTTCTTTGGGTTTCATCTCGCACTTACTTCCTTCTCTGAATATTCAGCTCGGCCGGATTCACCTTCTCTCGATCTCACTGTTGTTGGTGTCACTCCAAACCCCGAGGAGTGTAATCATAAGCCGATAAGTATCAATCTGCCCGACGATGAAGAGCCATTTGAGGTGGACCCAGATATCTGGCAATTTTTACACAACAAACAACAACAATACCCTCAATACTGGCTTTCATGTAAGGCACACCAAGACTCCATATCATATGCTATGAGTCCAAGTTGATCCCCCCCGTGCACTTACTTCAATGTTCAATCAGCCAGCTCCAAGGAGAAGAAGCTCGTCTCTCCCAGACAAGCGTGACCTAACCGCATGAGTGGAGTAGAAAGTGTATGGGCAATGGACATGCATATGACCCTCACTCCGTAGTTTTTTGTCTTTGTTTTTGTGTGCTCAACGCTGGCTTGTATACTCTTGTATCACTTCTTTTGTATCATCCATGCGATAAGTCCTGGGCTTGTATTATGCCATTGAACAGTACACTGATTGTATCTCACGCCCGAGACTTGGGTCTGTCCGACTCTGTCTGATGTCTGTCCCCAAGTCACTTTGATTGGAGATGTCTGACTCAATTCGAATATGCCGACTCATAACCCTTGGGGTAAAGGACTGAGCCTTTCTTTGAGCTCTGGTAACAAACCTTAACAAACTCATTCAACTTCCGTAGCATAAAATGCATATTTGATATCATTCGACATGAAACGCAGACCCCAAAGCCCCTTTGTATTCAATCTATCCCATTTGTCGGACGTCCCAACAGCACCTTGCGCACCTAGACACTTCGAGTTCATTCAATACGTCAAACTCAGGTCACCCTCACGGACGCTCAAGGACGTTGAGCTATGTTGTAGAGCTGAGCTACCTTCGGTGATCTTCAATCCCTTAGCTTTACCCCTTTTCAGTGAGTGTCCATCGAAGAGATATTTAGTCTTGCTCTGAGACTTGATCCCGTCACTGAGTGCGAAGTTGAGTACTTAGCTTTGACCCACGCTTGTGTGGCTTTTGTGTTATTGAGGTTTATTGACTCAGCATGCTTTACCGTTCAGTAAGCCGTAGAAAGGCCTCAAGAACACCCCTTGGCGTTGTTCAAGGTATAAAAAGACAAGACCCATCTTTTCAGAGGTCCCAATCCAAGCAAGTCTTACACATCAAACTTGATACTCAATCAATCCATTATCGCTCATAAACCCATCAACCCAGCTTAATCTAACCTGCTAAATCTCACCTTATCAATCTCACAATGCAAGCTGAAACTTCAATGCAAGCTGAAACCTCGCGCGTTGATCTTCAAACGCACAAGTACTGGGATAAAGTTCAGACGATACCCTCTCATATCAAGTATTTGCTTAATCCTGATGTAGATTACAATCAGAAATCGACAAAAAAAGAAGACCTCCGAGACATGATGAGGCATTTTGGTATTGAACGCCAACATTTTCCTGCTAGTCTCGTGAAAGCCAAGCTTCTCAACAATTACAAGGACCTCCTATTGCCCAATCTTCAACCTTTCATCAGCCAGATGGACACTGGTGCAGCACGAGCCAGAGCCGCGGACAACGCCAAACGGTCCCCTTTCCTCCAGCCAGCCACCTCGTCACTTGAAACCCTTCGGTCGGCTATCCTCACGAAGATCAGGGCTAGTCTCGTTCCCCCAACCTTTTCCAAAACGGCACTTACCAGACTCTGGCGGCACGCATTCTATCCTGCTCCGAAAAACAGCTACGCCCATGTGGAGTTTTTTGCGCGCCCACATACCTTTGATGAAGCCGATCTTCCTTCTAAGAGCCGCGACGTCTTGCGACACGCCCTACAATGCGAGCACCCCGAAGTATTTGTACCTCTTGTGGCATGTACGGAGCCCATTTTACGCGCGCTGTACGAACGATTCGTCTTGGAAAAAAAAAACCTGGACACTGAGCTTTGTTATGGAGTACACTACTACATTATTGAGTCAGATGGTACTAGTCCAGGGAATAATTACGAGTATTCAGATGAGCAGAACTGTGAAGGATCAAATCCACCTAGCCTCTCGGCCTCCGTCAATCTCAATAAAAGTGTTAAGATGAATCTTTAATCGAAGGTCTGATTACTTCACTTTTTAATTCTATATACTATATATCGTCATGTGAATTGTGGATTGCTCCCCTTGTTATACTTGAAGTAATAAAAAACTATCGGTGTGGAAAACAGCACACGCTTTATTGCGTTATCGGAGAATATCTCTCAACCTTTGCCAAACTTCTTAGATGAGAGGTTTTGCTTATTCTGACCCTGAGCCATCTTCTAGATTTTTCTCTATTCGCTACCCAGTATCCTCCTGAGCTGTTATATCATGACTGATCTGTATTAGAGCGTCTTATATCAAGTTCACCTTTTCCGAAGGTATCAACAGCCCATTCACCAGTCAGTAGTTCTTTCAAACCGATGTGAGACGATTACACTGACTTCTCACTCGTCTCTCAGTGTACGAGCCTATGATATCATCGCCCCTTCTTCACATTTTAGACAGCGTGACGGGTATATCGCGGTTAATCCCATCATATCAGGCGTTTGGTCAACACAATGGGCTCAATCTCAAAATTTGCTTTTGAGTGCCTTTGTCTCCTTCATTTGATTTTCTTACGCTTCATGCTCTTTCTTTAATGCATCATCTCCCCCTGGCCAAGTGGAATCACAAACTGACCTCACTGCTTACTTTACACTGTTAAACCCTCTTCACCAAACAGTTGTCCTAGATCCTCAACTTCATTTCGTTTCAGTCTCTTTCCCCAAGTACTTCGATTGAAATCAAGGCTCTTAATTCATCTCCATGAACGAATCAGGATGCAAACCCGCCGGTCGCGAGGCTGCTCAAACTACTGTTGACCACTACGACGGCCAAGATATTATGATTCTTACCCCCAATGGAGCCAAATACATACGTGGTGTATGTATACTCCAGACTATCGGTACACCGTGAGACAGTTTCATAGATTCAACCTTTTTCCCGTTCTAGGGTCTTTGATCAAAAGTATACCCCGCTGACTTTCTCATGGCTTACCAAACAAATCCCATCATCAGTGAGAACTCGAGCAAGGACAAGCCTAATCAATTCGAGGCCAACACCATGAAGACCATCAACACACACCTGAGCGTTCTGAAGGATGTTATATCAAAACAACCGATCGTTATAACTGCGGAAGGACTCGGCTACCATGGAGGAGTACAAATACCGCGGAACCAATTGTGAGTCTGTACTAGCTTATGTCGTATTTAATATCTTGCTTCTGGTACTTGCTCCGCTAGGTCTACCTTGTGCTTACTCAGAACCGCTCTCAGGACGATGGTTGATGGGAGACCAAACCTCTTGTTCGATCGAATGAAACCAGATGAGATGCCCAAGTTTCAAGACATGTCAATGCGCGAACTCGCCGACTGGCGACTTGGTGTCTTGATTCAAACCCCCGAAGCCGGTGTTCATTTCAACCGCGTGTTCAACTTGAAACGCACTCAAGAAGGCTTCAGTCATGTCTCTTATCCTGTTCCTTTCACAATCAATATGTCCAACGATATCGATGAGATGATCATTAGTTCAGAATACGACCACAAGTTCATATTACGTTGCATCTCACTAGCAGAAGAAGCTGCAATCCACAATCGATCAAAGCTTGCTCCAAGCTTATCAGAGTTGCACGGTATATACTTGTGGGACACTAGAAAATGGGCATCAACTTTCCCCGATGCCGTCGGGAATGTTGGAACTCATGATGGCGTCCAAAGTTCGTTGAGCGAATCCGGACATTTGGAAAAGGTGTTTACATGTAATTAAGAGTCTCACCTTCCTGAAAGACTGAGATTCGCTATAATACAACTACTGACAACATTCAACCTTGTATTTCTGATAGCATCTGCTGAAAATCCACACCTTATCAGAAGGTCAAGTCAATCATCAATACAAACACCCAAGAACTGCAAAAAGCGTCAGCAACTTCAATATCCTTCCCGCCATTCGCCAAAGCGCAAACGTGGTAATGGGCACCGCTGTCAGTCGGAGTTTTGCCGCCTATCTTTTGATCCGATATGAAGCTGTTGAAGTCGGCTGACCCTTTTTTGAACGTGTAAATTGACTGGTCAGACTCTCTTTAATCAGGACATGTAGTCGTCTGCAACAGCGGGGGTCAGCTTTGGCTCTTTTGTTTATAACTCGTAATGATGAGTATGTTGCGCTTGTATATCTATGTTGTTGATTATTGTTGGTCAAATTTGATCCTAGTCCAAAATTATATATTGATTATCTCATCATTGTATTCAGTAAGCTATCATATGGAATGGTATTTAATTGAATGTTACTACAGTGCCTTGTTCAGTATGTGTAGGATTGCATAGAGAGGATTTGCAGCTATCTTAGAAACTGAGAAACTGAGAAACCAATAAACCATTGAGGAATGAAACCAAGAACCCGTTAATCATGTACGTGTGTTTGCAATAAATTACAGTACTCAAAGCAACCATGTTTATGGACATAGTTGCTGTATATAGTTTCTTGTTGGTGGGGAACATACTTTGAAAATACTTCAATTGTTTTTTCCCCGCCAAAAAAAACTATGTACGACAAATATGTATGCGTACATATATAGCTTTGAGTACCACAAATTAATTACACATTTACACACCACAGCTTACATAACTATAACAACGGACAATCCATGTGTAATACAGAGAGTCAGGCAGAGCCCCAAAATCAACGCTCACCATGGTCACAGAACCACAAAGGTGCAGCCTTAGGATGATGAATTCGCCGCCCAATTAATTGGCACAGCCAACATAGATGCCTAAAATTGAAAAATTAGAGGTATCAGAATCTTTCCAAGGTGTTGATCTGAATTGTTTTTTTTGCGCCCTGTCCAAGAGTTTGTATCCGATGATCCGTTGGATTGAAAAATCCGAGGCATCTATATTGGCGGCGCGGGTCCCCAAGCGGTTAGGGGAACAGGGAGAGCTTTGAAGAAGGTGTCGGCGGGGTTTGCAGGTGCCAAAGTTGTCTTGGGGGGCCAATGGGTAATGGTTGGATTTTGTTTGCTTCAAGCGCTTAGGGACTGGAACGGTTGGGAGGTGTTTCAGGAGCAGGGCTGTGGTCTGGTTTTTGAGTAGAGGTGCCAGATGGCCACTACACGCACTTTTTGTGTCAGGGATCAGCCTGAACATAGAGTTTGTAATTGCTCAGCAGTGCGCCAAAATTGCAAGCATAAGCGGGGGTGGTTAAGGTCCCTGCATGAGCTGAACCAAAGTATGATGCTTCTTCCACCAGAGATTTACACTTGGCAGGGGTCAGATTGCATCAATGCAAAAGCTGATTGTACATTCAAATATTAAGATTCAGGAAGTAGTGAGCTCTGCTATCCTTTAAGTGCACCTGCTGTTCATTGAAAATCATGTGTGAATTCCTTCAAGATTCCCAAATTATTTCCTACTGCAGGAATACACTCAAAAAGATTCCCTGGGGACCCCATTTTCCCGCCAGGGAACCTCTTTAATGCTGGCAGTGTGATTGGGATTCAATGGCCCCTTGGATGATAGAGATGACCGTTAGTGGTCAGATACGGGCCAATGAAGGCATACCTCTCACTGGGGACTTCAATGAGGTTGGGAAAGTACTCGAGTTTGGGGAGAGGGCATTCAAAAAGAAACCTAGAAACAATAAATTGTAGATCTTTTTTCATTTATTTACTTTACTTTGTTTACGGTTTTTCTTTACACTTGTTCAGAACTCTCTTACAATAAATTTTGAGACCTTGTTTCCTTTTTTCAACTTTTTTCTTTCCTTTTCTTTACACTCATTTATATACCTTTACATATCTATCCTTTATTTCTACTTTCTTTAATGTCCTTACTGTGTCTTTACTTACAATAAAATTTCTGCCTTTTTGAAGATTTTTTTTTTGCCTGCAGCGCTGCAAAACGCTGCGCGGGCGAAGCTGAGTTTTTGTCTTTTTTGCCCAATTATTTATCAAAGCTGACCTTAGAGCTGCCAGACTCGAGGCTTCTGACATTCAGTTGTGCCGTCTGATGTACGGCGAGCAGCGCTGCAAGCCAGAGTTGGCTCCAGTGATGCATCAAATACGCCCAAGCTCCCTCTTGGCTTGCCCAAACCCAGGGTACCTTTGGGATGGCAAGTGCTGGGACTCCCAAAGCAGCAGAATGGCATTCTTTATACAAAGTCTACATGGTACTTGCTTGGGTACCTCACTTTCTTAGTGGCAAAGCTGGCACCACTTTAGCTAAGATCGTTGCAAGCCTGCTCCAACTCATTCAAATTGGCAACTTATGTACTTTGCGTAGTTTTCACCGAGACAATGGTGAAAAGATTAGTAACTTGGTACATGGCTATCAAACCACCCTAGGAGATGACTGGCCACATATCATGAAAAACCTAACTTGCATTTTGTGGAACATATTGGTGAAATCTCAACCAGGCTTGGGCCACCAGCTTATACTGCTAGCTGGTTGGGTGAGCAGAGAATTGGAAGCCTGGTTCAGACAGCTAAGAACGGAAATATCCGTCAGTCTCTTTTGTCCCCCTGTTAAGCACTTGAATTCATAGCAGCTGATCTCAATCCTTGAGACTTGGGAGGACAGGGTGAGACATTACTTCACCAACAAGCAAGATGGGGATTCTTCAAAGCAATGATCAACAATAGTCACTCTGCCATGGAGGGGGATCCAATCTCCAGAGATTACCTTCAATGGGACCACCAGTCAAGGTGGACTGTCAAGAAGCTCAGTCCTGCAGGCTTTCAGGCACTCCAACGTTTCAATCATCTTGAGGGTCGTCACACCTTCAACTCAAAATTTGACGTTACTTCATCCATCAGGATCTTAAATAAGGCACACAGCACTCACAAGACAACACCTGGGAATAGCTACATAACATATGCCCTCAACTCTCAAAGATGACCCGGATGTATCACACAAATAGTCCGGCTCAACAACCTGGCCGCCCCACTGCTTGTTGTGCAGTCACTAAAGTCACTGAGTCATCAAGACCAGCACAAGAATCCGTACTCTTCCTTACCAGACTTGCTGAACGCCACTGTTGTTGATGATTCACATGAGGAATATCATGTCATTAAAGTTGAGGACATCATTGGACGCATAGTTGTCATGTGGGACCCTAGTGGTACATTTGATATTGACATGGCAACATCCAATCTTAGGGATTTGTGCAAGACAGCCACAAAGAAGATGCAATGGATATGGAGTAAGATTAATGTGTATGTTGAAGTTGTAATATATTCTAGACATGACATCTTTTATGTATTCATTGTGATTTTATGGTATTGGTTGATCCTGAAAAGCGACAAATCTCCTTTGTCGAGATACCTGAATTCCCGTGACAGTTTCTAGAAGTGAGTCTCAATCACTTCTCGTCACAATACCTGAAACACTAACCTGAATTCCCGTGACAGTTTCTAGAAGTGAGTCTCAATCACTTCTCGTCACAATACCTGAAACACTAACCTATAAGGTTTGTTCAGGTCACAATATAAAATAAGGAAAAGGGTCGACGCGATGAGTTCAGTAAGATTCTTTTCCTTTCCGTAAGAAGACGGATAAATTTCACCTGAATTCCCGTGACAGTTTCTAGAAGTGAGTCTCAATCACTTCTCGTCACAATACCTGAAACACTAACCTATATAGAACAAAAGATAGAAATAGACAAGTACAAAAAGGACACTACTTGTTAGATGAAGAGAATAGAAAGAATAGACCAGTTGACTATGTATCTGACCTATAAGGTTTGTTCAGGTCACAATATAAAATAAGGAAAAGGGTCGACGCGATGAGTTCAGTAAGATCTAGCGTCGACAATGATTCAGATGAAAAAGAAAAAGATAACATCACAGTATGATAATTAGTAACAGTCATATTGAAGATCAAACTAATGGAGAGTAGAGACTATTGATGATAATGTAGTGAAGGGGTTGAACTTACTCTTTTCCTTTCCGTAAGAAGACGGATAAAGGAAAAGAGTATTAGCGCGAAAAGGGGGAGGCGCAATTTAAATAGGGATCATTTAAGTTTGAGTCTGACATCTTAAGTTTGAATAAAACTACTGTATTTTAGTATGTAAAGTGATTTGATACTTAGAGTCTTATTCACCTTTCACCACGGCTGAAACCTAGGTACGAGAGACTGAGGTGTCTCTCAACAGATCCTGTGGTTTGAATTTTGACATGACTCAGTAAAGACTTTTTGTGGCAGATTGAGAGTTGTGAAAAAAATGTAAGCTGGGCCCATAACTGATTTCTTGATGTCAGATGAATGCAAGTTACTTGTGCTGGATCTTACGTCCAGCTGGAGCTACGTTGAAGCATTATTGCAAACATATTGAAGCTTTGTTGAGATCTTTTTGGAGCTTTCATGAATCTTTCATGAAGTAAGTGGTAGGCTCTGGCAGGGGTAGGCTCTGGCCTGCCAGAGCCCAGTCAATGGGTGCTGTGAAGGAACTTAGGACAGTCAGGGGTGTTTTGTGGTACAGGCAATGCAATGGTGGCGGTTTTGATGGTGTCTTCACTAAGTGATCTTGCTGGCTCTAATTTGGTGTCCTGTTGATACGGTGGCCGTTCCTACAGAGCCACGGCATTCCTAAGATGACATCATATGAATCTTTGATTTGATTCACTAGACGGCGGGATGGGTCTTGGTCGTTGTCAATGAATAGGTTTGCATTGTCGGCTAAGCTGGGGGGTTGTCCATCAAAATCATAGACATCTGCTGTGATAGGAAGTGTACTCAGCAGAAGCCAGGTGCCAAGCACCTCGTGAGTTGAGCCACAATCAATCAAGGCGCAAGATTTCACAGGGGGGGCAGTTTTTTGGGTTAGGTGGGATGTGGCGCAAGGGGACTCTGACAGTGAAACAGTAGTAAAAATGTGTGGGTCATTTAAGTTTTTCTTTTCAAAACTACTACTCTCAGCTAATGTTAAAGTCTTCTCAGCACCTCCGCTTGGCGGTGGCACATCCGTCACTCTCAAGCATTGCCATTTTTTGACTCCTCTGCCCCACTCCCCTCTCCCAATCTACTATCTAATGCTGCAATCTTAGCTGTCAACTCAGCCATCTTTCCACTAGCGCCTCCTTTCCCTTTACCACAACAACCACACCACCTTGCTCAATGACCAGATTTCCCGCAACAATAACAGAAGTTGCCATCAGATTGATGGTTGTACTTGGAGGATGTGATGTCAAAACACGTGCTGGAACAATCCATGGCGTCCGGATCAGATGGTCAACTGAGGCAGTGGGATTGGAGTTTTACTTGCCACGGCGTTGTTGTCAATTGGACAAGTGAGGGTGGTGATATCCCCCAGTTTGGTAAAGGTTTCTCGGATCATGGCAATCCTCACCTCTTGTTTCAGACCTTGACAGTAGTGGCTAATGAGAGTTGGAGTTTCCCACTTAGTAGGCGGCACGAGGTTATTGAACGTGACAGTGTATGCTACCGCCAACTTGGTTTGTTCCAACAGCCGCAAGGAAGCTTCTGCCTGTTTCTGACAATCAGTGTTGAAAAATATCGATTCAAACGCCACAACAAACTCATCATATGTGACAGGTGCAATATCAGGGAGGGGGTTCCACACTCAATGCAAGAACACCTGAGCCCATTCAACGGCTTCCCCGGTGAGGTAACAAAGGGCAAAAGTGACTTGGGACTGATTTTCCGGAAATAACAAGGTGTTGGTGAGAATATACAGGCCAAACTGACTAGCAAATGCTTCCGCTTTTGCTCCTCTAGTTTCTTCAACCTTATCAGGGGTGGCAACTTTTGGCGTTCAAACTTGAACAGTTGGGACTTGGGTGTATTGTTTCTCAAGCACGGTACAACATTTGGTCTTGGCAGCGAGTTTGGGCAACACTTATTTGATTCGCTGTGCCATGGCAGCAATGTCAATGCTTGGTTGGGTGTTTTCCATTTTGTTGGCCGATGCGTACTCAGATGATTCAGATGGCTTGTTTGACACAGCAGTGGGGGAGTGGTACGTAGGCATGATTGTGGTTGGTAATTTGGAACCACTTTAATAATAATCCAATTTCAACTTTCTTAATAATCGTCTTCTTTTTTCCTCTCCTTAAAAAATTTTGTCTTCTAAATCTTCTTTTCTTTGTGTTCTTTTTCAAATTTTCAATGATAACTTCTGTATGCAATTTTGAATGTATAATAAAAATTTTCTTCTTTCTTGGTTTGGCTTGGAGAGATGCTATAATATGTTAGGACCCGGCTTTGGGGGTCTTGGCATGCCGCAAAGGGAGATGGTGATGATGAGCTATGATAGTCATTGTGGCATGAGGAAAAGGTGTAAAACAGAGGCTCTTCCTGGTCATGAGAGGAAGGGGCTGGGCTGTCACGGGTTGTGACATATCCACCTAAGATCTGTGATATGAGATCTTAACATCATCAAGCCAAAAACATACAACATCTTTGTTGAGTTGTAGCCACATTGCCCAGGGCTCTGGGGATGATTTGAGAGTGCAAGGCAGATGTTTGATCTCCCAATTTGTGCTGTCCTTTCACCATTCTTTCTGGATTCCAAAATGTTGGAAAGCATGGTCATAGATGGCATGAAGGGTGAGATCATAGGTCAAGCCCAGTGCAAGCATCCTATCAGAATGCAATGAGTCTTCCTCCTTGGTCTTTGCTTGACTGAGTTATTCATGTCTGATACACATTTCTGGTGACTGTTACATTGAGAGAACAAGTTTTGAGTCGTCACATCTATGAATGTGTTGGACCCGTCTCAATGCAACAGAAATGGGACGTAAAGGGATGAAGTAGAATCTCGGATCAAAGGCATGGGAAGATGAGAAAGGTTTAATGTGAACTTGTTGATAGAGTCAGTGGGAAGAATTGGAATCAAATCTTGAAACAGCTTATATAATGAAAATCAAATGAATCAGTTGATCAACTGGAATTGATGACCTTGATTACCTTTCAAAGCTATTTTCTTCATCAACTTCTATGGTGTCTGTGTGAAACCCTGAGACCCGATATCTGTAAACCAATCTCACAACTTGTACAAAACCCATAAACTCAGAAATTAACTCTAAATCACAACAAATAACTTGACTTTTCAAAAATTTACTCAACTTTCAACTTCATTTGTAGTGAAGCTACACGTCTTTTTAAAGTAGTATGCATATATTAATTTGTTTTTTACTACAATTCCAGTGTGACCAGTGAAGACTTCATGAGCTGAAAGTTGAAAAAGAGAGGTTCCAAAAACCCACACTTCATCACTTTGTTGGCGGATTCTACTTTTGCTTGTTGCAGACACCAGGCCATGCTGATGATGCTAAATGCAAAACCTCAAAAAACAACAAAGCACTATGCAAATATGAGCATTTCCCAATGCTTTTGATCTTTGTGCGGCCAAATCTTGTTGTCCAATTGGAATAGACAACAAGATTTTGGGTGGTACCCAACCAAGGCACGCAAGCACTCAGCATACTCCTTATGAAACAGCGTATGCTGTGCATTCTCCGTTTGACAATTTTTCTGAAGAGGGGCAATGAATGTTGGCCCAAGCAGTGCGAGGATATTCTCACCAGTTTTCCTGCCAATTTGCGCTCATATGAAGAACAATCACATTGAACCTCACATGCAACCCTTGGACCCAGAACTCACCAATATCCAGCACCTAGTCAACACTGGCCACACTTGCCCACAAATCGTTTCTTGGATGATTGAGATCGGACACAATATATCACGGACTACCCTCTCTTGCCAACTCTCCCATTAAGGCCTGAGGCCGGCTGCTCCTTGTCTCATACCCCTTCAAAGAGAGGACGCTGCTCCCCTCGTTTGCTCATGTCACTGGATGTCCTACGGCCTAGATGATACCGTCAGCAAAATTAATCACACATATCAGATCACTATCACCCAAAAGTTAATTACTATGTCTCAGGAGCTTGGCTTGAAATGGTGTCGTGACAACTTACAAACAGGTGCTATTATTTGTGACAAGCTTAAAGACATGATTCATCACCAGATAGAAGAACGCGACAGAGATGCAGGCGTACGCACAATGAAACATGCACTTGGCCTACGTCAAGTACGAGTGCATCATAATACCGTTGCAGAGCTGATGAGGGAGTTGGACCCAGAAGGAGTGGCACTGCGCGGCTATGGAGCAGTCAAACACCAAGTCTTTTGCTGCCCCATCCCAAATTGTGTCTGGTCCGCTGATGGCCACAACAAGCCCAAGCCTTACAAGATCACCATCTACATATTTATCAATGCTTGGTCTTGTCGAGTCCTACACTTTGATGTTGGAATTAACACTAATTACCCTTGAAGGATCACATACCAATATCTTGTAACAGTCAAAAACCTCGGCGGTTTCCCTGTCCAGACCTGCACAGACCATGGCACCAATACTATTGGCATGGCTGGTCTGCAAATTCACTACACCCGTAAACATGTTGATTTAGAGCCTGAGGATGCACTCAAGGCACACATTTTCACCACATCCACCAAAAACCTCAAGATCAAATCTTTATGGAGACTTCTACGCAGAAGAAACGGCTTGCGCATTCATGACTGCTTCCAAGAAGCTATTGACAACCAAATTTACAATCCTTATGATCTGCTTGAAAAGTAAGTTTGTTCATATTTTCAAGCTAAACAATGCCACAAGTTGACATATTCTTTACACAAATTCCCAACAAAAGACTAGTATTTTTTGATCTCGCTGTCCCCCTTGTAGAATCCATTGTGAATGAGTATCAAGTTAAAAAGACCACCAAAAAAACTCAATAAAACAGGAATTCAGCTGCCAACCAGTTGCCGTCTGAACGTTGCATATTATAATCCACCCCTGTTGGATGGGGAGCAGGGATTTACACAAATTTCATCCACTGACGTAGATGAAATGATATGGTGTCAATTTCCGGATTGAGATAGAATGTTGTTGTTTCACCACCTATCTTGGCCATTCACATCCAGAAATCAGCAAATCAGCTGTGTATTGAGACTGACAGGATAGACTTGCCAAGCCTGTGGAATTGTCATGCTGCCATTGTCAACAACCTATGTCACTCACATCCTGAACGGCATGAAGTTGTTGATGTAGACGCATTGTGAAAATATTGAGAAGTTTCAACTTGCAATATAATATGTTTTGTCAGACTCAAAAACAATGAAATTTTTGTTTCTCCTTGACTCAATCCCTTTGTTTTTTTCAAGTATGAAATGATGGAAGATGGTTTTCTGTCTATGAATAGGTTTTAATCATTACATATGATCCAAACATTTGAGCTCTCCGTGAACATCACAACAGTAAAAAAATGGGACAGCTTATCCCAATAAACAATCTGCAGAAAGTTAGCCACAACAACAGAAAAGGTGATGCACAAACTTCATTCAGTGTAACTTGTACCTTGCCATGGATCCCACCTCTTTTTCTGATTATTCAAGACAATAGCCAATTATAGTGTTGACAGACAGTGACGTAGATCAAGTTGAAAGATTGGCTATTTACAAATCAATGAAAAGTATATACATATATAAGCTATTTACAAAGTTGAAATAAGTATATTTTTGGCCATTTCACAGCGTGTCCATTTTGATGTTCACCTGTGTGTGGTCTCCCCCAATATGCTCCTTACTATATGCTTCCCATTCTGCACTGGATGTACACTCTTTTTTCAGCTTCAAAGCCTTCCCCATTCTCACTAACCTGGAACATATTTGGCAGCAAGAGCCAAAGCGGGTAACAGGGGCTCTTGATGGTATGATGTCCATGCCCTCTTTGGTTTTGGTGGTGGACTTGAGTGTGAAATGTTTGACCTGAGTGTTCCAGACCATCTCTGTAACACCATTGCAGTCATCAAACTTAACTCCAACAGAGTAATCAGACAAACAAAATATGGCACCTTCTATTTGACAATCACGGGGGCTCTTGATTACATCATGCAAAGAACCAGTGGTTATGTTGACTCGGCAAAACATGCCAAATGAGTAGGGTGTGGCGTCTCTGTTGCACTTGGGTTTGTTGTGGAAGTTGTCCCGCGTAATGGCAATGCTGGAAGCCCAAACTTGAACTTTTGCTGAAGTCTACCAGGCAGGATAATTGAAAGAAGGGCCATGTGACTCAGTGGTGATTTTGGAATTGGCTGAAGGAAGTCATAGACAGATTAGAAAATCTCTCTGCCCAAAAATCCTTGGCACAAGGTAGGAGTAGTCCATTCTCTCAACATCTAACAAAATCCTGGCTTTGGACCTGGATGTTCCAGAGTTGAGAGCATAATGACCTGTTCAAAAATATTGTTGGCAAGCTCAACAGACTTCAAAATTTCACACCAATTTGACTTACAGACGTCTTTCTCAACATCGGCAGCTACACCCGTGACATAACACCATCCCAGTGCCATCATCTTGCCAGACTTCTTGAAGCCTCGAGTATCCCCGTTATTCTTTACATGGCCTCTTGATATACCATTCTGGTCAAATGTGGTTATAGAAGAGCCAAACAGCTCATATAGCTATGGGTGCATGTTGCTAAAATCATTGAACTGAGCAATCAGTAGTAGCTTGAGAGATATTTTATAAATTAACACCACAATTCCATGGTTGAACAACTTCAATGGTGCAGAAAGATGCTCTTGCTTGGTTTTCTTATTTATGAGAAAGAATCTTGTTGTATTGGGGAGGCCATAATCGTGGGCAATTGTCTTCCTACACATATTCTCTTGTTGCATCCAAAGTTGAATGTGTCTATTTTCAATATCCAGGTTCTTCTTCACTCTCTTTGCAAGGTTGTAATTTCTTTTTGAGTTGGTCTCTTGCATCTTGTTATATGTTGAAAAATTTGGTGTGGTGAAGAAGTTGAGCAATGGATAGAGGAGTGCGATGTTGAAGAGAGCTGAGGTAGATGATGTTAATTTAAGGAGGGATACATCAAGGATGATTCCAACTTGTGGCGCAAGATCTGGTTTATGATGTTATCACACTGATTTCCAACAAACAGCAGACTTTGGGTTGATGCATTTCCAGTGGAATATTTGGGTACTGTTGACGGTTGATTGATGTTAGCACACTGCTTTCCAACAAACCAAAACTAGTAGTAAATGGTTAAAGGGTAATGGATGGTTTGTAGGTGGTGGTATATTGATGCAAAGGTGATATGGATGCGATTAGAGGTCTGATGATTTTGAGTCATTGGGATTGAGCAGAAATGGTTTGACTTTATACCTTCTCTAGATTGCTTTTCAGATATTGTGTTGCACAACAGATGCTTGCTTTTAAGCAAAAGCAAAATGCATGATTTCTCTTGCTCAGATTGGTTCAGTCACTCTTAGCAATTGAAAGCTTTGCCCTGTGGGAATTGGATCCATTATAAGTTCTCTCTTCCCTTGATAACTTTTAAACCTTTTGAAAGTGCTGTGTGCATACCTCAATCTTTAACTGTTAAAAATGTAGGTAATGATGACTGTTTTCATCCTTCAACTTGAACTTTTTTACTAATTTTTTTGTCTTAGTGCACTACTTCACCACGTTCACTCAACCTCAAGTCAAAGTAAAGAGTGACTACCATTATCAATTCAAATAAGCACCTCAATGCTCACAGCAGATATTCCATCAGGAAGATACTGCACATTGTCATCAAAATGGGTACGGACAAAGATGCTTTCATATTCCAGAGACTTGAGCAATAGCATGAGAAATTCTTATCCACCTCAAAAATGGATATGGATCTCTCAAGCCCACCAAAATTGATACATGGATAAAGCCCTTCACTACAAGCTCTTGTCATGCATGGTGTCATACTTCAGCTTGTTAAACCCATTCAATTCAAACAGGTCGAGATTTGGTAATGGCTCTATTTTTTCCAGAGTCCCACTACAAAAGATCAATTTCTGCCAAGAATTGATCATGAATCTAATCAATCTTCTCCTTTAATGGTAAACCAAACTATTATATTATTGATTAAACCAAGAAAAAGTATGTTTTACAAGATACAAAAAAATCACCAGGGCAAGTATTATCACAAATAGCTCATGCAATCAAAAGAGAATATAAGATTCTATCTGTTTTACCAAATTTATTTTCATCACCCAAAGTATATTCATTATGTTTAGATGAATTGATTATAGGAACACCATTCTATTAAATGGAATTTCTAGAAGGAAGAATCTTTCATTAAGTCAATTTACTTGAATTAAACCCAACCAGAAGAAAACAAATCTTGATTTCAGCTATTCAAACTTTAGCTAAATTACATTTGATTGATTATCATCAAAATGGAGTAAATCAATTTGGTTTGAATGAAAATTTATCAATGAATTAAAATGGTCAATCTGTGGGTGAAATTCATCAAATTGAAAAACCTCAACATCAAATCATAACTGTACACGGAGATTGGAAATTAGATAATTTAGTGAGGCCGTGTTCACTTCAGTGATTTTTTGCAAAAAATTGCTTTCTGGAATGTCGAGAAATCACATTCCGTGAAATGTGTTTGGTTTGTTAAATACAAGCATTCTGTAAATTACAGAATGCTTATAAAAAGTGTTTTTCATTGATTTCCAAGAATTCACTATTATCAAATTTTTCCTTCAAGAAATCACATTCTCCTTCTCTTGACTCTTTTGTCACACCTTTGTAACACCCTTTTTCAAACTTTACAAGGTACCTTCCACGGTACAGAACACCTCATCTCTTTCCCAGGTCCCCATTCCACGTACAAAACCTTCCAAAAACCATCTTCTATCACATCCTTCTATCACATCAATCTTGTTCTCAACTCTACTCAGCAACTCCTTTCTTTTTCTTTTCTTCATCCTTCTTGTTTCAACTCAAGTCAAGATCAACATGCCACCAAAATTGAAATTAAAATCAACCCCAACCTCACTCAACAAATCGGTCAAAGTCAAAGAAAAGAAGAAAAATGAGAAGATTGACAATGAAAAGAATGACAATGAAGCAACTACAGAGAACCCCACCGCCGGTGGTCAATGGGTTCATTGAAATACCCTTTGTTTAATTGATTAAATCAAACACCAGAGGGATATGGGGAGAGGGAATGACAGTGGCCTCAAGACCAAAGCATGGAAGTAAGTTTTAAATAATTATAATCATATATTCAAATTGGATGAACCTTCGACTTGGTTGAAGAATCAATTTCAAAAAGTTTGAATCATCCATCAATTTCTTTACATAAACCTTCAACTTCGATTGTCTTTGGCTTAACTAATGCTCCATCGTCTTATTTGTAGTTGAAGACTACCTACAAGGCTTTTGACAAGATCATGGACTCATCAGGAGCTCCAGGAACCGATGAAGTAACTGGCGAGTTCAACACAGATAAGGAATGGTGGGCCCATTGGATCAAGGTCGTAAGTCATCTCATCTTTTCATTTTAATCGATTTGGTCTAATCCTTTGATCATAGGCCGGAAACAGTGATGCAAAACCAATTCAAAACAACGGTTTCCCAGTGTATCAAGCCGTAGCACAGATCATGCCTGAGAAACACTTACGAGCAAACAGTAACAAGGGTCTTGGAACCCAAAGCAAGAAAAAGAAACCAGTCAGTATTGGATCACCTGCTTTTTGATTTTGAACCGGATGCAGGAGGTAAGTTCTGATGTTCCATCTGTATATGATCTGATGGACACTGAACTGATTACACATTGCCCTCTGTGTTAGGTTACATTCCTTCAGAGGAGGATTCCGATGAAGATTGATCTGATTCTCACGTCGTATCCAATTCACAAATGGACTTGGTTGTGGAGGAAACTGAAGTGACTAACAAGACAACCAAGGCTGTAAGATATCACCTTTGTATTGATTTCATCTATCTTATTCATCTTGTTATTTTTGATCCCATCAATCTTTTCATTTTCATTTTCTTTCTATTCATTATATCAAGGCCAAGACAGCTAGTAAACAATCTTGAGACCTTTTGGAAAGCCCAGAACAATGATTTGTACATAGCAAACGTAGCCCTATTATTCCAGAAGGATCAACTGCAGCTACAAGCGTTCGCGCACAACAGGACCCAAGCTAGTAGCAGAATTGATTGATTGTGCTGTTGAAATGATTGCTGTCCTGGAGGAGTCAAACAAAAGTGATAAGGTCACTGTGACAAGGATTATATCGGAAAAACATCCAAGCCAAGCCAAAGCAATGGACATCTTTAATAAGGAGTGTAACAATCATCTCAAGCCCAATCACATCATTAAATTAGTCAAGTTGTTGAAAGACGTTAATACCACATTGTTCTTTCTTGTCTTGAAGCCCGAATATAGATGGGATTGGTCAAAGGAAGAGGCTGGTATTTTAAATGGGTATCAAAAAGATGCAGATGAAGGCTATTGACCTCAACAACAAATTGTTTTTGATTGTTTTCAGTTTCTCAATTGTTTTAAGTTTCTCTATATTTCAACTTCTGTTATAAGTTTCTGTGTGTTCAAAAATATGTATCAACACAAACAAACAAGTTATAATAACGTGTATTGAATTAAATAAAAAACATCTGCTGTCAATAGATAAAATATCAAATGAGTAACAAACATGATACAATGATTACAATGAATACGAGTTAATGATTTCTCTACACCTGTCTCTGTGCTACTGGCGCATTAACATAATCTCGAAACATTGACTCAGCAATTTGATCTCTTTGATCAGATGCCTGGGTACACTGAGTGGGGATAGGCTCAACTCAGTCTGGTTCAAAATCTCCTGCCCTCCTTAATTCCAGTCTTTCCTTCAACATGTACTCCTCACCACCAACATGTTTACCTCGGATTTTGTAATCCAAGGTATCCTTGGATGCAAAACCTCGGACAGAAGCTTCCCGAGGTTTTGATCCGAGGTAATTCTCAGGGAAAAAAAATACCTCAGGCAAAAACCTCGGACAAGGTCTGTCCAAGGATTTGCCTCTGATGATGCCTCGGATTTCTCAACCCGAGGCATCTATGCTGGAAGTGCCTCATAAAACTTGTCTTCACCGGATTTGATTCAGATGATGGTGTTAAGTACGCAGCAGGCTATCACAATCATAACCTGTGTTTTATAAGGGTATGAAGGCATCATTGCCAGAATTGGGAATCTCATCTTTGAGACCCCAAATATACATTTGATAACAATTCGGAGGGCGGAGTGCCAATGGTTATAAAGCTCCTTGGCAGTTTGCGGTTTTACTCCTGAATGCTGACATTGTTTGAGATGATATCGGACCAACCAATAAGGTGCTAGGAATCCTGGGACTTTGGCATACCCAGCATCAGCAACATAGGAATGGTCTGAAAGAAGAAGACCAGGTCAGTCCAAACTAAGCAAGTTAAATGATAGATAAATAGACTCACCATCTGTGACCACAAAGCGCTGTTCTTCAAGTGCTTGCTGAAGTACACGTGCATCAGCGCACAGTCCCCATCTACTGGGCTCTGGCCGGCCAGAGCTTACCACTTACTTGATGAAAAATTCATGAAAAATCCAGAAAGATTTCATGATAGCTTCAATATGTTTTCAATGAAGATTCAACATAGCTTCAGCTGGACATATGACCCAGCACAACTCACATGCATTCATCTGACATCACGAAATCAATTATGGGCCCTGTCTATGTTTTTCTCTCCTGCTCTCAATTGTTGCAACAAGTTTTGACTTGGTCATGTCCAAGTTTAAGCCACAGGATTAGCCTATACATGATAGCTCATGTTGAATTACAATACCCACATGAGATTCATCATATCTAGAATATATTACAGCTTTAACACACATTGATCTTACTCCATACTAATCAAATCTCCGTTGTGGTCGTCTTGCACAGATTCCTAACATTGGATATAAAAGAAATTGGTATACAGGTCCAAATCAAGTCTCTTTCATCACTCACAATATTTGCTAAGCCAACAATTGAAAGTGTTGCATTGTCAATATCAAATGTACTGCTGGGGTTCTTCATGACAAGTAGCTGTCACTACGCCAAAATTAATATTTTCTGAGCGGAAAATTTAATTACAAGTAACATAATTCACATAAGCTCAGATTATCTTATTAATTTGTGACTTCCACAGCCTCATGCTCTTGGAACCCAGGTGGTTGAAGACTACGGGCCTTTCCGGATGATTAAAAATTACCGAGCTGTATGATACTGTCCTTATCATTCAATGGTTGACATTGTACACATGTGTCTTCCTGGATATTTTTCTCAAGTTCATTAACGCATCATAGCATGGATTCTATCAGACGTTCCAGACTTCAACAATTGAAATATGCAATGGTTCATGTGTGCTTCAAAACTTGAAATTCAAAAGAGCCTCAATGGGCATGCAATCAATACAATGATGTAGTTATGCTGCATGATGGCAAACAAAGATCTACATGTGGAATTCACACCCAAGATAAAGTCTTCAAGAATCATCTTCCCTTACTTTAATGAGCCGAGAGTTGAGTGATAGAAGAAGAGATGACTTGCTGACCAAACTCATCAAGCAACCAGTATCAGTTAATTACGAGCCACGCGCAAGCAGTCAATACAAAATCAGATTGGGCAGAAAATACATGACCATCTTCATGCTCTGCTCAATCGCTAGATAAGGACTACTTATCAAACTTTGTATAATCAAGAGACTATCCAACCTAATCAAAGTCCTTTCAACATCAGCACTGAATTTCTTCCACATAGCTTTGGAAAATGTTCAACCCAGATGGCCCAGGCATCAAAAAGCAGGCCATGCTTGATTGGATGCACATAAATCACCCTATGACTCCGATCAGGACAACTATGGGCAGGGACGAAGTGGCCAATCTAAGAAGCCCAGCCCGAATGGAACATTGCTTTCTTCACCTGAAAATTATCATTCCAATCTTCCTCTCATCCTCTGCTCTACTCTACAATCCTGAAAGCATGATACTTTATTGATTTTGTAATATTGTTATATTCAACAGATTTTTCCCACGCACAAGTGGAGCCCTCGAATCATCACTCACTCAGCCTGGACAGATCACTCCAAACAGGATCTTCAACGCGTAGACTTCAGGATTCCAATCCCAACATCAATACCAACCCAAACACAAATTTCGAAGTCTTGACGCCAAGCGCGCCAGTTTTGGCGAAATCATCCAAAAAGAAATGTTGCACTTCCCCCGAGACCAAACCAGTCCAAAAAAACGAGCGGTTTCAGCATTAAAAGCCTCTACCTCTGTCAAAAACCTTCAAATGACATCGAAAGACTCAAAAGGTCCATTCACAAAGAGCAATGAGATAAAGGTGACAAAGAAAAAAGTTTGTGCATTTTCATTTATATGTATAATGTGATACTTTTGAATTTGTACAAGCCTAATCAACACAGCCATGACATCTGTTTTTCGTACTTTAGGACGTTCAATTTGCAGACTCAGCGGTGGGCACACAAGACTCTCCGGATATTGGAAAGTCAATCCGGTTTGTGGATTCTATTGTTCATCTACATATACACTATGCCTGCATAACCTGATCCTTGATATCAAAGCTGATGTTGAGATCGTTACACCAGAATGAGTTTGTTTCTTCACATACATTTCGTCTGCCTCCAAAGAGTTTCTCAAATACTCGTATCCAGGGTAATGATAAGTTAGAATGCAATGTTGAGCAATCTAGTATCAAGCCCAAAAAAAAAGCTGTATCTATTCCCATGTCTGTTATACGGAAGCCCTGAGCGTGGGGTCCGCCAAACCTCTCAAACACAAACAACACATACAACACCACCGCTCAAAAGCTCACCACGTCAAAGTCCGGCATCTCTAAAATCAACTTCAACCCATTTCTGCGGTGCTTCCAGGCGTTTGGCGCACCAATTTGACTCGGCCTACATAGAGGCTTCTTCATCTCCACGCGGACGGTGTCGCAACAACACTCAAGTCTATGCGCGTCATCCCTCAACACTGTCCCCTTAATCCGCATCTCTTTGCACATTGAGCTCACCCTGCGATTGCTTGGACAATAGACCAAGACTTTGATTCAACCAACACCAAAGGTATCGAATTGACTATTTCTGTTACTAGACAACTTCAAACGCCTCTCTCTTCTCCATTTCAATTGTAATTACTAAAATGGTAGAAAACCAAAATAAATCCACAAAAAAGCTTCCAAGCTGGGTTTCCAACAATCAACACTTATTGACCAAGGTTTTAATTTTCTATGACAGCATTCAACAGCTAGAGGCACCACTCAATGAGACAGTTTTTGAAAAAGATTGTAATTGTGATTGAGACATGAGTTGAGAAAGTCTAGCCTGTGATTACAGCCAACATCTATGGAGCTGGGTGTTGGTTCAAGTCACATCAACACTTCTTGACCTTCAAAAGGAGCCCCACCTTCATTGTAGCAATTTTATCAAATGAATGAGTTATGTGGTAAATGTGTAAATGGGCCAAAGTGAGTGAAAGGTTACCTTCCTTCTATCAAGCTAATCACCTTACCATAAAGATTCAAACATGTTTATTGGCCAAGTTCTTTTACTGCTCTCCAGTCAAAGTTTCATCATCCCGATCACTCTCTCAACAAAATTCCTGTCAACCACCAATCATAGGTGATCCAGATTGGAGTATATGGGGTTGCCTTTGATGTAGGAAGTTCCGCACGTCAAGTCCAAATTGTGTAGATGGCGTTTGAACAAGTTAAAAGTTTAAGTTCGGACTCTGCATTCCAACCGTTGAACGTTTTGCCTTGAGTCGAGACCAGCAGGGCTGGTTATCCTTTGTGGTATCACAAGGGCGAGCCAGATAAGCTTCATTTGATGGTACTTGTTGGGTGATCTACAATGAGTTCAAGAGCGTCATCACAGTAAAAAGCATCCTAATTCCCTTGATATCACTTTTCCACCATATTAATCTTGAAACCTATCCATTGGGTTATCGTTTTTGAGTGATTTGCACAATCGGGGTGACTACTGAAACAGGATGGACAGTATTGGAAATGCAGCTTGATGTAGAGTGCAATGAGATCGTGAGCAGCAGGTGAGTCGATGACTGAGTTGGAGGTGGAAGAAATGGAATTTGTGATTGAGATATTTGCCCGGAATTGAGATCATAGATGTGAGGTTGAGATGTGTGTGTACAGAATTTGTTGGGTAGTTGTTATGTGTGAGAGGGGTGGCAGACCCCACGCTCAGGGCTTCCGTACTGTTACCTGCGCCCCGTTCTGCTTCAACTACACCACAATACCCACTGGCATCAGGAAATCTTCAAGAAGAAAAGCTTCTGTCTCTGCGTCCAGAAGACGCCAAACCGCTGATTACAGGAAACAAAAATCAACGATACACAGAGGACTTACCTCTTTCACAGAGAGCGATTTCTTCAAAACTGAAAACATCGGTCGGTCCTAATCATGTGATATCTTCAGCTTGGCCTGGCTGACTTTTTATTGGGCTTGATTAGTCATTGGTAGAGATATCACGCCCATCTCTCTCAACACCCAACATACAGTGAATCTAGATCGTCTCATCACATCAAATGAGAAGAAAAGATCAGGCATCGAAGTTTTTCAAGATGAGAGACACAGAGTATCCCAAAGTGGGTTATTTATAATGCTTTTTAAATACTCATTTTTTATCACACTGACATTATCAATACGAATACGACCTCAACATGTAGTTCGTGCGCTTGAAGAGCGTGTTGAGCACCTGGAAAAGAAAGGTGCTTGTTCCAGTGATCCACAAGAACATGTCATATTACAAATTCAGCAAGATCCTCAAAAGAGTACTGAGCGCTACATCCAGGATGGCATCAAAGAAGGCTTGGAAACCCTCCACGTCAAAGTAAATCGACTGAGGTTGCAATTGAAAGAAGCAAACGATGCCATTGATTACAATGTTGTGTTGGTCAGTCTGCTTGGAGAATCGAATGTTGATGAGGAAGGAGCTGATGATGATCACAGTAGCTCCGGGTCTGGCTTTGGTACCAATGATTTGTGTACCTGAATGTAATGAATATACAGTGTGTTGTGCACTTTTCCTTCATAGAGGATCAGGTCACGTAATGTTACAAGCGGACATTACTATTAGATGATTTCACACTGTTGTTGGGTCTTTGTTTTATTTAGTATAAGATCTCAGGTATATTCAGGAGTAGTTCTTTTGTTTCTCTTTTTCTATTGATTATTATAGTGACCCTTTGTTTTTGAGAAATATATAAACTACATTGTATTTTTTATTTAACTTCTTTTCTTTCTCCAGAGTACATCCGTCAACAACACTCTGTGAGCTGTGCAATTTCCAGCGCAACATTGTATGTGAATCAAACTGGCAAAATTCATTGGTGATATAGTCATGCCTGTACGTAATGCCTTTTACATGAATACTTGTACATAAATTTAGGTGGTGAAAGACTATTGGAAAACATTTTTGATCAAATATAGCATAAGAAAACTTCATTGGTAGTGTTTATCGAGGTTTCAGAAACCTAATGGCCTATCTTGTAACTTGGGAGAGAAATCCTTCCATCACCAAGAATATCTCAAACATGGCTATCATTGATAGAAATTTTAAAAACTTAGAATGTGCAGATGAACGTAAAAACTTGTGGAAAAGTTGCGTACAATCATTTGCACCATGATATGAGTAAAATAACTAACCAATCCAAATAAGCAATCAGAGTACAACCAATCACTACACATTTGTATCACCTAAAAATGAAGATTGACAATCTTGAGTGTTCATGATATAGTCAGGTGGAGAAACGTAGAGTAACACATAACACAACTTATAGCTGATACAGCAGCAATGAACCGGCTTTGGCTGTTGCAAGGACAATACATATAAGCGTATAATTAGACCCTATAGTCAGATGATACCTGTCATTCTGAAGTTTCAAGTGTGATTAGGGAATTTTATGATAACCAGCTCAGTGATAAACTAAAATGTCTCTTACCAAATTTTTGCAGCATAACAATGTAGCAGATCTGGAAGGACATGGTCAAGGCAATTCAGGAGGTGCAGGTTGATTCTTGGCAAGTTTACTGTGTTAAACATCATAGGTCAGGATAGTTACAAAGTAGAAAGTCAGAATACATATTGTGAATATTGATCAATTCATTTAATTACTTACTGATGACGTTCTAATAACGCTCGAAGAAATCCCACATCCTTGACAATGGAGTTAAATGTATTCTGGCGAGATTGTAATTTGGTGGTTGCAGCTGCAAGACCAAGTTGCAGGTCCTGGCGGTGGCTCTTGGTGATCTCAGAGTCAAATAATAGAAGCCCAATCCCCTCAATCTACTGATGAGAGTTTTGAAGCAATCCAACAGACTTGTGAAGACCCTCTAAAGAATGTTCATAAATTGAATCGATGGCGGCGAGTTCGTTCTCATTGAGATACTTGTGCTTTGTGATAAATCCTGTGAGGTTGCATCTGCTGCAAGATGATGCTGACCAGTCGAATCAGAAGATGCGGTGAGAGTCAAGAACAGTCTTGTGGGTTATCAATACATTCGAATCTTGGGTTTTGGAAGTCCTAAATTTTATCAATGCTTGAAGATAGTTTGGATTGGGCTTGCCGTCGTTTGAAAAGATCATACTATCAAGATGGGGGGCTGTCATTTGGAGGAATATCTTTTGTACCAGCATATTATCATCTACTGCCTTCTCACTAAATTCGATACAAGGATTGACCAAACAAATGATTTCTAGAATTTGAGAGGTTGAGGCTTGACTCAGAAAGACCGTTGAATCAAACTTTGGAACAGAATCAACCTCAACATGAATATACCGAAGGATGTAAGATGGTAGAAAGATTCAGGTATGAAATGGATTCGAAGACATCTGATATATAATGATACGGTAGTTGGAAAAAGCTATTCTTCATGGAGCAAGCCGAATTGTTGTTGCTTTACACTTTATATACAGAACCGTAATTCATGAGATGATATATAAGTACAAAGAAGGACGTGGAAGTTGTCATCGAGAATCCCTTTACATAACTCTGGCCAACATGGAAACGGTCAGCATTTCCATGATCGCTTTTTCTCTACACAGAGGTGGGGAAAAGCTGTTGAGCAGATCCTTCAATTGTCATGATCAAAATTAACTTCAAGTATGTCGCCATTTTCCTTTCTCCCTTTTATCACCTTTCATGAATTCAGGCAATGCTACGTAGATTATTGAAGTCACAATTATGCGCACTTATCTCCATCCTGAGGTGGGGCTGTTCATTGATCTTAATATATTTATTTTCTATTTTGATGTTTGCCATTTTGGCTTACCTTGATCATATCAAAAAGTCTGGTTTGGGCAGACTCTAGATCTCTTTCCTCTTTCCAAGTACGCTGGACCACTTCTATAAACAGATCATACTATCAACATATAGCTTAATCATGATTCAGAACCGTGTTTTTTTCCCCGATTTTGTTCTTGAATGTGTTTCTGATTCGTCTACGCCGGCCAGAATCGATCCTGATATTTTCTTAAGTGAAGCTACCCCCACCAAACTTTTAGAAACAATCCTAGTGTTCCATCCTCATTTCAAATTTACTGAACAAGCAAAAGAAGATCACGAGCTCCTTAGGATAATTTTCAATGAAATGATTGCTCCTTGTCTTGCTCATGTAGTCATACCGATTGATCCCAACACACATTTTATTGAAGCACCGCTTGACAATAACTTTTGTGGCGTCCCTCTGAAGTATCCTCAGCCACACGCAAAGAATTCGATGAGAAGCTGAAAAGTGAATTCATTCGACTAAGATCCCTTCAGAAGATATTCAATAGTGCTGCTCAAGAAGTTGGATTTGTTTCCGCGCTGGCCAAATTCCATCAGTAAGTTGACTTTTCAAACCTCTATGTAGTATAATGAATCTGACTCTTGTACAATCCAAAATAGAAACATCTTCGATAAACACCAAGCCACTCATTCAGAGGCTCCACCGATGCAAGATACTCACGAGAATGGTTCCCCTGGTTCCACCGCCACACCTCAATTACCTTTAATACACAGCTTTTAATGCCCAAGATATCACTGAATATAAGCTCGTAGTGTCATTGTACATTGATTTTAGTATAGTATCTTATGATAAGTATTATTCAGTTTGACTTTTCTTCCTTGTTGTATGTACATATAGTACACCATATATACAAGTTTGAACACTTGCACTGGAGATATATTTTCAAATGTCAATCAAAATAACACAATCAGTGTATACTATTCAATTTGAGCCTCTCTCAATACAGCAGCTAAGATTCTTCAACAGTCCCACATTTTCAACCATCTTGTCTAGCTTCACGAGACTTTTTAAGAGTCTCACATTTTCAACCATTTTATCTATCTTCTTGTTATAGCTTCCTTCTTCCCTTTTTATAAAAAATTTCAAAGATCATTTGGTTTTTTCACATACATAAAATCCTTGGGTATTGTCCTGTACACTGCTGTCCAATGATGATATAATACTAGATTAGATTGTGTGGAACTAGATAAGACAAATCGAAGGTCAATATTTGGAAAACCTTTGACTTAATTTAAGCTTAGACATCAACAGAGGTGAGGGTTGATCAAGAAAGAAATTTAAAGCCAGATTAATAGGAATATTTGATGATTTGGCCCAAGAAATCATCACTTCCGGGCTACTGAGCTCTCTCGGCGAGTGTAGACCTAGGGCAATGTCCGGTCACAGAAGACGTTAGTATGGTTGAGTTGTAGATTTGATAAAGTTGGTTGGAGAACTAATCGGGTGATTTTCTGTACAAAGATTTGACCTTTTCATTCAATTTTCTGACTTGGATAAGTCGGTAACAGGATTGAGCACCAATGTTTCTGCTTGGTGTTGTCCAGGGAATAACTACTACCACGGTGTGTGAAGGAACGAGGATCCTTTGATCTGAAATGTGAACAAGAGTAGGTTACTATGCCTTGCTCAAATCATATCTTCCTTTGATCCAATCATGGAGGACTTCATACAAATGTGTCTAGCAACGTTCATTGAGCCTGATCATACGTCCATGCTGTAGGTATGTCAAACAAGAACCTCTCAGCTTCCTTCATCCTTCATTTTTCATTCTTATAATTATTTCCATCCGGTTTAACTCATACCTCATTAGATTTTGTTGTCTACATCAAGTGATGCAAGTGGTCTTTACGGTTGGGCACGCAGATCACTTTGGCGGATTTTTCATATATCATTCTAAATTTCTCCTGCATTGTCAAAATTACACGGTTGACAAAAAGATCTGTTGAACAGAAGAATCCTCTCATATTTCATTCTTTCATCCAACATACCTCATTCTTTATCCACATTGATTACTTTGCCTGGTGGTGGTACAAACAATAAAAAAAACTCATTTTTCATCTCTGATTTGTTATCTCATTCTAAACCTTGGCCTCAATCTACATTCATTGTTTCGGCTGGTCCGCACAGTCAAGAAGGCACAGTTTATCAGTTTTCAGTGTCATTCAAATTTAGATCAGTCTAATTGTCATCAATGTCCAATTCCACAGCACGTCGTTGCAGTCAGCGCCAGTCAAATCTTCAATTTTTACAAAATTCTCAAGATAACTCAGTTGATCAGGCAGCATTTTCAAAGGGAAAGAAGAGGAAAAATGACTCACATTCAGTCTCAGGTAAGTCTAATACTTATATAGATGTCACGTGCGGTGAGGATTTGCGTTGAAGTAAGATAAGGAAACTGACTTCTCATCCGCAAAATATGACCAGATGATCTGCCAGCGCGACAAGCTGGACCAAGCGAAGTTCTTGAAGAACCAGGTGTCACTGTTTGTGAGACGACATCCCAAGAAAGGCTGCTTGAATTCATCACCCAACATGCCATCACTAAGAAGCCTCGGCTGGCCAATAAAAAAAAATATCCGCTTGGAGAACGCTTCGCACAAGCCAAATTGGGACCAACTACATAGACACAACAGTACACCTACTTCTCAAACTTTTCAAACTTTAGAAAAAGACAAAGATGTGGTTGAATATTCCGTCTTCCACATGTCTCAGCTAATCAACATGCTGCGAGATGTTGGCATGGATACACGAGGGACAAGGAGGCACTCGTCACAGCTTGCAAATTGTACCATGATTTAAGTATGTGAAAGGTGTTGATCAAGCTTACAGATATTCTTCCGTCTAAAAGATTGCTGACAATGAATTTGGAACAGTTATAATCCCTGAATTTTCAATAGATTTACCTCAAGCCGGTCCTTCGACATCACAAAAAGGTAAGCTTTCCCACGTATACTCGTTCACAGCACATGATTGGATGTGGTAATCTAAGATTTCTTTGACCCATTAAAGGGGTATGTTTCTCACAAGGACTTCCAAGTTTTGAACACGGGCGTTTTGATTTTCCTTGACCAAAACCAACTCCACCAATAGTGGAGAAGACTACCGGACCAAGGCGGAACAAAGACAACGGGAAGGGGAAAGAGGCTGCACATGACACAGACAAAGATTGGGTACCATCAGTGACTGAAGAGATGTCAGAAATTTTGGACAATGATCCGGCAGTGGAGAATGTGAGTGAATTACTTTTACTTGGAGTCGCTTTTATTCATAAAAACCTGTGATATTGACAAGACCTCTGAAACAGCCAAAAAAAACAATTCCCACAAAAAAGATGCTGAACCGCCTACTCCTGGTGGTGTGAATCAGAACAGGACAAACGGCGGCCCAGGCGCAAAATCAACAACTTCGGACCAAAGCAGTGTAATAAGTCGGCTGAAAACAACACTACTCAAAGCTCAAGAAAGAGTGGAAGAACTTGAAAGCAAATATCAAACTCTATCAAGTTTGGTCCACAGAACAATCAAGAATCGTGATACTGACAAGATGCAACTAATACATGTGGTGGGTGTGTTGCAGTGAGTTTGTCTTGTTAAAGGATTTCATTGCAAATCAAATTTTGACATCAGTTACATTCATGTGTGGTAAAATATAGGCACGTCTTAGGTTTCACGTCAAAACTCTCTTAGGCCCCGGGAACAACAAGGCACTACCATCAACTTGCAGCTAACCTATATGATTATTATGGCTGGATTTTGATATTTTGCCCATTAGACGCTCAAAAGGGAACAACCACCACTCACGTACTGGACCCCACCGTTCAAGACAATCAGCCAGATGTATGGACATGTGGTGATTGGGTGCCAGTTTACAGTGCTGAAAGAGCGACGTAGATCCTTTCAGATATTCTTGCACATGATGGCGATATTGCTCAATCAGGCCAGCGTTCATAACTCGCTTCAAAGCTAAGTTGACCAGAGAAACTAAATGACAGAAATTTCTAAGAAGCGCCGTTTTGACATGATCTTGACAACTCCAGATAGGGATCAAAGTCAACGGTAACTGGATCGTAAAAATATTACGCCACTCCTCAGCTTTGAGCTGTCCAAAGCTAGCTTTCCCAACAACCGGAATTGTGCGTTTAATCCATGTTGGGATATGAATTCTTGGTAATAAAGAATTGATCATCTGCAGCATCTTTTTGTCAAAGATAACATTGTCAACAGGGGGTGAGATCCAGTTGGAATCCCAATCTGCGTCACCAAGCGGATCAAACTCATCCCCACTACTCGATTCATCCTGCAAAGAGGATAGATCATGTATTGTCCCAGGAGCATTTGTATCACCTAGCTCTGGGTTTAGATCTACATTTGGGCGGTTGCGAGGTTTGCTTGAATGCTCATCAAACAGATTGAATAACTCTTTTTTACTGATAGGGGGCATCACATCTTCCTCATTTGCAACATCTTGCATTGATCAAAACCGCCGTAGATGCCAAGAAAGAAGTCCAAGTAAGAGATTGTGCATTGAATCAACCACATGATATTCAACAATGTTCCAGTACGGGAGCTCATTCAATACTGATTAGCGGACACCGTGTGTCTTGAAGATGCTCTGGCGCTCTTTTACGGTCTTTGCATCACGGGCTTTGTTTGCCCATTGCTTATGCTGATCACACGTGCGTAATGGCCAAGATGATTAAAGAAAGTTCTCAATATCATTCTTTTCAAGTAGACAGAACGAGCAGAAGTATTTGGCAGTGGCACTTGGAAATCCGAGGGACCATCTCAGAGCTGGAATGTTGGCGATGAAGGGCAGCAAAGCGCAGTGAATAAGTCGACCACTTTTATATTGATGTGTTTGAGAAAAAAGTAATCCTGGCTCCCATAGCTTTAGAAGCTGAGTGACGACTGGTTGTAGAATCCAGTTCATCTGCTCCAGTGACGGCTTGCAAGGACCTGGAGCAATTCCAACCAGGAAAACATTCTCTGGTCTATGTCTAATACGGATAGGAAGAGTAAGGCATATAAGTACAATGAATGTGATTGAGTCGTGATGGCCACTTTGCTTGTTTCCGAGTGGATTGATACCATCAACAAACATTCCGAAGACTAGGTTACCACTTTTTGCTGTGAATTGTTTGCCATCAGGTCCACAGAACTCTTTCCAAACTTGTGATTGATGAATGTTGTGTACTGAGGCATCAGGATCATAATCTTTTCTTGACTCAATCAATGACTCGTCCAACCATTCCTCAAAGTGTGGACAAGAGTACAAACGGGCCACCCATTCTGATAGATCTTGAAAAGCGTAACGTCAAACAGGTACTTCTATACCTCGGGAATAACGTAGCAAGGAATGTCCGCCGGTTTCCTCCAAGAAGTCGTGGATGAATGAGCTATCATCCAGGATCTCTCCATCTGCGTCAGGCCCTCCTGGAATGCTAGAAACGCAATGAGTACATGATTTTGGTGTTCTTGATAATGGGTACAGCGCAAAGCAGGATCTACAGCAGTTCATGAATATCAACAAAGGGTCAATTTTGAGCCATCCAATGACCGTGCTGATGTTGCGTGGAAATCTTTGAAGGGTAGACCTCTCAACAGGCTCTAGTTGAGAAACCAATGCTTCGGGAACTATCCCACGGGAGGTTGACAATTCAATTGTGATACACATCATGTCCATGAGCCAGAAAGACGTCAAATGTGAGGCAGTCCCGAATATATTCATGACAGCAGCAGTAAGAGCTACATGAAGGCATACACACTACATGAAAGTTCATCTTTACCCGCGGGCACAGAAAACCAAGTTGGGCAAACAAAACTCACTTGTGGTTTTCTTTTTCCACTTCCTTTGCCCACTTTCTCATGTGGGCAGAGAAAACACTTTTGATACAGTACAGATTCACAGGTTTGTTGTTGAGAACAAGTTCACAATACCAAAGCAATTGTGAGCATTTTAATTGAGGCACATGTTTTACTCTTACCATTTATCAAACATGGGATCTTTTATATTACTCTCTGTCAATTGTTATATGCTTACGCTTTTTTGAAAGTATGATCAAGCAATCTTCATTTTGCAAATGAAGACGCACACCCTCAATTTTTTCTTGTTCAACATCATAAATATAAGATATCATTATGTTAAAAAATGTTTGTCTGAAAAGCAAGCCACTCTAATATTCAATTTCTACAAAGTATCCACACTGAAGCACAGGCGAGTACAACTACATATGATGGGTTTGGGATGATCAATAGTTTCATTATTGCCTACAAAGTCTGAACCAGTATCTAATTTGCAAATGAGAATGATCAGAAAGCTTTACATTTTGGTCATTCATTGCCAAGGAGATAGAATAGATTGTGTCATGAAGCACTACATGCATGATTTTCCATCGTTATTGTAGACAAAAAATTAAAATACTGTATGATTGTAAGACTTCCAAACAACAAACCTTGACAAGCTGTGAATTTGATCATTGTATGAGGAGTATAGTATAAGTGATCAAATAAACAACAACCACACAAATTAGATGAGACTTGATGGATTTAAAACAATTTAAAGATATTCCGGTGGAAGTAACAGCAAATAGAAATTGACGTGAAGCCGCTGAATCAAAGGCAATGCGCCAGCTGCAAATGGTGTGAAGCCGCTCTGAATCAGATAGAACCTGCAACTTTGAATGAGTTTTGAACCAAATTGTGCCATGATCAGTTCATTTTATAATACCAGCACAGAGATAGGATCTAAATCTTACCAGAATGATGTTGCACAACAACTCAGATTTTTTGGGAGGATAGTTCAAGACAATCCAAAAGGCTTGGGTTGGTTCTTTGTCCCCAATTTTCTATGTTATGTAAGTATTATAAGTCAGAATAGTTACACAGAAGGTTGGTAGAGTGTTGTGATAGTGTTGAGTAAGGTGGTCAAAGATCATTACAGAGTTGGAATCACTGTTACTGGTGTTTGAGGTGTGTACAGAGTGTTGTGTGGGTAATGATTCTTTTGGGAAAAGAATTGTCTTATTTGGGAAGGGTGAATTAAGGGGTGGCTCGTCAAGGCGTAGATTTAGGATAGTGCAGATTTCAGTTGTGTCAAGGGATGATGGAAAATTTTCTCAGGGTCATTTGTATCTCTTGTTCCTCCCTCTTTCCCCCCTTCTGATTCTTTTTGCGTCGAAAAGAATCAGTAAGTCAATTCACCATCATATAGATTTTTCTTTACAAACTCTCAGAACTAATCTTTTTCTCATTACTACTTTTTCTCTTGGATAACTTTTTCAGATCATCAACTTTGTTTGTCTGTTACTTACCTTTAACCTCGCCGCTCGTACCATTCCTTCGAGCTTGCAGGTACCTTTATTTTTCTTTACCTCTGTTTTCTCTTTTAGATAGAGCTGAGTCTGATATCTTTTCTTGTGCTTGTCTCTACTGTTTTTTCTCACTGTCTGAACCTGTTTAGGTCAGTTCAAATTGTTCTCGGCGTAGACCAGCGTGTAGCTAGAAGTGTCTTACGCGGTATACTGTGCCATCAGGTTTGTCGCGTCGAAAAGAATCAATCATCAACTTTGTTTGTCTGTTACTTACCTTTAACCTCGCCGCTCGTACCATTCCTTCGAGTTTGCAGGTCAGTTCAAATTGTTCTCGGCGTAGACCAGCGTGTAGCTAGAAGTGTCTTACGCGGTATACTGTGCCATCAGTTCCATTCCGTACACTTTCTAGTTTAGACACGATCTGGATCTTTCTTACGAGACGTTAAAAGATTTCTTGTGAAACTTTTCATAGAGTGATCAATTCATATGACTTACTCATGATATTCTAATAACGATTGAATCAATCCCACATTCTGAACAATGGTATCAAATGTCTTCTGTCAATATTGTAATATTGCGGTTGAGCTTTCAAGACGGCGTTGGCGGTCTTGGTGGTCGGTCTGTGAGATCTCAGAGTCGAATAATTGTAAACCAATCCCCTCGATCTCCTGATGAGAATTTTGAATAAAGCTAACGGATTCTTGAATACCCTCTACAGCGTTCTTGTAAGCAGAATCAATGGCAGAGATTCCATATTTGTTGAGATGCTTGTAAGTTTTAACAAATTTCATAAGGTTGTTGGCTGCAAGACAAGGTTGACCATTTTTGATGGGGCAGAGAATGAGACGGTCAAATTCAAGAATGTGGTGGGGGTCAACACCAGTCTCAAGGGTTATATACACGTCATCTGTGTCGAAGTTTGGAAAGTCGCTCGATGCTTGAAAGTAGTGTACATCACACTTGATGCCATCTGGAATTATCAAAGTGCAAGGATGGGGAAGTATCAATTTGCGGAACACGTCGTGTAAAAACAAAATATCATCTTCTGCCTCTACACTGAATCTGATTTGAGGATAGAACATATGAATTATTTCTAAAACTTGAGAGGTGGCCGCTTCGTCTAGAAAGAGTTGGTGATCAAGCTTTGGTTTATTATTGTCGACTGCATTATTCACGTACTGAAGGATGTAAGTTGGTAGAAATAGTTCACGGTGGAATGGATGAGACATCTCTGAAGGAATATATAAATCAGTATATGGGAGATTACAAAAAGATCATGCAGCAAAGCGATTCATCTTTACTTTAATATAGATGATTCCTGAGATGATTCACTTGTGTGTATTTGTCCATTCTTTGGAAACGGGTTTCTTAATGGTATCCAGGTAAATCAGGGTGGTAAGGATGTACGTAAAAAGTCTTCATTTATATTGTAATTAATTGATGTAATTAAAGCAAACAGCCCCACCTCCAATTGGAAAGAGCATAGCAACTTCAGTACCCGGTAGCGCTTCAGTTTTCAATACAATATCTTGATCTCTTTTACCTCATTCTTCTTCATGGCTATACCGATGCTATTCTCTATGCAAAATCTATATTCCTAATATACAAACAGAGACTGTGCATATAGTGATTTTGCTGTGCAGCTGGAACTTCTTGCGTGGTATTTCATAGAAGCCAATTAATATAAGATTCCCTACCCCATATATCATTGATTTATTAATAAGAATGTTTGAGGGTGGATATCATTTTATGATTCCTGATTGATCTTTATCATCAACCAGCAGAATGTCTTCCAAGACCAGTTGGCTGTCTTAGCTTGAAGACCAGCAGGCTTTAACCGAAAGGATTACAATGCATCTTACGCTGGATTTGGTTTAGTGAAATCAAAAAGTATGGTCTCTCTGGTCGTGATCACAATTTTTTGGTACAGCTTACACAAAAACTTGACAACAGGGGATCACAAAATAAGACAGATCAATGAAACAAAACAGATAACCAGGTCGAAACAGGAATATTTAGTAGCTTTGTGAATGAGTCTAATTAGAAGTACCAGCGGCTTGTTTGGTGGCAAGGATATCCCTAAGTGATTCATCAATAGAGTCAATTAAAGCTTACTTAAAACCAACCATAGAAGAACCTTTGAACTCACTTGTGATATTTGCACAATGCATTAACAAATGCAACATTGTGGATAGCAACATCAAAGGTCTTCTGATGGGATTTCAATAAGGCGTTTGCAGATTTTGACCGCTCCTCAAGGTCTAGACGCTCTGTTGATGAAAGGTTGGGCTTGCGCAGCAGAAGATGGAACCACTCTAATGTCTTGTGGGTGCCTTTAAGGTGAGAGGTTGCTTTGTGGAGGGCATGTTTGTCATCATCTTGAAGAGCAAGAATTTCGTTGACTTATGATTGATTGAGATACTCATAATTTTGGAGAAACTGCTCAAGATCTTCTGCCGCAAGGCAATACCGACTGTTCTTGAGGTTCGTGAGACAGAAGATTTCAAAGTGCTGATTACGTTTGGCGTTGATGTCTGTGCTAGAGTTGACCCATCTCATCAATGGTCCAACATCGCCGATTGGCGTGCATAGCATGGCTTGAAGGTAGTCTGTATTTCAATTGAGCGGGATGAATAAATTTGATAGTCAAGGAGCAATCATCCCAACGAAAACCTTTAGGAGGAGTTCATGATCTTTTTGTGCGTGTTCAGTAAAACGTAGATGAGGATAAAATGCTATGATAACCTCCACAATTTGTGAGAGACTGGATTTGCTTAGGAAGTGGTCGGGATCAATCCTAGAGCCAGTTCAATCAGTAATGACAAAATCAAGGATATAACTAGGTAGATAAATGTGGCATTGGTTAGGTTTGGACATGATGTTGTATCAGAGGGATCTTCAAAATATATTGGGGAAAAGAGAATCTGGGTAATCAACTGGTAATATTCGTGCTTTCTTTATTATCTTCAAGAGATATCTCATTGTTCAGAAGGTCCCTATGACAAGAGCTCTTGGGCGTTACAAGCTGTAGTCATATCTTATGCCTCATGTACATCAATTATATGAAAAGCCATGCTACCGCCCCAGAATCCCTGGGCAGATAGATATTTTATCTCCTCTGATTTGAACAGATCTATCAGGATATCCCCGACGCACGGGGTTTGACTAGAAAAATACTAACATTCTTTGATCATATCAACAAATTATGGGCAAGTGGTCAATCTAGATTTTGACGGATTCAAAACATAGGCCCTATTATCACAATGGCTGCATGTAGGAGATTCCAGTGCAATTTGCCGGACTTCTAGATGCGGACTCATCAGAAAAGAGCGATGAGGATGACAAGTTTCTGGAATTGTAGCAACCCCCATGAATCAGCCTTCAAAGGACTCTTATTATATCTCATCATGACTCATGACAAGTTTTTGATCAATCATGAACAATTCCAACTCAAGAATATGAACTAAATGATGTGTACATTGATCAGCCGGTGAGGGAAAAGTGTATAGCCATAGAGATGTGCTTGCTTTCACAAAACAAGTAATTAGCGGTTGTCAAGTGGTTCAAGGATAGCTTCAGTCATCAAGAATTTATCTGGTTGCATGTAGTGTATTATTGTGTACAAAGACTTTTGTTTCTCGTGATCTTTATTGCCTTAACTTCATGTGTTGGTCTTGCTCAGTCTTGAGTAAAACTTCACCAGACGCTATTGTATGGCTCCAATACTTTGCTTTTCATATAGAAATTGACGCTGCTTTGAATTTCTTATCCTTCCATGATGGTTCAAGTTTATACTTCTTGAGTTTCCTCTAGAGTTCCTTGTCAATATTCTGCTACCAGTCATTTTAACTTGAGTACATCAGTATAAAGAACTCAACACCTTGACAGCTGAATAATCATTCTTTTTATAGCATCATCTTCAGACTGTTCTTTTTTTTTAGCATGGCAAGTACATCATCTTCAGTAAGCTCAAACTGTCGGGTTCTGCAAAGCCGTCTTATTCCAGTAGAATCCAATACAGAATCACCGTTGATTGCAGCAACTGGTTGTGTGAAGAGACACAAATACTCCAAATCAAACAGTTTACAGACTGGTATTTATCTTGATTATATCATATGCCATTTATCCAAGAATTGGGTATCCTTGAGTATCTAGCTGACATGCAGTTCTTGACTTTGTAGATAAAAATCAAGATCTGGGAAAACAAATCAAAGCCTCACTCAATGATGGTGGTGGTATCTCAGTTGATAGGAATAAGCGTAGCAGGCTATCCGAGTTACTTGATAAGTATGTCAAACCTAAGAGGACTCGACTTTCTGCCAACAAAAAAGTGGGAAAATCATCAAGTGGGCCCAAGCCCAAGACTGCAACTTCACATACAATGCAACCCACAATGTTGGCTTTGGAAAACCATGTTGACTTTTCTTGATTCAAACAGGCTGAGCTTGTGGAGATGATAGAAGCTGTTGGAATGGTTACTGACGGCTGATCTGAGTAAGTTTGAAAATTTTGCCTTCAGTTGTCTCTTTTCTAAATTTGACTCTGATGACAATCACATTTCTTTTTAGTTGTAGTGCCTTCACATGACTTTACATTTCAATTAGATAAACAGACAACACCCGCTTCATCAAAAGGTGTGTGTCTCATTTTCCAGCGTGATTGAACCTCATCTCATGCCTTGAATTGATTTTGTGCCAGAAATTCATGCAAGTAATATTGAGTTGCAGCCTTCAGCTACATCTCTACTTCCTAGTATGGAACATAAACGCCTTCTGTAACCTTGACCTGGCCCAACTGTGTTATTGTCTGTTACCAAAGAAAAAGGAAAATCAAAAGCTCAAGAATCTTCCGAAGACAATTATAACCCATCCAGCAGCGAGGAGAACACAAGCGACGACGGAGAACCACCCTCAGACAATGAGGCTTCAGGAAGTCAAAATGTTGCTAGAAAAAAAGTACCCGACAAAAATCCAACAAAAAGCCACCTCACAAACCATCATTGTCAATTCATCCCAAGCCCGCCGCTGAACCCACAGGTCCATCTGAGGAGTTTGGGCCATCAAGCACAAAGGAAACAGGATCACATGAATGGATGATGCAATCAATATGTGAGTAGCTCATCATGTTTATCCTCATGATGTCATCAATTTATATATTTATTCACTCATATCTGAATTACGCTCTTTTTGGTAAATTCAGTTAAGCTGAAGAGTGGATTGATGAAAACGGTCAAGAGAATGGATGACATGAGCAAAGATTTCAAACTTCTATCCAACATTGTCGAGAAAGGAATTAATAGTGGGGGCTGCGAGGAAGGCGCAGAAACACCTGAGTGTACAGCAAAAAAAGTAAAAACCCATGGTGGTGCAGTATCTGTAAGTGATTTGTCTACTCAGTTTCCCAACCCAAAATAAACTTCACCAATATTGATGATGGTGTTCATAATTGATTATTTTGTAGCGTCGTGTACGGTTCCATATTGATACATTGCTAGGACAGAAAGATCCTGCTCATCATCTCCCAGATGCAGCAGATGGTGTTGGGAAACGGTTTTGGACTTATGGTGGTGTTATTAGCAGCCAGAATGGAAATCAACTTAATTCACCTGAAATTGAGCGGACATTGGATCCATGTTTTCCATATGAAGATGGTCCTGGTCATGAAAAAGCGACTCCTCAGCAACTATCAACTATGTGGAAGATGATGAGAGAAGTAGGTGTCTCGAGCTTCAGGCCAGACTTTTCAACTTCACCATTGTGCAAGGACAACAAATTCCTCTGGGACTTAGCTTCAAGAATCTTCATCACACTGGTCGAGTGTGGAGAGTATACTGGTATTTCTCTTGGAGGTAATGGCTTAGCAATGATTCAAAAAGCCATGCAAGCACGTGTGCGCTCTTTGAATAAAAGGTAGTGATTATACTCTTCATACACCGAAGCTTCATATGCTGATCCTTTTATTCTCATTGAAACCTCTCGATCTCAGGTACCAAAAGCAGAGCTGGGATGAAGGACATCTAAAGTTACAAAGCAACACAATCAGAAGAAGCTCACAATTGAGATATGTCAGTGCTATCAGATGTTTTCACTTTTGATCGTTATTTGTAAGAAGATCAATTGATTAGTTTTTGATACATATATATATAACAGTTGAGGAAGTTACGGGATCAAGTTGTGATTGAAAAAGAATCTTTATGGAAACTATCTGATATCATTGATGTCGCCTGCAGTGATGATGAGACTGATAATGAAGACTGCAATGCTGACACTTCAAACATCAAAGGATCGCCATGTCATATTCTAAAGCTCAGATGGTGAAGCCCTCAATTGGAGTATGCTTTTAAACTCCTTGAGTCATATAAAGCCAATCTTGATGCTAGTACACTCAAATCTCTAAGCTCATCCCCAAGCCAAGCTGGAGGAAGACCAAATTGACCTTGCATACAATGTAGTAATGGGCATGTAAGTCTGATCCAACCCCCAACAGGTCTACCAATCAATTGCTTTTGTGAAGATTGGTTACACAACCTCTTGCCTCAAGTGCAAAGTTCTCTCAAGATTGATCCAAATCCCCTCTTACACCTCATGATTTCGGCCTTGGAGGAGCCTTCCAATCTATCCAATTTGTTTTGATAATACAAACCTTTGTTCAAAATTGGACATTAGTCTGTTATAATTTGTCACTTCTCTTGCCCCCTTGCCTTTTTGTTTGTATCACTTTTAGGAGCAGAGAGGCCTAAAATTTTACAGGTGCATCTGAATTCTGCTATGAAATTATTGATATCAAACACCTTACTTATCAAGACAAAGTCATATGATCACACTATTCCTATTGGAAGCGCTGAGTATCAAGCGTCTTATGTAGAATATAACCTAAATAGAATCTGTTGATGACTCGTGGTTTGATTCTACAAAGAAAATGATCACCAGTCCATACATATCAATGCTACTGTAGGAGAATTCAATCTCTTGTGCAATTCACCTGGTTTGTACATAATCCAGGCACAATGTGCCACCACTTCATCTAATCTTATGATGACATCTTGGGTTGGATGCCATAGTTGCAAAGAAGCTTGAATAGCTGGCATAGCAATCCGTGAGAATGGATTGTACTCCTGAGGTGGAGCGGGGAGTGACGGGAATGCCTGAACAAGTAGCCAAGTGTTGATTATGTTGTTTGATGGCTCAGGAGTTCTGTGATGTACAAATATTGTAGTGATCCGTCCGAAACAATGAGTACCCTTTGACCTTGATTTGAATATGATGAAGCTATCTATCTGGCTTTCTGAAAATTGAGAAAAAGATACACCTGTGTGATCCACACGCTTGGAGTATACCCCGGGGTGGTACTACGCCATAGCCAAGTCTATCGGTTTCTGATAACAATGCAAATTTCTCAGGTGTCACCCATATACAGTCTTCTAAGTGTTGTTCATTAAATCGCTTGACTAAAAGTTCCAATACAATGCTGTTAAGTGGTACTAGCTTGGAGTTGCTGACTCGCTTTCAAGGGGTCTTATTGGTCTTGTATAGTGCCTGCGGGCTGGTTGCAAAAGGTCTCAGGCCTTCAGGAAGTTGATCACTCTTGATAAAAGCTAAAAGATTCCCCGCACGGCAGTAATTCTTGACAAATGATATTTCCAGTTCACCGATAGTTTGTAAGCAATATGAAAGGAAAGAAGTTTATCAGATATAATACAAATGCTTACAAAAAAAGAACTTACCCATATGATTATTATGACAACCTTTCAGTATACCTCTCATCAAGCATTCAAAAGGAAATGCCCACCAAGCACAAACCGGGTCAAATGCCTCAAGACATTCACTCAAGTGGATAGCTGCATGATGGTTTGGTGCAAGTTTATGGTGCTGGAACAGGATTATACAGCTCTTGAGATATTCTTGAATGTGATGATTATAAGCCTTAATTGTACCTACCGTCATTTCACGTTTTAGTGGCAAGTTTACTAGGGATACTAGGTGGCAGAAATTCTTCAGAAGCAAAGTTTTGATATGGTCTTTTCCGTACCATATTGGGATTAAAAGCAGTGAAAGCTGAATGGTGAAAAGATTTTGCCATTCGTCTGCCTTGAGTTTACCAAAGGACGCTTCCCCAAGAACAGGAATTGCCGGTTTAATCCATGAAGGAATCCGGATTCAAGGAAGCATTGCGTTGATGATCTCTAGCATATGGGAATCAAATATCACCTCATCAAATGGTGGGGCTTCCCAATCTCCATTTGACTCAGCGTCGTGAAAAGGATCAAAGTTGGGATCACTTGAGCTGGTATTCTCACTATATACTTCATTGATGATTCCTTTTGTCGTTCCTTGATCTTGTGGCATATCATCAGTTGTTTGTCTTTAAGGCCGAGGGTTGGAATGTTCAGAGATAAGTTCCAATAACTCTTCAGTATAAATCGGAACTGGTTGGTATTCTTCATTATCAATCTCTTGCATAGACCAGAATCGCCGACAATGCCATGCAAGAAGACCAAGCAGTAGATTATGCATTGAGTCTAATACATGATACTTAGTGATATCCCAGTATTCAAGCTCCACAAGTACGGAGTAGCGCACTCTGTGGGTCTTGAAGACCTCTTCACGCTCCTTGACTGTTGTCAAATCACGAGCTTCATATGCCCAAGTTTTATGCTGTTCGCATGTACGGCCAGGCCAAGTTTTTGGATCAAGATTATTGACATTGGATTTCTTGAGAAGACAAAAAGAGCAGAAAAAAGTCGCAGTTGCACTGGGAAATCCTAAAGAGCGTCGTATAGCCAGAATGTCCGCTATGAAAGGAAGTAGAGCGGCTTTGATGAGATGACCGTCTTGGTAGGAATGAGTTTGAGATACTAGCAAGCCTGGAGTCCATAATTTTTGAAGCTGAGTGACAACTGGTCTCAAAATCTAATTCATCTGTTTGAGAGATGGTTCACGCGGACCAGGCGCAACACCCGCAAGGAAGATGTTCTTGGGGAGAAATTGAACACAAAAGGGCAAAGTCAAACAGACAAGTACAACAAACGTTATGGAAGCGTGATGTCCACTTTGCTTGTTACCAAAGGGATTGATCCCATCCACAAACATTCCAAATACAAGATTACCACTGGTAGATGTGAATTGTTTCCCATCGGGGTCTTTAAATTCTTTCCATAATCGTGATTGATAGATATTGTGAACTACTTCCTGAGGCCTGAAGGGCTTCGATGACTCTTTCAAAGATTTTTCAAGAAGCTCCTCCACCAAAGGATGTGAAAGAAGCCGTGAAATCCATTCTGATAAATCCTGAAAAGCATATTGACAAATTGGTACTTCTTTCATTCAAGAGTATTTTAACAGAGGTTGGCCGCATATCTTCTCAGAAAAATTGGCACTGGAATTTGATTCTTTTGTAACAGAATCATTGCTATACTCTCCTCAACTTGTCATGAATATGTTAGATCCCAGCCAAAAGGTGTTACGTGTGAAGACATGTATATGTGGCTCTATGAGTTTGGCAATGGAAAAGTCAAGTATCCTACTGGTTTACGTCATGGGGAATTGGCCAAGATTGTTCGATCAAAGCAGCCAGAGTGTACATATGGACTCACCCCTATCTTTACTGTTCCTTTCTTTTTTTATATGTTCAGGACCAAATTGATCAAAGGTCATGTTTCTCTTTTTAGATTTCCCCAACCCAGATACCAATGCCCCAGCTCTGGTCTTGGGAGACAGCAACAAGGCAGGCTGTGGGCGTCAACGACGCCAAGCAACAAAATCAGCTGCATCAACTTCAACAACAACACCGCAGCTGCCCGTTGAAGCAAAGGCACTATATCCTTCACTCACCCATTTTTCTTCTGTCTCAGAGGAAACTCCTGATGATCTGAGTCCAGCCGTATACAGAAAAAGCGCATGTCTTCTGGTTCAGATCACAAGCGGCTGTCTAAGAAGCAATCCGGTCAAGCCTCTAGTAAGCAACCATCTTTGTTTTTCAAGGTTCCACTCAATTAATGAGTCAAAATTATACTCCTTTGACATTTCTTATAGAACAAAAAAACCCTGAATCACCCTTGGTATTAATTAAACAAACAAAGAGGGTGATTTATTAGATCAGGCTTTGTTTACTAAATTTCTTTTCATACTCTTGATGTGTTTGTTTCTGTCCAATTCTTTACATAGGAAGCAGATCTGGTCATCAAAGATGAAGATCACAAACCGAACATTTCTTCACTATCAAAAGCCACTGGACCAATCACACCGAGTAGATTAAAAGTGCGTTTTGATCTTGTACGTCTACATCAGAGTGAATTTATTGGGGTACATTTCACAAGCTGATAGTGTCTGTAGAATGTCTGCATGCCCGAAAACAAGAAATGTACCAGCTCCATTAGTTTGAGCAAAATCAAAACTCTGTCCTGGGAAACCACAAAACCCAAGCATTCAGCAGTGAGTTATAGTGAAGTTTACATCCAAGAAATCCAAACATATGTTCCTTGATCAAGCTGTAATTCTTTCACTGGTTTTCTTCTATAATCAACAGCACTCGCCATCTAGCAAACATCCAATGCCGACAAAAAACTTGACACTTCTTGCCGAGACTTGCTCCCAGATAAGCGATGAAGATATTTGGGAGAAGATGAAGGCTCTACATGAAAGTCATTGATCCCCAACATCGATTTTCCACCACCAGTCTTGTCACAAAGATTGATTGCCGAAGACGACTTGAATCCTGACACCTGCACCAACGGAATAGACAATACATATTGCTCACATGAGGTATTGAAACCAAACCCGTATATTGTTGACCTGATGACTTTCAAAGATTTCAACATTTTTGTATCTGAAAACGATGGTACATCCTTTCTTTTCAGTAGTGATATCCTGTCACCTCGTGTACACTAAAACTTTGGCCCCGACCCAAAGATACAGCACGCTGTATCATCCCAGTCTCTCAGTTTGCACTGCCAGATGTATCCCAGATGCATGGGATGCATCTGGCGTCAACTAATTGGCATAAGTTTCCCTCAACTTTACGCTCACAAACCGCTCACAAGCCACTCACAAGCTCACAATGGCTTAGACGCACTCAACCTCAGATACAAAAATTCACAACTTCACAATATACATACACACCACTTCACAAACAAAGTAGTATACAACAATCCTCAATCTTACAAAGTCCACAACTCACACTTCACATTCATTCAAATACACATACATATGTATGTACATTCCATCTTGACCTCCACGTAAGCCACATCCCTCAAAAGCTTCTTCCACTTCAACACTTCTTTTATCTACGTACCACAAAGGATATCAACATTGCCATATCCTGTAACAACCTAATCCGTACCGAAACCATGCCTCAACCTCGCAAACGTGGAATATCGCCTTCAAAGTCAAAACCACCTAGCGCTCCAAAAATAGCAAGAACAACACGCAGCTCAGCACCGGCCACTACCTCAGCAAAGCCTCGCCAGGCCAGCAAGAAGACCACTATTCAAAGCAAGAAGGCCAAGATTCCGACCTCTGAGGATGAATCACACTCTTTGTCTGACAAGACATCCTTTGAACTTCCCGAGGAAATAGACCTACTCGACGAACACGAACCAAACGAAGATGAATGGGAGGACGAACACGATGCCAAGAAAGACGCACCTGATACCATTCCCCAATCAAACGTTCCTAACCTTCCTCAAGCTCAATCCAACCAAACGAAGAAGCCACGACACAAGAAGCCATGCATCAAAATCACCCTTGAAAATTATCAAGAAAGTGACTTAGATCTTGCTACCATCGACTCATACCTCCATGACACAGACCGTAAGACACGGAACCACATTCCATCTGACATTCAGAAAGAATTGAAGAACCTTCAATTCATTTATCACCGAGCCAAGAAGCTATTGGCCCTTGCTGCACAATGCAGTGAATGGACAATCAATGAATTCCTGTCAGTGATGATACCCCTATCCATAATGTTATATTCCGTTCGACTGACCTTTATCCCTTTGAATTACCAGGCACGAAGTGAGAATGCAAACCAAGCGCACATTCTACCAATGCTATCTAAAGTATAGTAAAGAAAGCTCCAGTGCTGAAAGTGAGTACTTCTCACATGAAGCCGCCTCATCCGCTAACGCTAAAGAAATCCATACTCATACGCTAATTATATACCAAATCTTCGTCCGTCACCTTGTGACAGTGCCTGCAAGGAATCAGACGCTTGGCTTCAAAGAGCGAAACACTCACCTTGGCAACAAATGGTCTTCATTCGACATCGATGAGAAAGACATCTTTAATGATCGAATCTTCTTTCCCCTTGGATATCTGTCCTGCGGGTGGGAATTACCACCAGCTGAACCACAATTCGAACCCCTAACGCCCGAAGACATTGAGAAGTTCCTACCAATATATAAACGCCTAGTTAATACTGACAAGGTAGCAAAAGATTTGGGCCTCACCTACCCACAGCTCGCCAAAACAAGGGAATCACTGAGGTTCGAAGGATTGATCACGAGGTACGACTCATTGTATTCACGTACATACTCCAACTGACAAGTATGTGCTCTCGTCAGCTCCAGATTCTGAAAATACGGTATGGCATGGATTACTCCCTTATGGCTTCCTTGTGGTCACCGGACACCAAAAACCGCAAGGCCCAGTGGAATATGGAGACTTCATTGTGCGATGACTGGATTGCACTTAGTAATGGCACCTGGCACCTCCTTGATCAAAAGTTTGTGCGCCAGGTCACACAGTCAGACTTGAACATCCGCCCTAAAAAAGCCAAGAAGGTTCAGCCTAGCGATGAGATCAAAGCACAGCTCATTGCTGCATTGCACTCACAAGTTGGTATGTTCAATTTTCACTCCTCAATTTGACTACAACTTCAAAAAGAATTACTACTTACAGCCGATGATCACAGAAAAATACCTTCAACCACCCTTATCGCACCTGGACTGTCATCCCAAGACCTCAAACCCCCACGTAGCACTTGAGAACAGGGTCTTCAAAGGTGGCATCAAGCTCCGCGTCGTACGAGCACCACAAAGTAAAATGACTGATCTTCTCCTATCAACGGAGTTGCAGAAGATGACGCTTGCAACTCATAAGTTATGGTTGGCCAATATTCAGTCTGGACATTACAAGGTTATCTAAGCAGCGGATTCACAACTTACGGCGGAAGAAGCAGCGCTTGATGAAGAACTTACAATCACCACTCAATCAGTAAAAAGTAAAGCCGGAACGATTGTCCAAGCAGCGCCTTCAGGACTTACGGCGGAAGAAGCAGCGCTTGATGACGAACCTGCTGAAGAAGATCAAGGAGCAATCATGACTCAATCTCTAGGAATTACTGAAGGTTAACAATCAGCTGACTGACTAAGTCAGCTGAAAATTATGCTGTCCTTTGCTATTAAATCTTCCTTGTGACTTCAATTCATATCCCATATTGGTGCACCTTGTAATTGCTATTGCTGCTTTTTGCTATTGTATGCTTTTCTAGAGTGAAATTTAAATGTTCTTGAGTCCCTTCTGTTTCAACCATGTGAGCAAAAACAAATCTCACAAGATTGACATAAAATGCAAAGGAAGATAATTCAATCACATCTTATGCTTCACAAAGCGCACAACCGTACTTCCCCAACAATTACACATACCAAATTCACAACTAATTGTGAAAATTGTGAATCCTGTACGTCTTGCTTTCCAAGAGGGTTCACAATTCATTGTGAAGTGTGTGAACCCTGAACTTGTCCAATTTTACAAGAAACGTTCACAAGTTTCATAACATTCACAATCATGTGTTCACAATTGATTGTGAAGTGTGTGAACAAACTGTCATCTTCACCAAGTTCACAAGGACACTTCACAATTCATACAAGATTTAGAAAAACTTGAGAACACAATTGATTGTGAAGTTTGTGAACTGTCATCTTCACACAGTTCACAATCAAGGTTCACAATTCACAATTCATACAAGATTTAGAAAAAGCTTGAGAGCGCTTTTGATTGTGAAGTGTGTGAACTGTCATCTTCACAAAGTTCACAAGCAAGGTTCACAATTCATACAAGATTTAGAAGAAGCTTGAGAACGCAATTGATTGTGAAGTGTGTGAACTTCCATCTTCACAAAGTTCACAAGCAAACAAACTTCACAATTCACACAAGATTCAGAAAGATCAAGAGATCCCATATGATTGCGAAGTCGATGAACCTTCATCTTCACAAAGTTCACATACAAGCAACCTTCACAATTGGTACAGGATTTACAATCAATAGTTCAAATCAATCAAGGTTGATGGTGAAGGCTGTGAACCATTTCACATTCCCAAGTTCACATTTCCCGTTCACAATCACAACCTGCACAAATGTTCCACCGGGCTGAGCTAAGGTGTGAAGGTGAAGTTGAAGTATCTTCATAACCTCATGGATCAGTCCAAGTCTTGCATGTTTTCCTCTTGGTCAATATTGACATCGGCTTCCGCAGCATCATCCTCCCCCTGATCATCCCCCTGATCATCATGATGGCCTTCCAGTACATCATCATCATCATCCCTATTGTTGTCCTCATCATCACCCCCCTCTCCTACAATCGTCACTCTTTGGGTCATACCCTCCCATTCAACAAGACTTTCTTGGACCATAGTTTGCCACTTAGTACACTTATCCCGATCAACCTCCTGGCTACAGCCCAGTGGTGGGGTTGTCAAGCTAACCAAAATGCATATCTTGGTTTGCCACCTTACCCATAGACGACAGGCCCTCTGCATGAGGGTGGCATGTAGAGCCTGCATGGTCTCTTTGGACACAGCCCAAATTGGAACAATTCCTATAATTCAATGATGCTTTCCTCAGTTCATGAGGAAAGCTTTTGTGGATATTGAAAAGATTTCATACCTTGCTGGATCTCATCCCGAAGGACACGACTTTTTCCTGGAAGGCCAGGCCCCAGTTCATCATCTGCCTGGCTTCCTTTGCTATTCGACGAAGCTCCTCCTTGCATCGTTGTACGTCTAGATACGCTTCAATACCATCCTGTGTTCGTGTGTCTACTGCCCAGGGTTCTCGAGGATGGGTGAGGCCACCAAAATCAAAGAATGGATCAGTTATTTCCATCTGTTCCACCTCCTTCAGTGTTGGTGTGGGGAGTAAAACATCTGGGTCGAATTTTTGATTGTAATCCCGTGCTAGTCGATTGTATGTAGTGTGCTTCCTTCTCAACTCAGCGTTTTTCAATACTCTCAAATTATTCATTTTTGCTTGTACATTAGTCCCTGGGTGATATGTGGCCAAAACAAAGCTGAGCGTTTAATGCGAAAGAGGGTGAACAATGCATGTCTTCACCCTACTCACCTCGTGCTGTCCCAGCGCGCCTTCGATGCTCAATGACACCACTTTTGGCCACTACAAGACGACCTTTTGCCACCTGAATCTTGACTAAAGGCTCGGCATGATCATCTACAACAAGATCATTGGAAATCCTTAACCTCAAAATAATGTGATCTGACGTGAGAAAAACCCACCGTCAGTTCCAGTCAGCTCTTTGAATTCCACATGTCCTAATTTTTCAGTTATATCTTCCATAGCTTCTTCCAAATGCACCATAGTATTTGGCAATGCCAGGATGGCCTGTCTCTTACAACCACGTTGCTTTGACCTCTTTTTCCTGCGTAAAGCAGCAAGTCTATCTCTGACATGCATATTTCAACATTGATTAGCCATTCTGCTCAATAGAAGACAAAAGACTTACTGTGCCGCAATCAGCTTTTCTTCAAGCTCAACCAGTTCACCCAGCTTTTCTAGGTAGTCGGCACTGGTTTGACTCAATGCCTGGCTCTGTAGTTCTTTTTTGCGACGCCACTGTTCCTCAAAGTAGGCCACGTTTAAATCATGTGCACATTCCCGGTGAGCTAATTTGTCCTTGGCCGACTTCAACTTATCCTGGGTTTTTCCAAGGTGCCGCAAAGAACCTTGCACTTAATACATTGTGACCGTCGTCAGGTCAGTAATAACTGAGATACCTGAACAAAGCGATCGTCAATACACACCAGCATTCATCCTACCCAGATCATTCTTGTGTAGCGCTGCAAAATTGATGGCATTGAGGTGATGTTGCTTTGTTGAATATCATAGTCGGCGGACCAAGGGGTCAAACTTTGCCCAAATACGCTCACTACCTTCGCCATCTGTAAGTCCCCATCCTTCATTCAGACGTGGGTTGTAATCTAGCTGACATGTCCATTCACGTACAAATGAATGGAAAAGGCTGGTTCCAAACTTGAGCCTGTTGAACTCCCGTTCTATGGGAAATTGATTTCGCTGATAAGCACACTTGTATCAGCTTCGATGTTTTTGCATGTAGAATCACATGATTGTGATAACCTTTTCAATTCCCTTCTGAATATTGCATCCTATGTCATAAAGGACACCAATCTTACCATCCCGCTTGCCTGGACGCGCCTCCGTGGCTCTTAGTAGCCAGTTGATTAGTGCAAGGGGGTATATGTTCCTACGAATTATGTCATTTAATTGTGAATGTTCAAAGTCGGTTCAGGTAAAGAAAAAATATGTCAAGGCAAGCACTGACTTTTCCCCACTCTGGATGATGCTGATGAACTTCAGACATTGATCATGCCGGCAAGCCAACACCTCAAGACCAGTCTCATCATTGCCTTTCCAGTGGTTTTTTCCACGTACATCATCAGAAGCGGTATGTCTGGCAGAGCATGGGTCCTGAGGCCACAATAATGTTACAATTTTCAGTATCAATATATGCATTTATGTGATCAATTCATAAGGAAACGTACAACTTCCTCTTCTGCCCAGTGTTTCTTCTTGCTGGTTCTCTGCCAAGGTGTGGGTACACTGGCACGCATAGCCTCTAATTCCTCAGGTGGCAAGAACATGAAAGGAGTAATGATCCCTCCTAACTCAATACTCGCAGCCAAGTGGCGACAATATTGAAAATTCCCATCAATACATACACAGTGATCCGGTTCAGAGTTAGGCAACGGGTCTACATCTGGCCCAAAGCATTGTGGGCATTTGAAAGCCAACTCATCATCTTTGCTAAGGCGGAGAGCCTTGGAAGCAGCTTCATCAGACATGATGAGCATTTTTTGATACCCATCCATAGCTGATGATAATGTACGATGCCATTCTCGTGCCTGAGTAGTTTCCCACATATGTAATAAGCATATTTTCTCTAGTTTTTACGCATTATGAAATGCGTCCTGACCTTTTCACCACTTTTCACAAGGAATATGGGGTTGCCAGGATCAAGAAACTCCGCTAGTGCCAATGCAAAGGGCTGAAACGCAATGCTGCAGAATTTCCAAAGGATGTGAAAAAATTACTGATTGCTGGGACTGGGACATCTGCGGTACCACCGATATAACCAGCATAGATGAGCCTTGCTTGATCATTTGCGTAGCACTTGCAAAACAGGATTGACACCTGCTTGCAATCTGGGGTTACAAGGTCAGTGTATATATATGTTATATATGTTATGTACGACAATGGTGACTCACAAAAAAAGATCCAAAACATCCAAAGTACGTGGGGTACCTTGACATTGACAAGTCTTCTCGAAGTCGTGATCAAATAATTGGTTTGACCAATCACGTGTCAATCGCTGCAACTGAAGGTAAGCTTGGAACATGGCAGGGTGTCGTTTTTGCCATTGCACTTCTTCATGGGCCCTACGACCGGAGTAGAACCCCCTATTCAGAGCATGTATGGCATCATCATCCACCAGGACAACTTCGGGGGGATCCATGGAGGGATCAAGAGGCGGTGCATTCATGTGATCATCCATTTCGTCGTTTGGGTCATTGTTGTCTTCGTCATCAAGTACTTGAGTGGGATCAGCGATTGGCGTGGTGTTGACGGGGACTTGAGGTGGCCCCAAAGGTTCTTGACCATGCCGTTGCAGCGTCTGCTCCCGAGCTTTACGTTTCAGGGCCAGCACTCGAGCGTCAAGGGGGTTTTGAGGGCGCCGATTGAGACTTTCAAAGGTGCGAGGGCGATCTTTCTTCTTGTTGGCCATGGTTGCATAATCTAGGTCGGGTACTTCAGTGAAATATTAGTTATCAGCGACGTCTTGAAGGTTTCTTGGTGAGGAATGAACTACGGTTTGGTAAAAATCGAACGTCTTTGGTATGAATGGAATGGTTGCTCTCTTTTAATTCACCCCCTGATTACAATCATAATAGTATCTTTTGGCCAGGGGTGAACTACCATTTCATGATGATTTCATTATCCCCCACCTCTGTGTATTTCATCTAAGCTAAGATCAATTGGGACATCACTGAACTAAAAAATGACACTGATGTCCCATCGGGCGTTTGTACTTGTCAGGATGTGAATTCTTTCGCACATGAATTATCTTGATGATCACGCTGAATATTATTGAAGATCAAGCCTCATGATGAACAGTTTACATCATGATTCAGAGAGTCTTTTCAGATTATTAAACGATGTAGAAGGGATGCAAGAATCTGTAGATTAGAAATTGTTTTCATTTTTTAATTGAGTAGACGGCATTTCATGATGGTGATGTTGTTGGCCTGTTTTCCCTTGGGTTTTCGTGGTTCGTAAACATCACATAATGCTCATATCTCCCTCAATTTTTAACAAAACATCAAGGTTCCACAATGAAAGTTATTGGAAATTACATTTTAAGTAGAGTTTTATAGCACTTCGCAAGGAACTATCCAACTCTTGATGCTCAAATAAAGGTATACGTGCGGTTCTGCTTTATGGTAATTGTCAACAAGGCCTTACATCTCACTCAATTTTTGTTCAACCTGCAAGGTCAAATAATCAAAGTTATAGGAAATTTCATTTTACCTAGAGTTTTATAATACCGATCAAGATAATGTCCAAGTATTAACGACCATGTATAGGATTTTGTAAAGTTAGGGGGGGTAGTACATGGCACAATGTTCGCATATCTCAGTCAATTGTGGTCCAATGTGAAATTGAGAATAATAAAACTTCTGGTAAAATGAATTTTAACCATAGTTGTATAATGCTCAAGAATAAGGTAAGCACTTCCTGATGGCGTAATAGAGGGCTATGAGATGTCTGGGGGTGGCTTCCAATGTCACAAAACACGCATAACTCTTTCAATTTTTCCCCAAACTAAAAATTTCAATAATGAGATATGTTCGAAATGGGAATTCGTTTTCCATTTATTAAGAGAATTGTTTGTATAAACGCTGTCTTCTCACCCCTTTGGCCAACTGAAAAATATTGCATCATTTTAAAATGGCCATAACTCAGCGAATTTTGGTATTTGGACCTCAGGACCTGTTCCAGTGAATTTTTATGGTGATTTTAGGGGGACTTTATTAAGGAACTTTTGGGTTTTCTTGACTTTGAAATTTCTCGAAATTCTGTGTGCAATAATGACCATATTTGTCATTTTCACGTTGATTGGAACAACATAACACTCATCAAGGAATCTTCACTGCATTTCAGGAAGTTGGAAACTTGTTTTTCTTCATTTGTGGTACTTTGTGGAGAGTCCCACATCAAAATTATCCCACAATACTTTACCACCACTACTTTATGAGGGAATTGCCTGCTTTAATCCCCTGAAGCAACCAGCTTGCTGCAATAACCTTGTCCCACTGAACTCAAAGTTTACTATGATGCAGGAAGTTTGAATGATTTTATTATTCATTTATGGTACCTGGCAGATATTTCTACATCACAGATAACCCATCTGTCACATTATACACTGAGTTATGAGTGTATTTGTGGTTTGATTCAGGTGTAGCACCCAGGCGCTCCATTAACCTCAACCTAGTAAACTCTTACAATATGACACCTTTTGTCAAAATTATTATTACAAATATATATATATTTCCGCACTTGAACAACTCACATTATATCAACCATCATTGATCTATGATAAGTATGGTGTGGACTATGCTACTTTTGTGCAACTTGTACCACTATCAGTCAGTTCTACCCCAATCAGACACTTTGGTCCAAAGTGTTATTACAATCAGTTATGCATTTCTTGATGTTAAGATATAAACATTATGACATCATACCAACATTGTTTCAAGATCAGGATTGTGTGGACCATGCAAGTTTGGTGCTACTTGTACCATGGGGGCACATTAACCTTTCAGCCAGTAAACTTTACTGCAATCACACCTTTGGTCAAATGTCTTGATATAAAGCCCATATTGAATCTGAACATCAAATATTGATCCAATATCTCATTCTATGATTTAGAATTATTCTAACTTCATCAGGATTGGACCTATAAAGAGTGAGATTTACAGCTTTGGACCTATAGAGAGTGGGGTACGGTCAAATGTCTTGATATAAAGCCCATATTGAATCTGAACATCTATCATTGATCCAATATCCAAATCAATGATTTAGAATTATTCTAACTTCATCAGGATTGGACCTATAAAGAGTGAGATTTACAGCTTTGGACCTATTAAGAGTAGGGTACCCTCTAATCCCACTGATTATTCCTTGTCACATTACCTCCCCATACTTGAAAGTCTCGCACTACCGTGCCCAAGGTGTAAACAGACTTAGTGACAGCAAGAGAAAATGTTTGTGGTAGTCAGGTGAAAACACTTGCCATACTACGAGAACTATGTACCTTTAGCTGATATGCTCTCTTTCCTGCACACAGGATCAAAGCTCAGGGGGTGGTACTTCGTGGGGCACACCCCAGCAGGGTCCCATGAAAATTGGACCCTGCTGAGGTGTGCAAACCCCACCAGGAAACAATTTTTGCGTTTTGAACCAATGAAACACCATATTATCTATGAAATAATCACCTGTACGATAAATTAACTTCCTAGGTAGGACAGATGTATTCGATCATGTCAACAGATGCCACAACAGATTAAACATTCAATCTATTGAAATATGAGAACTTCTAGCATCGACGTCGCGTGTATTTTAGTGTACAAGGTATCAGTTTGACTTGGACCTAGAATGTCCTGACGCGTCACACGTCGGTAGTGTCGTACTGTTACATGTATGTATTTCCCAGGATGCAAGGGGAACCACTGGTGAGTTCTCTGCAACAAAGGACCTAACTAGTTGATCACTTATCTCCTTATAAACTTAATACCAATCAGCGCTTTCGTTTGTTCTCCTTCTCATATATAACCATCCAAGCACAACATCTTACATTCATCCCACTCTGTGTACACTTTCATCTGGTTCCTCCCAGCTTTTAACCTTTTTCCGTTCATTATCACGTCTTCCAGCATCTTCAGTTGCTACATCCTAGAACCTCCCTTGCATGCTTCGGACTGAGTTCAACGCGACACCAATTCAGAAGCTAGAAGGGAGCAACATAAGGGCTGCCCGATTGGATCTTGCCAGAGCGTATTTGACTGTGATTTAGCATTGTTGTGATGGGTAAACCCAAGTACAAGTCTCCAAGTACTAAGAAATCACGTCTTAATTGTTCAATTTCAAAGCATGATGAACGTGAATCAAGACTACCCAATGCACGAGCTGCGAAGAAAGCCGAGCTCACCAAATGATATGGCCTTCCACCCGACGCAAAATTCCTTTTCTTCAAGAAGGGTCGTCGATTTGGCCAGCCCCGCTTCAGCTTATCCTATGGGACAGTGGTATGCCTGGATCTGGATACATCGGAACTACTTCTTGTTGTACGATTTGTGGAGAGGAATGCAAACAATCAAGAGCTCTTTCAATCATACAATCATTCTATCAGCACTGTTTACCAGCATTCCAAAGCTAGAGGCGAAATCAAGATCAACACGGCAACTTACCGAGCGAGGAGACAAGGTCGTAAATTGGGAAGGATGCACACTGCAGGCTTTCGTCCGGGATATGAACCTGATGTGAAAGGAGGTGAGCAGCCATTCTCATCATCATCTAACCAACCACTGAACCTCATGATTGATTTACAGGACAGTATACGTGGAACACAGCCACAGCCTCAGACCTCTACAAGATGGAAGCTGACTTGAAGTGCCAAGGCAACCTCCCACAAATCGAATCCTTTTTCGCCGAACGATTCAGTGGCCTCTTGTTATCCACCTTTGAATCAAATGCTACAATTGCTGCACGAGTTCAAGCTCCATCTTGGGGTAACGATTCCTTCTATGTCTCACCAAACACCAAAGTATTTGGATCAAATATTACAGTCACCTTTGACGAGTTTGCAAACAAGAAACATAAGGATCGAGATGCATCCAAATATGCATTTGGCTTTTTTGGTTTGGTCAAACGATTTACCGGTGATCTTTACCAACGAGGCTCATCAGCACCTCGAGGTGATACCATCAACGGAAAAACCAACCCGCCGCAAAAAGCGGATGCGGGGCGGCACACCCCGCAACCGCTTTTGACATTCTGGTGTAGCGTGTTCGACCGACCCGCCACCGCTCTCTCTCTGAGATTATGCAAGGAGCGGGTCGGGGAATTAGCGCGGCGGGCCAAAATTACGCCCCGCAAAGACATCTCAGAGTGGTTTGCAGCGGGATGTCAGATGATCTTGAGCTTGTCCATCTGGCAGCTGCAACACCGCGGCCACACCACCATCACGACTTCTTCGAACAGCCAGGAGACACCTTTGGAACCCTCATTCTATCAAAAAAGCAGTCTCAAACAACCAAAAGTTTGAACCAAACCAATAATCCTGGTATCTGGGCTAGCAAGGTACGTTTGAATCACCCCTTTCTCCTTGCTTTGGCAAGCCAAGCGATATCGGTCACCCTTTTTCCACATATGTACCCCAAGGAGTATGGCCATCACGTGCTTTCCAGGTGATGTCACAGCAAAACGAGGTGGCTCAAAGTTCAAGGCTCTGCACCCTCTTCGAATCTTTATAAGGTGAGTCAGTTTTGCAACTCTTTTGTCCCCTGACGCAACGATCGTACCAATATATCTATATATTTATAATTGATCAATTTCCCAAAAACTGATATACTCTGTTCTTTTTGTATTGTGATTCCCAGTCATATTACTATGGCACCATCAAATCCCACTCTTGTTCCTCCTTCTTCTGGTCCTACCTTACGCCCTCGAAGTCCTCCTGTTCCTAAGCCAGGATTCGTTGTGCAGTCTCCGGATTCACGACTGTCAATTCATCGCCCTTCAATCAGTGATAGCGACTTACCTGATCCTGATTTAGATCTAGCTAACAGTCCGTTTGATCCGAACGCAAACATTGTTGACTCTGATTACAAATCTGTGGTAGAGATCACTGATGCTAGAGACTTTATAGCTATGTTACCAAAGAAGAAGAATAAGAAAGTGGTTAAGCCAAAGCAGTCTGGGCGTGCCAAAGGACGCCCAAGAGGCTCTGGTGCCTCAATAGGCTTACCTCGAGGACAAGCGAAGAAGCCCAAGCGAGCTGCCATTGCACCGGTAAGTACAAATTTTAAGCTCTACTACGATGAGCTGAACTAAGACAGATGTTTCTTCCTCATTATATTTTTCCCATCCATTATCCTGATTTCCTATCTTTCTTTATTCTTACCCTCTTACCTCCAGGTTGGGATTCCCACTTGCATTGATATAAATCAAGACTCGGATGTTGAGGTGGTAGAGACCGATGGTGTTAGACGTGCCCAACTTGGACGGGTTTCTAAGTTGTTGGATTACTTCGAACCACCTACTCACGTGAAAGGCGAGGTAAGTGAGCTATCTCATCATTTATCTATCTTCGTTCTAACTCTGTCTTTTGGAATTTTTGTAGACCGGTAATGATCCGCGATTATTCAGGTGTAAGTGGTGCCGAGGGACCTTCACGCGTGGTCTTCGCACCCACTACAACCTGTATGCTCACCGGGACGGAGCAAAGGGCAGATCTGCGTGCCCTCGACGAGCTCATGCCATCCGGGCTGGCTGCGACCTCCCTCCATCAGGGGCTCAAGAACAAGCTGCTGTGGTAGCTGGTTCAAATGAACTCAACGGCCAACAAACTCTTGACTCTTTCCTCTCCCAAGCCACCTTTAGCATTGAATTATTCAACGCCGTCCTCGTCATGTGGATACTTAAGCATGCCCTTCCTTTCAACCGTTTCTACGACCTCCCTCTTCGTGCTGCCTTCAAACTAGCCAACCGACGCGCTGATCTACGGTCCCCAACCTGGGCTGCTGGTGTGGCAAAGGAATTGTATGCTAGCTTGAGCTCAGCCACTGTCTCTTTGGTCTCAGTAAGTCTTTACTCACTACTTTTTATCGATTCTTGTTCTGATATCTCTGATTTGCCATCCTAGGAGAACTCGGGCAAATTCTCATTATTGCACGATGTTTGGACCACTAAAGGGAACCGTTATGCCTTTATTGGTGTCTCGGCAAACTTTATCAACAAGGATTGGAACTACCAAACAATCCACCTCACCTTAAAGTCAATCGCTTGGAATAAATTTGGCTATTTACTTGCTCAGCCTGTGGCACGCTTCTTGATAGCGCACGGCCTCCATAAAAAGATATGTTTCTCTTTATCTTTTTCTCTTCATCTTTTCTTTCCTTCATCTCCTCATACTTGACTGACATGCTTCAATTTTGGTATTATTACATTCTAGGTCAGACTACTGATTCCGGTTCGAATAACAACACTATGGCACGCGAGATGGAGGCCTTGTTTTCAGAATGTGATGACCCAGTCGATTGGGATTCCCAAAAAAACCATGTTCGATGCTACGCCCATAAGCTGGGATTGGTCGTCAAGAAAGGTTTGAAACTTTTAGGACTAGCAGCCGGTCACATCAAACCAACCACTCCCCCCAACACTTCCGTTCCTATTCCTACCGTCATTCTCAACGACAATCTAACCGACACAGCCATCAACTACGATGAGTCTGACGACAATGACAATGTCCCAAATCATCATGGCCATTTCACCAGTGGAGATTCAGACCCGGATGACTTGGATTTGGATGATGATCCAACGTATGATGATACCCCTACCAATGGATGTATTGTGGTACGGGCTGCGATGAAGGTGAAGTTTCTCTTCTTTCCATCTCTAACTCTGTGTTGAGAACAATCACTGACATCAATTTCCTCATAGCTGAAAGAGATTAATTCTCTGCTAACTCGCAGTAATGCTCGGCGAGGCGAATTTCAAGCCCGAGCAGCTCAAATGGACTACCATGGCCCATCTCCAATAGCTGGTTGGGGTGTTCGATGGAATATTGACCTTGCAATGTACTCCCACTTGGTGGCTGGTCGAGATGTGAGTTTTATTCATTCCTCTCCTCTGTTTCTTTAAGACTTGTTCACTGACTAGCCTTACCTAAATGTCCCAGGTTTTTGATTCGATCATCATCGCCGATCGAAAATGCAGATATTACGGAGGCATTATGATGACCATGGATGAGTGGGATGCGATTGAATTGTTCTGCAAGGTTTTAGAAGTAAGTAGTTTGTTTATTTTCATTTATTCATCAAATTACTGAAACTTCCTTAATCTTCATGTACACAGGTATTTTGTTGCTCAACCAAACGTATGGAAGGCAACATCTCCTCAGGATCAATGGTTTTGGCAGAATATCTGCGAGTCTACGAAGCATTGTCTGACTTAGGCAACATCACGCCATTTCCAAGCCTCAAATCTATGGTAGATGTTATGTTAACTCAGCTCATGAAGTACCAGGCTGAAGCAGTTGCAGCCGATGTGATAGTTATTGCCACCATCCTCAACCCCAAGTATCGTGTCAAATTCTTTGACATACACTATCCCAACCACGCTCGACGAGCTAAGAGTCTTGTTGAAGAACTCCTCAATGATACATTAGATTCTTGGCCGCCAACACCACCCTCTACCCCAATTCCAGTCCCTACACCTGCTTCACATGAACCATTTGACCAGTTTGATATCTTTGCTTCGTCTGCAACCATTCAAACACCCGAATCGACACGAGCTTCGGAACTCGAGTCCTACCTTTCGGGCAATCACCCGTTTGTCCCTGGTCAATCAGAGCTCTCTTGGTGGAGTGTAAGTCTTCTATCTTACTCACATATCACTACATCTTCTGATCCTCGCTACCTTCACTGTGACAGGAGAATGAAACAAACTACAAGGTGCTTAGTTCATTGGCCCGTGACTTCCTGACCATCTCAGCCACCACATGCGCCCAGGAACGGACCTTTTCTTCAGCAGCTGATATCGCCATTCCCGGTCGAGGTTCCCTCAAGCCCAAGACAATCTCACGCGCTGTTGGATGTAGAGAATGGTTGAGATCGGGTATCATCACTGAGGCGGAGGACAAGTTCTCTGATGCACTTACTTATCTTTCTACATTTGAACAACACACGCGCAACAAATGAAGACTATGTTTATTATCTTACTGTCTTGTTTTATTTCTGCTTTCTGTTAGTCTCACTGATCTGATTTTTATCTTACTTTACTTAAATTTCAAGTCACTCCTTTTTGTTTTGTTTCAAATTTATTTATTATTCATTTCTCTAGTTCTGTGTCTTCCCTCTGACTAATATTCAATGCTTATATAGTCTTTGTTTTCTTATTCCTTGCTCTTTTTGCTTGTCTAATTGCTACTTCAGTTATCTTGTCACTCGTTAATTTCCTACTATGAATTTTCCCGCTTCTTTAGCTTTCTAGTCGCTCTTTGATATCTACTTTATATATGATACACTGTAAACATCATTCAACTTCCCCAATTTGGCAGAGGAAAATGATTAATAGTACAGTTTTTCATAAAAGAATCTAATACTGCACACCTGGGCCATTTCACCCACACTACATATGTGCAGCAAGCTAAGTCAATAGTTGTCTATCATGTACATACAGGTCTGCTCAGTTTTTTGCCCATCAGAATAAATAAATCACATGTTATACCACATGTAACTTTTTCGACTTTGAAATTTTTTTCCCAAAAATTCACTACATATAATTCTGTAGCTGCTCAGGCAATATTGTTGAAGCTATGTCTTAGTAACAGAAAGTGTGTTACATGCAGTTGAGTTGATGAGATCACACCAAAACATTGAGTCAGTGTATGTAGTCAATCTTTTGGAAGCTTTTTTCAATCTGAAAGAAGTTACAGCATGTATTACATATGAATAACTTGTCCTGATGAGCAGATAACTGAGCAGAACTGTATGTACATGATAACCACATATTCACTGAGCCTGCTACACATATGTAGTGTGGGTGTTATGGCTCAGGTGTGGAGTGATAGACCATTTTATGACAAATCATACTCCCAATCATTTTTCCCTGCCCACTTGGGGAACCCGAATAATGTCTGCAGTGATAATTGATCTCATTTTCTTCTATCGTATTGTACATACATTTTATTTCACATGTGAATATAAAAAAATTGTGAATAAAATACCTCGCCTCGTGCCGCTCTGTTGCCCGGATTTTTGACAAAGCGGAGCAAGAGCGGCACAAAAAGCCGCCACGCTTCCCTACTCATGTAGCGGGTGCTTTCTTAAAGCGGATCGAAAGCGGGTGTCATCTGTAGCGGCAAACCGCGCCACTACAAATTTTTGTCCAAAAAGCGGAGCGCTTCAGGCGTTGATACCATTGGATCCCGCTTTGTATTGGACGACTACAACTTCGACGTTAATCTCAATGCCTGTGATGGGGTTATCGAGATGGTGTGGAATTCACAAGTTCACCATCACACAACCCCTTCGAGAACTTATAATGACAGCCGTGCACAAGTATCTCCGGAGCAGGCTGAAATAACAAGATTTGCTTGCTCTTGTCAAATTTCCCAAGCGCTGGTTGACCAAATTGATAAAGTGAGGTTTTTGTGTGCAGAGATGGGTGAAGAAGACTGGATATCATATCAGTCCTCTGTTTTGACTGGTTACAAGGAACAGGCACATAAAAAGATGAAGGCTTTAGCTGTGAAATTGGGAATATGGCGTGATGACTTTTAGTTTCATATTTTTTGTATCTTGCCAACAAAAAATTTAACCCGTTTGTCTCATCATAACCAATCCAAAACGATGGTAGTGTTTTATATTGATCATCTATATACGTATATAGCTATGTGTTTTCTTATTTGGCCAAGCATATATAATTCTGCTTGCTCTTTCGTGCAGAAACCGGGTGTAATCTGTCTGATTGTGACTTCACCATCATACGGATTACTGACAGCCAACTTATAATGTGGACGTGTGTGGTGTCCACTACTTCACAGGTGCACACATTAACACGCTCACAAGTTCACAAACTCACAAACTCACAAACTCACAAACTCACAAGTTTATAACTGCGCCTGTAAAGTTCACAAGTGTGTTTGGGGCCAAGTTCACAAGTAGGGCCTTCACAAGATCTCAAGTAGTGTCTTCACACTTTCACACGTTCACAAATGATGCCTTAACAAGCTCACACCTTCACAAGGACACTTACGCAGTTGTGGACATGGACAGCACTTTCACCAGGGCACAAGTAGTGCCTTCACAAGTTCACACGTGCCTTCACAAGTTCACACATTCACCAGTTCACAACGTCACACGTTCACACATTCACCACTTGACCTGTACATGTGTACAGTTGTGGACGTGCACAAGCGTACGAGGTCATGTTTTCATGTTCACAAGTTCACCAGTTCACCCGTATTTACAATGGTAAGCTGAGGTCAAACTTCACACCGCACAAGTTCACAATGTGAACCCAAGCCTTCACAGCTTCACAGCCTCATTTTTGACTACTCATTGACTTCACACTTTCACAAGGTCACAACCCCATTTCTTTGACATTATGGCATGTAACGAACAATACGAGAGAACAATACATTCATAGCTGGGTTTCATAGTGGTCACTGAGTCCGCTGGACATTCTTTTTGGTCTTAATTTGTCTAATATCATCTTGACTCTATACATCTTTGGAGTTCCTTGTAGACTTTCCCGGTTTCTTCGGCTGTTTTTGATTTTCAACATACATAGCAAATATTATCCCAAAATCCAATATGTTGATGGTAACAAAACTTGGCCAAAGGACTAAACAAGAGAACAGTCAGTTTAGCATTCTACGTAGACTGTGAAGTTCTTACCCGGCGTCATCAGTTTGGCCTGTCAAAGGACTGGTCACAAATAACAAAGGATGGATATGAGTATCCAACTTTCGTTCTTCCATAGGGGTGTGCCTACTTAGGTCTTGAAGGTCAAAAACAAGTCGGATATGATCGCCAAAGTTCACTCTAAGCTCAGACTTAGGTTTGAGTGTGGAAGAAAACAGATCACTGTGGCAGATGACTTCATGGTGAAGTCAAACTCCACATCTGTTTCATCTAGTTTTGTTTGTGAGTCTCACCAGGGAATCTTATCCTTGAGCTGAGCTTTATAAATAACGTTAACATATATATATATATTGGATTTCATGGCTACATACAATAATTTTATTCACTACTGGTTTGCGAACCTGAAGATGAAGACTCACTCATTTGTGAATCTTCAGACTCTGAATCACTTTCAATTTCAATGATGAGGGGTTCGCAATCATCTCCACGCATTTCATCACGTCTTTGATATCTTTCTTTTCTGAGCTGGCTGGCTAGTATTGAAAAAATTGCCTGGTTGTCTTCATATAAACATGACCATGCCAATGACGCTTCATTTTGTAAGGAGGTCCATTCTTCAGATAAAGTTGGTATTGGGAGAGAAGGCAATAATTTGAGTTCAACGGTGTGGTAATCAAAAGTATTCAAGAGACAAATACACAATTCATTTTTAGTTTTATTTATTTTATTTTATTCATTTCATTTTATTTTATTATTTTATCATTTTATTTCATCATATTTCATTATATTTCATTTTATTTTTTATATTTTACATGTTGATTTTTGAGTGTGATGGTTATGTGTAGGGGGTGTAGTGTAAAATGAAGCCAAAAGTCTAAATTATGGGCTTAGAACTTATGTGTAGTTGAGTGATATATGGGTTATGGGGAGTATACAGGTTTCAAGTTGGAATTTCGAAAATTATGGGTTTTATATGGTTTTATTAAGGTATACAGAATATTATGGGTTTTTGGGTATGGGTTTGAACAAGGCTGAATTTCAAAAATCCAACAACTCAGACAGATGGTGGTAAACTGGGGTGGTAAACTGAAAAAGCAAACAGGGATCACTTTTAAAGATAGATTTATGGGATTATCAAACAACAGCATTGGTAAATTAAACATTACATATGAAAAGGGTGGATTTGAAACTCAAAAATCACTTTCAAAATCATAAAAAGTGCTATTTTCAATCATACAACTTTGATTTTGGGGTACCACAGCATCTTATCAGCCTAGAAATAAGTTGGGGAGGGTTATGATTTCGCATATGAACATGGAAAATTAATTATAAACCATATACAACAACATTAATGGTAATATCAGGTGGTAAACTGGGTAAATTCAATTTCGAGTGTTTTCAAATAAAATCGGATTTCATTTGAAGGGTACAACCAATAGAGTTAGAGTTTAGCTTGGCTGAGCAAAGTTGTAGAGCGGAAGCAGCCCTTTCTTCCTGTCTATTCAGACTTTTGATACAGTCCCTATTTCTCATCTTTTTTTAGGTTTCAAGGGTGAACTGGCGGATTTTTCAGCTTTAGTGGTAAACAGCTCAGTTTTAATGATAAATGTGTGCTTGAAAATTTGTCAATGATACATGTGGGTGTGTTGAAGATGTTTATCAATTTTAATTTGGGAGTTGTTCAATGAATTGTGTGTGAAAACGTTGTTTGAAGGTGGATTTCGAGTTTGAGGGGTGTTTTTGTCTTATCTTCTCTTTTTGTGTGCTGTTGATTTTTCATATAGTCAAGTGTCTTTTTCCCACCTTTTGTGGCCTTTTAGTTAGCAAAAATAATTACTAGATTTTTAGAATAAGCTTTTATCTTTTATTATTATCATTCAGGTAAAACAACTAATGAGAGTTGGAATTTTATAATAATAAGACCCTTATTCATCTTTTAATTGATTTCTTGTTGAGTTGTAAGCTCATTTGCTCATTTGGAAGGTGCCTGAGTGCGCCTAGATTGTGCTATTTTTGAATTTATTGTCCTCTTTTAGCCTGGTTCTTATTAATCCAAAGACTTGAAGGTCTTAAATTTAATTCATCAGTAATCAAAGTCCCTGTTTAAGAAGGGCATTTCTTTCTTTGTTTGAAGTCTTTCAATTCACCATCTCAAGACTTGTTTCTCTTTTGATTGTGTGTGTTTGTTGATTTGTGTCTTCATTCCTCCCCTTCTTGGCTCTGCTTTCAGCTGTGTACTGAAAGAGTTCTACAACGGATACGTAATGGTTAGTGCGGACATGTGCCATCACGATTGGTTTAATTTGAGGTGGTCGGGGAGCAAAAAATGGGTATGTGGTCGACGTGGCGGTATCTAGTTTGGTATAAAAGAGCACGGGTTGCTGGTAGGTATTGGCAATGAGTGCCATTCCACCGGGCATAGGATAGTATAGGTCTGAGCATGCTGTGTTGCGTGGGTTTTGGAGTATCTGGAGGAATCTTGTAATGGTGTAATTTGGGCAGAGTGTTGGAAGGTGTTGTTCGTACCATTTGTATCTGGATGTGAGCTCAGCTTCCATCTCCTTGCGAATGATTATTCGTTCTTCTTGTGGGCGTCCGAGAGAGATAGCGATGGAACAAAACATGCATAGACCATCGCCAAGGACATCTGTGACGTTAATTAGGAAGGGGCGTATGTAGGAAGGGAGTTCATCTATACAAGGGATAGGCTACTATTGTGGGACAGGTCAGCATGGGACAAGTGATCGATTGAGATAATTCATTGACGCATACCTGTTGTGACAAGCTACAACTTGCTGCAGGATCATTCTCTGGGTATGCGGAGCCTGGTTGCGACTACAAATTATATACATGTTTGAAATTAAATTGGGGATAATTCATTCACAGATCGAAATCAGCAATTAATTGAGATAAAAACTTACATTAGGAAGTGGAGCTGTGAGATCAAGATCTGAAGGGGATTGTGACATACTATTAGGCTGTGAGGGAAGGCTTGGAATAATGGTAGATGGTGGCTGGTCGGTTATTGTAGGCTGGCCTGTAGCGGGAGGTGTTGTAGTAGGTACGTCGTAGGTATCTCCTGATTGACACTTTGCTTTGAGGCGTGCTGAGACTGGACGCTTGCCGGAACGGGAAGCTGTAGCTGTAGATGTTTCACCATCGACAGGATTGACAGGTTTGGCAGCGGATTTGTGCTTGCCTATGTTTGTCACAGCGTCTTTTGCAGGTTGGGCTCTGTCTTTGAGTTGAGCTGAGGATCGAGCAGCCGGAGGTTGAGCCGAGGTCTTGCGCTTCTTGTCCTTCTTTGGATGAGACGCTGGAGTAGGTTGAATATTTTCAAGTGTCGCTGGTTCATTTTCTTTGTTTTCGTGTCGACCACCTTTCTCTTGGGGCTGTGGTTCTTGTGAGTTGGATGTATTACGATCGACGTCTCCTACATTTTCAGTTGCATTAGGCGATTCATCTTGTTGTACTTGGTCAGTTACTTTAGGCAATTCATCTCGTTGAGTAACATTGTTTGGACATTCGAAATCCAAAGGTGGGGGTGTGGAGAATGTGCATGGCTTTTGTGTTTGGGGTGGAGATTTGGGTGTTTTGTCGTTGATGGCACGGCCTATGGAAGTGTCGAAAAAAACTTCACTGCCAATTGGTGATAAGGTTGAGGTTTTGTCAGCTTCGTCCTCTTTTGGGGCATCGCGTGGTAAGGAAGGAGGTGGCTCTTCATTGGTCCGGTCCTAAGGAAGAGCAAGGAGGTGTTAGAATCATCCAAAATCAATTTGATCCACGATTGAAAGTGTCATATGCTCACCTTTGCAGTCGAAGTGGGAGGTAACAATTCAGGTACTGGTGATCTTTCGATTCGAGGGGAAGATTTTTCAGTGAGGGTAGCAGCTTCTGGATGATGATGATGATGTATGTTAGCTGATTCACTGCCAATTGGTGATGTCGTTGAGGTTTTGTCAGCTTTGTCCTTCTTTAGGGGGTCACGTGGTAAGGATGGAGGTGGCTCTTCGTTGGTCTAATGCAGAGAAAGGAGGTGTTAGAATGATCCGACATCAATTCATGTCACGATTAAAAGTGAGATATGCTCACATTTGTAGTCAGAGTGGGAGGTAACAAGTCAGGTACTGATGATCTTGCTATAACGATTTGAGGGGAAGGTTTGTTGGTGTTTGTAGCAGCTTCGGGGTGATGATGTATGATAACTGATGAGGCGTTGATTTTGCTGGACTTTGGTTTGTGTGTGTTAGTAAGGTCTTTCTCGTGAGGGTCAAGAGTGTGTTTGGGCGTGTTCAAATGGTCATTTGTGATTGTGTTCAATTCGGCAAGGTCTAATTCCTGCTGAAAACTATCAAGGAGTGAGTTGCGGGTAGCTTTGTCTAACCTTTGCATGTGTGTCATGAATAAGTTCATCTGCTCAAACATGGTTGGGGCGATTTGTGCAATTGGGGCAGCTGGGGCGATGTGTACAGTTGGGGCAGCTGGGGCAATGTGTACAGTTGGAACAGTTAGAACAGCTGGAGCAATTGGTGTAGCTGGAGTTGTGATCAATGGAGGGGGAGACTCGATGATGATAGCTTCTGATTTAGGTTGGTCTCGGCGTCGAACGGAAGGTCGCTTATGGATAGGTTGGTGATCATGACGAGGTTCATGGACTGTAAATGTGCATGGGGCATTTTTGGAGGTGCGAGTGGCTTGAGCGTAGAATGGGCATGTACCAGGTGATGTTTTATGTCGAGTCCGGCCTTTGAAACATTTGAAATCTACATGGGTTGGGCGGGAATCAAGAATTGAGATGGTGTAGCCTAGCGAGACGGTATGTTTATCAAGGTTTTTGATGAGATCTTTGATGTTCTGAAAAAATCCAGGTGGTGGTGGTGGTAAATTCATGTTCAAAGGAGGTATGAGCTGCTGAGTGCTAGGGGGGTGATCATGATGAGAGTTATGAATGGTAAGTGTCCATTCTTCTGATTCTGAGTCTAACTCGCATGTTGCTTTAGCGTAAAAGGGACAGGTTCCTGGATTCTCTTTGTCCTGGTATTGACCTTCATAGCACCTGTAATCAATGCACGTGCGGACGAGAATCAAAGATCGAGATTCAGTAGCCCCGGTGAAGGGTATGTTGGTTACTGTGAGAGGTCACCTGATATTGATCCTTGGGCCCTGTCGGCGGTCATGGGAGGGGGGCGCTACCGGTAGAAGCTGCGGTATCGGTTTCTTGTTGGCTGGGATCCTTTGGTTCCGGGGTTGTTTGTTGGGTCTTGAGTGGGTGGATTGGGATTCATATTGGATGAGAAAGGTATGGTATGTTGGTGGCGTATGGTATCTAGTGTTGTGAAGTATCTTGATATTGAGGTCGATCGAATGCCTGCCATTGTGAAGTTGTTAGCAGGTGAGTAGATTATCTATGCATGCGATTATACAGGTATAGCTTTTGTAGCATATGTAGAAGTGGTTTGTGAAGTTGAGCTTGTGACCGGTTTGTGAGCATAGAAGTTGTTTGTGAAGTTGTGTGGTGAATTTGTGAATTTGTGTATCTGAGGTTGAGTGCGTCTAAGCCATTGTGAGCTTGTGAGTGGCTTGTGAACGGTTTGTGAGCGTGAAGTTGGGGGGAGCTTATGCTATTTAGATGACGCCAGATGCATCCCATGCATCTGGGATACATCTGGCAGTGCAAACGGAGAGACTGGGATGATACAACGTGCTGTATCTTCGGGTCGGGGCCGAAGTTTTAGTGTACACGAGGTGTATCCTGTGCCTCATCTAACCAGCATCTACCTGTACTTTTGTACTGCATCCATTTAGATTTAAGCCTTCAGCCGCTTGAAACCAAGCCAGACCCCGTGTCCAGTGTTGCCAGTCCAGAAGCTACGATCCAGCCTCTAGCCACAACCATAGATTTTGATGCCGAGATACCTCAGATTGGGAAAGATGATAAAGAACATGAAAATACTGAAAGTATGTCTCCCAGATACAAACTTTTATTAGGTATCAAGCTCTCGCACTGATCAAGCTCCATGCAACATAGTTACCAATCTTTGCACCAAAGTTGATGAACTCAATGAGCAAATCTTACATTTTGATGAAAGAATTGGCCAAATCGAAGATGATTTGAAAGAGATACTGAGTTCATTGGTCCCTCTGATTGCATTGCAAGAGTGTGAAATCAGCAAAAACTCAGACTCGGAATCAGCCTTGGTATCCAAGGAAGAAAGCCTTGACAAGTAAAATGAGGTCATACACAAGAGGAGGGAAGATAAGGATCTGATTAGTCAAACCAAAAACTCAGTTGGTGTAAAAACAGGAAACAATGCACAACACGAGATCATAATCAAGAAAATATTTCAATTTTGTTTTATTCGGCATGTTTACTAAATCTGATCTGTAATTCAAGCTTTTTATACTCTTTGGTCTTGTTGGCTCTAAATGTTCAGTAGTCAAACTAAAAGAATTTGAGTTGAGAAACCACTAAAAACCTTCTTTCCATAATCCATTAAAAAAAATTGACATTATGCTTCCTTCAAAGGAAAGTGTTTATTTATTTGCCTAGGTTTTCTTGTGAACTTGTTCTCAACAACAAACCTGTGAATCTGTACTGTATCAAAAGTGTTTTCTTTTCCCACATGAGAAAGTGGGCAAAGGAAGTGGAAAAAGAAAACCACAAGTGAGTTTTGTTTGCCCAACTTGGTTTTCTATGCCTGCGGGTAAAGATGAACTTTCATGTAGTGACATGATTGAAACCTGCTAGAGTGAACTGGTGAAAATGGTCTTCCAGTAAAGAAACGGAGTAATCAGGATTGGTAGATATGAAAAATTTCAAAATATGAAGTATATTGAAGAACATACTGCAATCATACTCATTCACGCTTCTCTCTCTTGCTTTCTGAGCAGCTGCCAGTACTTGAGAATCAACAGACTGCTGTTGATTGTTGTTCATCAAAGTCTCGGTTCTTGAATCGGTCATAGGGTTCAAGCCGCCATGACTATCAGTGCATTCAACTATATTGCTGGATGATGTGTTGTTTTGAGACGAATGCTGGGTTACCAAGTGGGAGGTCAAGGTCAGTTGATCAAAATCAGATATGATGTTATCCTTTGGCCTTGTTGGATCTTGATCACCCCCCAACGCAGACACTGATTGAATCCGACTGTGTTTGTCAGCACGCTCGTGTGCTTCCCTTGTGGCTGGAACCACTTCTATGCCTTGGTGTGAAATACCCATTGCATCAATATAAATACCCTTGTAGCAGCCCGACGTTTGGCAGCGGCAGACTACCCTCCGGGGATCAGGCTTAAACTTTGGCAATGACATTGCCTGTGCGGATCTCTGAAAAACGAAGATTGTACAAGGCAATTTTTTGGCTAGGAAAAAGTTTACACGTGGAAGGGAATCAACTTGAAAGTTTTGGTAGTATTTGTTTGCATGGGACTACAAAGTAGAATACAAAGAATATATATGAAAAATGTTAAGACTGATGAAATACAAGTACAAGATCTTTATCTGCACATAAAATATGTTTGATACCACACAGCTTTATCTCCAAGCCATACCAGAGATACCCTGACACATCCGTACAAACATCACTGAATGCAAGCCTCACAATTGCTTGGATATGATGATTGATCCGTACAAGAGCCACTATGAGCCTGAGATGATATAGAAAAGCTTCTTGACAGTTCTTGAAACCCCTGTTGCGGGCGACATATTCTAGATTTGAAACATAACTTTCATATATTGTGTTCTGAAGAGGAAAGTATGCTTGCCTAAATCCTGCATTCAACGGATTGTTATAACACCAAATTAGCTGCTGTAAGTATTCATTGACACATGTAAGACGAAATATCGATGAAACTCACACAATTATTTGAGTTTAGGCCTTGTTTTCTTTTGAGGCACCCGTTTTGGCGTCCTCGTCATCAAGCAAGTCAACATTAATCCAGTAGTGATATCCTGGGACAAGTATTTCTTGGCTGTATTTGTTTTGAGGTTCTTCTAATAAGAATAAACAGTAGAGACCAATGTAATTAGGTAGGCGGAGTACCGGATAATTCAAGAATACTTCTGGATGTTAGGCTTCAAGGGCATGTTGGATTGCCTGGATGCCAAGTTTTGGAACAAAATGTGACTTGACAGTGCGGGGTTGGCGAGTGAAGTCTGAATTGCGAGGCAGGTTGAGATTTGGATTGACATACAAGCACCTTTTCCTTCAAAGCTCCCAAAGAGATTGTGACACAGGGATGATATTTGTGGATAGTACTGGCAAGCATAGCAATAGTAGTGCCTCTGTGAAGTGGATCGAAATCAATGCCGTCATCAGTGTCCATATCAGATTTGGGGGGTGGAGGAGCTGGGTTACAAAAAAGGAACAACTGCGGCAGTAAGTCCTCTTTGAATTTTGCCGTCAGTAGAGGGTTCTTGTCAGATGGACAAGAAGTCGTGTTGGGATTGAAATGATATAATATGTTGTAGATTTCCAGTTTTGTCAATTTGTATGTACTGTTGGTCTCCCAGTCATGCTGAAGAAACGGTCGAAGGTCTGAATCAAGCTGTTGGACTTTCTTGTACAAAGGATGCTGGGTAATATCAGCATTACGCTTTGCAGAAAAGCTAGTAGTACCCATTGGAGATGGCGAAGGGTTAGACTTTTGGCGTGATGAAGTCGGATCTTTTGGTGAGGTGATCTCTCCGTGGGCTGATACAAGATTGGGCTTCCCTTTGGCAGCCATACTTCCACTGAGCTTGAGTTGAGATTTTGCAGCCCCCCGCAGGAAGCTTTCTTGCATTTGGTGGCATCGTCGATTGGAGGAAAATGATGAAGTATACCAAAGAGAAAGCGCCGGATGTCTAGCTTGAAGATTGATAAAAAAGTGAGATATATATATGGTTATGATCAGTACAGTGTTCAGAGGCAAGGATGTCAAGGTTCAAAGGATCAAGAAGATGTTTAACTGACAGATGAGTACTTTTTTTTTCTATAATCACCAGCTCTAGTAAATCCGCGTTCCAGAGCAAGGTACAGCAAAAAATTGGTATCCAGAATATATAGATGAGAATGTTTTGATCAACAATGACTAAGAAATTTGCGGTGGAAGTGGAAATTGTTGAAGGATCCACAATTTCAAATGCTGCTTGGGGTCCTTGAAATTATCGTGCATGAACACCGATGAATCTATGGATCTATGTGATGACTTGATCACAAAACTTTGATCAGTGGAATGAAGTTTGTCCATTGTGATTTTTTTGTACATAAGACATGTTTGGTAGTAATCATTAATCTTGAGCATGTTTTCCAAAGGAGACCTTGTTAGAAATCAAATCAAGTTGTGGGGAGTCATCTGTTGCATTTCGAATATTCTGCAAGTGTGTTTAGAAAGGGGACAGTCCCGATACCAGAATGTTTTTGATTGAAAGGATTTAATGCTCCTTCAATTTGTATCCTGATATCAGAGATTGACAATTAGTCACTAATTCCTGGTCTCCCAGACTTCCCTTCTTCGTTTTTCAATTTCTACAGTACTGCATATGATTAATTAAAGAAACATAACTGCATGATCATGGGCCCCAAGGGCTTTTATAACTACGAGAATGTTCTAGGTTGCTCATGATATGATGAAGAAAGGATTCTTGTAAACGGCTGATATTCTTATTCCCTACCTTTGAATATCTCTTCTGATATCACAAGATCATGTCGGCTCAAATTCAATCACACCTCTTCCTACCCAGTTATATTCTGGAATATGTCGTCAATGAACCTAGGCCTAGGATTGATTCTGATCTCATTCTGAGAAAAGCTACTACCTCCCAAATCGTGGAAGTGATTCTTGTGTTTTATCCTCATTTCCGTTTTACTCAAAATGCACAAGGAGATCACGAGCTCCTTCTCAAGATCTTTGTTGAAATGATAGCCCCCGTCTTTACAACATACCCATCCCTGTCGGCCCCAACACACACTATATCCAAGCTGAACTTAGCCACCCAATCAGCTACAGCCAACCGCAATCAGATGGGTGAACTCAAGTGCTGATATTGACACCAAACAGATCGATTACTTCAACATGTTTTGCCTCCCGAACCTCAGAAACGGACAGTACCGCCTTGCAGCTGAGGCCCTCAAGAGATTTTCAAAGAAGTTCGAGTATCTCAATCATCACAAGATCGACGAGATCCGCAGTACTCAAGATGAAGCCCAAGTGCATTGCCAAGAGGCTGGCGCTAACCTTAAAGATGTCTACAAGTCCATTGAAAGAATCCATCTTCAGATACTGGAGCCCAACCTCTCACCGACCTCCCTTCAAGACCTTGAACAGAAATTAAAATTGGCCAAAATATCACTTCAATTGCATCAGCATATATTTGAAGTTGCCAACCAAGATTCTGCATTGCTTCAAGCTTTAGCCAAATATTATAAGTAAGCTTGTCAATGTTCTGTATCTGATTTGTGAGCTTACTCTTCACTGATTATATTGATCAATCAACTTATATAGATGTTCTTGACACACACTCAGCTGGTGAAAATTAGTCTTATTAGAAAGAAATACATATCAAAGGCCTTGACTCAAGATAGAAATCAATTAAAAACAGACATAATGAAATTGAGATCTCACAATCTTGGTTTTATTTGTTTTCTATTCATTACTTTTCTCTGTCTTTCTCTCTTCATTTCAGTTTGACTTTTTTCCATGTTGTATTCAGGATTCATAAGACGGTGGAGGACACGATTGATTCAACTTAAAGATAGCTATTTGTTTTCACGTCATTGATGAAGTTCAAAGACAAACAGATGGAATGAGTGTCAAAATTAGTAGGTCTGGTGTTGTAGTAAAGATATCTATTTTTTATTTCTTTCATGTTATGTTTGAGTTTTGAGCGGAGGAAGGATACAAGTTAAATTAAACCTACCTGTTACTTACTTGTGGAGAACGTTGTTTGGTGGGTACAGGTTTGGTGTTGTAGTAAAGATACCTCATGATTGTAGATTTTTATGCTCTCATCTGCCACATAGTGCTCTAGATTTAAATTCTAACAATAGCGCATGTGGAAACTTTTATAAAAGATATACAATTTTCAGGATTCGATGACTGTCAGATTGGTAAAGTATTATGGATCTGCAAATTTTTGAACCACCCTGAGAGGCCCGCCTTTTTCAGTCATGTGGTGGCCGAGAGTACAAAGGCGTGGGAGTCACACATGAATAAGATCATCTGGACTGCAGATTAATGAAATAATCTGAGCTTATGTGACTTATGTTACTCGTAATTATCTTTTCCGCTCAGAAAATATTAATTTTGGCGTAGTGTGTCCAATTATGTCCTTGACTTGAATCACATGATATTCTAAGTGCCTGTGCCTTACAGATTACAAGATGGAATAGTGAAGCATATGTAAAAAAGCATATGGCTTTGTACCATACAGTGTAGAACTCCTACGCAGTGTAGCATAGGCTGAGCCGGAGAAGGGAAGAATCACCACCCGTGAGAGCGGATGAACCTACAGGCGCTGTGGAGCTGCCCTCGTCCTTCGAAAATGATTTCAAAATTTAAGATGAGGTGTCTCAATTTCACTTTTTGTCTTTTTAAAGTTTCCCGAAACCTAGCTTACACCGTACAGTTGGATGCGCAGCACTGAGCGGAGTCTAACACTACTACACACGACTCTACACAAGTTTGCAGTACAGAGATATGTAACTCGAGTTGAGTGTTGATTTTCACAAGGATGTAACAAACTGGTACAGGTCTGGGATGAATTTCTGACCCCGACTTGACCCGGCCTCGACTTGGATCAAGAGGCGGGTTACTGATTGGATTTTAAAACTTCTAATGCTTTACGATCTGTCAACTAGATTGTGACCAAGCTCAGCACCCACCAATCTTCAAAACAATACTGGACTACAACAACAACGGTTCTTTTAACTATTTTCGAAATAATAAAAGTAAGTCTTTTAACTTCCTCCATTTGCACACAACGTTCAAAGTCAACTTGAATAAAAAAAGTAACTAATTATTCTTCACAATAACAACACTCTAACACTTTATCTTATAGGGCTTTTCGAATTACACAAATACACTAGCACGAACGCACACTTAGGTCGATTATCTACGATCGACAAGGACAAACCGAAAAAAGTACACTTTATTGAATCAACTCGATTCGTACACACACACAAAATCAGACACACAAAAATACGATGATTCTCCTCTTTCCCTCTTGAACAAAACTCCCTTTATACCTTTCAATTGCTCAATTTCAGCTCATGAAGCGTCCTCAATCCTCAACCCCAACGTGTTTCCTCCGACCGATTGTTCTCAAAGTCA